CTACGAAACTTAAAAGGGTTCCGAGATTTGCAACGAATTCGAAACCATTTTTCTTTATCATACGGAACCTTCGAGGTTCTTCAAGGGTTTCGTAAAGTCTCACAAAACCCTTAAAGATATCGGAGACTCCGACACAGGTTTCGTGAGACTATACGGAACTTTGAAGGTTCCGTACGACATCGCAAAAGGGTTTCGAATTTGTTGCAAATCTCGGAACCTTTTTAAGTTTCGTAGAGTACTTATTTTTTTTTCAGTGTAGATTTCTTATTTAAGTAACTAAAAGCGTATGTGAAAAGTTCACTTGATCCAACAAAAAAGCCTATCTAAATTTGACTTTTGAATTCATCCATAATTTGATGTTAAAAGATTTTCTTAGTTGTGAAGTGTTCTTTTATGTTTCAAAAAAATGTTACATGTTTTTCTTACTATTAGGTTCTACGTAGTTTATAGATGTTTATGTGAGACGAAGGAGAGAAAAGAGAAAAGAGAAAGAAGAGAACTGAATTGCACGATTGATGATAGTGATTTATTCCGGATCGTCTTTATATACTTTTCATCTTTTTCTTCTGCTTTTGTTGGATACATTTAAAAAACATTTGCACACATGAATTATAAGAGAACAAATCACACCCTCTGTAGAGTTTGAACAACGAAAACGTCTGATGTTTTAATGGGTGACTACCCATGAAAATCTCGAATTTGAAACTTTTCCTAATTCTGTAGCCCATTCCTCTCTTATGAAGGGTCATTTATAATACTAGATCACATTTCGCATGAGCTTTCATTTGATATAGAATTCACTAGTCATGCCCTTTGAAATAATAGCGTTACCCCATGGAAATACATTTTTATGCACGCTGTAGTATGACGCATCTAGCGAAAAGTTTTTTTTTGTTTCATCGCACAGTGCACAAAGAAAGGACCGTTTATGATTTCAATTGGATAAAGAAACTGGAGATGGCCATAAAAAAAGTGAGAGCGTGTTTTGTGTAGGTAACAGTATGATAGAGGAAAATATGCATTCAATACTTTTTATTATCAAAGAAGCTATATTTAGTGACAACTCGATCACATGCTTTCGCTTTGCTATTCGAAGACAATCATGTCGAACTGTAATATTGATGATCGCGAGCCGCAGCTCCATGTATGACCCCATAATGAATCAATGATGATTCACTCGATGCGGGTAATCGTTGTCTACGGATAGTGAGCATCTTTAGTAAGCGTATATTCATAGAGAAATCAAATTTTTACGTTGTTTGTTAGAATTTTGAAACGTTACAATATCTGCTCTTGCAAAGAAAATTATTTTGCCTACTCTATATCAAGTTGTTAACGAGTCACCATAAGGCAAGTATGAAATGTGGCCCTTAGAGCTCAACAATATTTTCGATTTCCACCACTTTCTAAGGAGAATAGCATATCTAATGTTGTGAACTTGGGATGGGCATGAATGCAAAGAACGAAAATATTATTTTCCGCATATTCACAACCAATTCGCTCTGCAATTCTCGAGTCTAAACAAAACATACTCCATAACATCTTTAAATGATGAAATTCTAGGTAAAAAATATATATGGTCTCAGTACCATCTATTCTAAAAACTGCTTAACATTTTCCTAAGCATTCGAACAAAAGCCGTCGTCGGTATATTGCCAATGAGGACCTCACTATTTCACGATGAAAAAATTCTGCAATCGGACACGGCTGATGATCAATATCGACTTATTCAACACGTTGATAGTAGTTGTGAAAGTATTCATTATTACATACTTGTGTGTTCGTGTAGAATATGTTGCATAGTAATGCTACGAGAGGAAGAATACAAATGACAGATGGCCATAGACATTTCAATATTTGTCACACCATAAAATTCGGGAAAATGCTTTTCGCTTTGCTCGATTGACTCTTCTATTAGAAGATGACAATCATATAGAATTGTGTTGAAATTTTCATATTCTACTTGCATTGTATCTCTTTCATTGTCCCGAGTATTTGTTGTCCACAGCAATAGAAACAGAGAGACTAGAGTAAACAGTGGCACTCGATATGTAATCACTATTGCACGTCGGTGTAATCGAGTTAACTAGAATTCTAAGCTAATTGTCCGTCAGACTATGTGGTACATAGATAGATCGAATGGAAACGATAGCTAAGGATCGAGAAAATCAGAATAATGACCACGAGTAAAATGTCTGATCGAAAGAAATGCATTACTCTTCAGTTATTGCATATCGCCTATTTTATTTGTTAAGATTCATTCGATTTTCATCATCTGTGTATAGTCGTGTGTGCCTCTCTAGCACATTGTACAAGCATGTCTCATTGCGTCATCATCATCATTACCACCATAATCTGGTCATTTCATGTTGGTGCTAATACTGAAAACAAATCTCTCATCTACTTCCCGATGTCTCTTACGTCTCGTCTCGAATCGAACTTTATTCGTGAGTATAACGAGACGTTCAGCTTTACATATTTCATCGGTCCACCAAACGCATTATCTTCTTGCGCTCATTCGCAGCAAGCCGAGTTATTTGTTTCGCGTATGGCTTCATTCATTTCTTATTCATCTGAATTCAATTCTCTTATTGGCTACAAATCCGAAATTAAATTAATAGCTTCTAGACCAGTCTCTGTGCCATTTGCACATGAAGGTGGAGCTTTTGTTCCCACTACAAATGAAGTTTGGTTTACAGCTAATCAACTACCGATTCAAAATACTAATGTAAGTAGAGTCAACCTCGAAACAAATCAAATAGAATTGCTCTCCATCCAACCGTCAATTCTAACGCCGAATGGTGCTAACTATTTTGATGATTCAGTCTATATATGTTCGCAAGGCAATCAGACAACATCGGGAGGAATCTATGCTGTCAATCCGACAACACTTGTCAGTCGACTTGTTGTCAATTCATGGTTCGGATTACGACTCAACTCTCCAAATGATGTTACATTCACTAGAAAGATCGGCAGAGGAAAATACATGTGGTTTACTGACCCACAAGTTGCTTACATGCAAGATTTTGGATCTTTACCACAATTAGGCAGTTATGTCTATCGTTTCGATTTGACTACATCCGAATTACGACCAGTCATCACAGATCTTGTTGTACCCAATGGAATTGCTTTCGATCTAAATGAAACGACATTGTATGTGAGCGACACGGCACCTAGTTCATATGGGCATGGTACTTTTATGGTTTATGCTTATGATCTGAACAAACATGGATTGCCAATCAATCGTCATGTCTTTTCTGTTAGTTCAGCAGGTATTCCAGATGGAATCAAAGTAGACAAGATGGGGCGAGTATGGACAGGCGAAGGAGATGGAATCAATGTGCGAGATCATCATGGAACATTGTTAGGTGTAATACTTGGCCGAGATTTATGTCAAAGTGGAGTTATTAGTAATTTTGCCATAGTTGGCAATCTAGTGATAATTCTGGCACAAGAGAAGGTGTGGCGATTGGAATTAGCAACTAGTGTGCTGTAACCAACGAGCTTACATGGATATTTCACTGAACAGAATCGTATTTTAGAATCGTTTCAACAATTTTTACCAGTATATTAGTTTTTTTGCATTCATATATAAAATAAAAAGATTCCTTTTCTCAAAATTATTCATGAACGTTTCTATCTTACACTTATTTCTTCGATCAAAGATACTTATTACCGATAGACAAACAGGAAATGCTATAAATGAAAGGCATGCGTGTGGGCACTTCTCAAATTCATACCCACCAATCAAGAACACAACACGATTCACAAAACGTAGGTATTCAATGGAAAGTCGTACTCGATTGATTTCGCGTTAGCATATAACTTATCAGTATCGAAAATAGAGTTAGTATTAACTCTATAATTGTTCCTGTGATCATGGGGTGTGGCTGCGGGTGAAAATGATGAGAAGAGTAGCAGTCCGAATTCACACCCGCATCCATTCACATCCTCTCTTTCTCATATTACAAATAGACTAGTTTGTGGACAAAATTTCAGATCGAAATACCTTCATTCGATTAACTGGTATATACTATAAAGAAGCACGGGCTTTACCACACCTCCAAATATGCTCTCCGAAGTTTATGGAATCTAAGCACTTTTTCGAATTATTATTAAATTTCAAAAACCGCGTGATGAGTCCCTTGAGCAAGGAGGAGACGCGTTGCAATAACTGCTTGGCATTTTCTTCGCCACTTGCCCCAAAAATATGAAAGTATTCACCACTTTTAATTCGATTTCTTTTTCATTTGATTTATATTGCTTGCGAGAACGAAAAGAAAAGAAAAGAAAAGAATGGGAAAAAATAAAACAGGCAAGATTCATCAAGCAAAAAATCACTCCATTATCGCTCGCAACTGTGTACACGTAGAAGAAGCTAAATAAACGGTCAAGTTTATTGGTAAAAAAAAGAAATCGCATTTTCTTTTTAAAAACAACTACGAAAAAACGTCTGGAACTTTTTAAATTTATCTAAACACAGTCCTATAAAAGTATCGACCCTTGGAAACATCCATTGTCGAAATATTGGCTGAAGAAATGAAATAACGTAGCGATGTAGGAAGAAAATCATAATTTTCACCTTTTGTCTTTAATAGGGCAAAGTTCAGAATGAACTGTCAATGGAACTTACCGTCAATAAATTCTCCAGATTTCGACAATGCAGTTCTCTCACAAAGGTATTCTCCAATCATCAGCCTGTCAGTAGATGCAAATTCAGACGACACTGAGACGTTTCAAGTTGAAGTAGGCTTTCGCGATGAAGGTGAATGCTGTTCCGTTCTCGAACCGCTTGCAAATCAACATCGGTGCAGTTTCATGCAACAGTTTGGCTTCCAAGAAATGAGGATTACGGTGCCGCAATCGTTTGCTATTGAAAATCACCAACTCTGTGCTTCACCAGCGCAGAAATCTGTCACGACTGATGGCCACAGTTTACGCCTTGAGGTTAATACTGGCGAAATTAAAATACTTTTAGACGCCATCGAACATCAAGTGGTAAGGAAAAAGCTCTTGTCATTGAATCCTATGTTTTCCCTCAATGTAATAGAAAGTTTAAAACACTGCGAGATATGTAAACTGTTCCTTCCTTCTATACCTATATACGATATCAAGTTGGACAACTTTTGTGAAGATTGCTTTTTCAAATGGAAAGACAGCTATATATATATATAATATTTCTGATAGACAAGACAAGAAAGGTGCCCTCCTCAGTAAAATTTCAAACGCTCCCAGTCCACCCATACAACTGAGCTAATGCAATGGTTCGTACATTATTTGCAAGTATAATGATTCGCTTGGAGAACCAGCAAAATGGAGAGAGGGCATTCTAAAACTTTTGAAGTTTGCCGAAACGTCCTCGTGAAATCTTCTTAAATAATTCATGGCTTTATAGTTTAGCCACTTTTTCTGCACTGCCAAAAACAATCATGCGGTAGATCGTTTCCCTAAAGAGTGATTTCAGATATAAACAAAAACCATCGCACTCGATGTCAAAAGTACTCAGATACAGTATCCATTATTGTGCATATTGATGAATGCAAAAACCCGTGTTTTGGCCTAAAATTTATATTGACCTGAACATAAATTTTTCCTCTCCCAAAGTATATCAATAATGCAAGCTATTGACTTGAGATTTTGTCCGCGCATGCGTAATGAAAAACGCTGATCAACACTCTTCTTAACTTGTATTGCTCATTTCTCAGCCATAAAAGCACGCCGGAGTTCGAGAAACCCATCATTCGTAAGCCTACAACTTTGGCTTTATTTCATCAAATTATCATCAGAAAACTGTTCCAGATTGCTGAGATACTACAGTACCAATGAGCGTAGATGAAATCCCAACTTTCATGATTTCTCAGCATATTTAGAGATCAAAGAATATTTCCAGAAAGTTTCACAGCTACAACGTGTACTAAAATTGCAAAAGGATGGTGTAATCTTCTGCCTACCGTACACATCGCTAAACGCTTATATATAAATGAGTTCAACTGTCCTTTCTACCGAAACAATATACACCTGAGAACCTATAAGTATCATTAAAAAAATATTCTATAGATCGTTCAGTGGTAGAGAAATATATTTTTTTTCATACCAGACCGCTACTTAGAAGTGGTCGATGATATCAAGGACAATGGAAAGTCTTTGTTTTACTCATGATCTGTTACTATTTTGATGAACTAGTAACCAATTTCGTTATAAAATCATCGTCCAGAGTTATTCCTAAATATTTTTAATATCAACTACATTTGGAGATCATGGCTACACCAAAGGTTTTCCATTGTCCTTGATATCGTTGGCCACTAATTAAAGCTGAAGACGTAGGCTTTCTAATGATGAGTTTGTCGAACTCCAAAGTGCTTTTATCGCTGAGAAATGAGCAATACAAGTTAAGGCGGATGCTGATCAGCGTTTTTCACTATACATACACGGGAAAAAATTTGAAGTCATTAGCTTGTAATATTGATATACTTCAGGCGGATGCGGGACTTGTGGCCAGCACCAGAGACGCTTTTTTTGTTTTCATAATCACATAGATCTCAATTCTAACATCTTTGAACGCGTATTGAGCAGTCTTTTAAATACGACAAGAGGAATGCATTTTACGTGCGAGTTTTTACCGTGCATTCGCAAAACCCAACGACATGGCAATTTTTCATTATCTTGTATTTACGTATTTCAAGGTTGATATAATGGCAATCTGTTCAGAGAGCGGAAAACTTCGAAATATTGTTTTAACAGCTGCTGGAACAGCCATTTGCGAAGAATATCATAGAGAGTCCACTGGAGTTCAGAAATCCTGGCTAGAAACTCCGCCTGGATTACTGAAATGTCAAAAAGTCGTCTATTACGAAAAGGGAATGGATGAATTCAATTTTTTGCTTACAATTTTCGTTAAAACGTGGATGAAATGTGCGTATGAAAATAATTATCAGAGTATTGGTGAGTGCTTCTATTTAATTTCACAGAAATGTTGTAATCTGTGAGAGACGATAAAGGAAACAATTGAGTTTTTTCTATTTTCAGCCTTTGGTTTTGAGAACCCAGCATTCGCGTCGCTGATGGTTGCACTTGTCAAGCAATCGCTAGAGAGGCATCGAAAGCCATTATCTGTACTATTCGTTATATCAGAAAGAGATCGAACAGTTTATGATGCATGTGTGAGCTGTTTAGCCACAATTTCAACAAACAAAATGACAAATAATTCCATATCAAAGTTAGAGATAAGTTTAGCAATGTCAAAAATATTCTTCTCATACATCCTCTCATTTTCTCTACTCATATGTTTCTGCTAATCAAAGCCAACATCATGGGAAAAACTAAGTAGCTATCAACTGAATTGAAAACATAATCCAAATGAAAGTTAGCTTTAGTTCAAAACGGATTTTTCAGTGCCCTTTGTTTGTTCAGGATGTGCCTTGAAACAAAAATCATATTTTAATCAAGGTTTCTACTACAAGGGACGTTCTAGAAACGGAAGAGTCTTCTTTCACAAAGATGGAAGATTCACTTTACGAAAATTTATAAAGAAACTCTCACTAAAAAACGTTCCCAAGTTTCTGCAATCTTGACTTTGATTGGTCAAAACGTGTTGAGATAATAAAAGTGTATTTGAAATGAAATTTACTCTTATTATTCAACTTATTTCTTTCTTTTTTTACGATCTCTTTCTATTTCTTCGACCAATCACACCACGCGATACAACAAAATTTTTGAAAAAAGGTAAGCGCATGTATGGAAAGCATTTCTGCAAAAAAACTGTGCTACAATCATGCACTTTATTACTAAACGACTCCAATTGCTAAATCACTATAGGGCTAAACTTATTAAAAAAATAATGGCTTTTGTTGCTGCATCTGTCGAGACCATTTGCCTTAACAATAAGTCCCAGTTGACGAGAATCAATCGATGAGTTCATGTTCTTCTTCTGCTAAATAAAAGCCTTATTGGAAAATCTTTAAGAAACTATTTTCTGTAAGTTGGAGATATGTATGGACATGTCCGTAGTCAAGCAACCTCTACGTAGAAATGAATGCCGATTTTCTGGGTTTTGCAGCCACACGTACTGTAAGAAAAATCTTTCAAAATTTGACAGACATCTCAGTAGATTGATTGATGCGCTCTTCGATTTAGGATAGTTGCTTAACAGAAAACCCAGTGACCATATTTGGAATCGGTACACCCGATTTCTTTTTGTTCACTTAGTTGTAGGTTAAAGGTGACTGTTAAGTTGATTTCTTTGTCTACATAGATCAATTTATCTTGCAAAGGCATGATCTCTAATTTCTGACATTGTAGTTGCTAAAATCACATTGAAGAGTTCGTCCTCAAATCAGAGTGATCTAAAAAAATGTCGTTTGGAAATGGAAACAGTATGCGAGAGTACTTTAATAAAATCTGTGATTAAAAATATTTCCGAATTATGTGAATGGACACAATCAACAATTCAAGATTACTTTAAATTTTGTGTGTGGGAAAAACAAGTACTTCCTAAAATGGATATAACAGAAGGTAGCGTTGAGTTGAAAGGGACGGCGGCTGATGTAAGTAGTCACTATGTCGACGAACACTCTAGAATGTTAATGTAGCAATTAATTATTCTTTATCTTAGGTAGAGAAGTGTAAAACTTATTTTCACGAACTGAACAGTAACCTTTTAAATCAAGCAAGAAAGATCGCCAGCGCTCAGGGTGTTGTATGGTCATATTTACATCCTGAGACAAACCAATGGATACAATATCCAATTGAACTCAATGTGGAAATTGAAGATGCATATAAGAAAAGATTGCCGGTAGAGAACGAAAAACATAAAGTGAATCTACCCTCATTCTCAAAATTAGTTTTGAGTTCTTCACTCTACGTCATTTCCATTGGAAGATTCAGCAAATAAAGACATTCGAAATATGAGCTAAATCTGATTTTCTAGGATATCACTAAAAAATAGTCTTACAAAATCTTTATACACTTGCCTAGCAACTTCTAGGGGACGATGGATCAGTTAGCCATTAGCATCAAATTTCAACGCAAAATCTGTCCTTTCTTGACTTGACAGAAAAGTAGTTTTCCTTTTTAATGATGGAGATTGGTCATCATCGTTTTCGAAAAAAGCAAACGCGTTTTATGACGACACTGAAATAGTGATAATACTCGACAGTAGCTGAATTCCTTCCGTCGTTTGTAGTACAGGTCACCAAAATGCCCCTCAAATATAAAACTTCCAAATCTCGACATTGTTTTTGATTCATTCGTAATTCTTGGTATCTGTATTTTAAAATATCCTTTGCATATTGGGAGCGTATGTTTCAGCTATACTGAAATATTTTGCTTTTTCAAAGACTGACGAGGGAACGTTTTCAACTGTCCAATCGCTTTTGAATTCGAACTTTGTGCAACAGATAGACCCCAATGTAGTATGAAAAAAACCAAAAGATTAAGAGTCAATAGGCTTTCTGTCCAAAGTTATAGGCATTTTACTGGAGTTGTAGCCTATTACACGGTATATACCAAAAAATCAAATGACAGTATTTCGACCTGAGATTTTGCGCAGAGGCAGGCCTATTTATGAGTAGAATGTCTTGAAAATTTCAGTCGAAAAGGGCGTTTCCTTCCTGAGATATTTAGGTCCCAAAAGAGCAGAAAATTCTAGCATCTTTTAGAGAATTTTCTGCTCCTTTGGAACTTAAATATCTCAGGAAGGAAACGCCCTTTTCGACTGAAATTTTCAAGACATTCTACTCATAAATAGGCCTGCCTCTGCGCAAAATCTCAGGTCGAAATACTGTCATTTGATTTTTTGGTATATACCGTGTAATAGGCTACAACTCCAGTAAAATGCCTATAACTTTGGACAGAAAGCCTATGGACACTTAATCTTTTGTTTTTTTTCATACTACATTGGGGTCTATCTGTTGCACAAAGTTCGAACTCAAAAGCGATTGGACAGTTGAAAACGTTCCCTCGTGAGTTATTGTACAACGACTTATCACAGAGCCTTGTTCTTCTTCTAGGTATTCTATAATTTACTCATTAATATAAATTTTGAAAAAATGATAGAAATTCAGAGTAATCGCTCGATTCAAGTACGTCGTAGAGAAATAAATCCTGCTGTGCCCATTGTAAGTACATTTCATAAAGATATGTGTATGTTGCGAATGAAATAATTTTTTCCTGTTAATTCTAGACTTGGGACATGGAAAACGACAATGGTCGGAAACGAATTCCATTGAAGTTCACCTCAATAGAATACGTTCAAGTCTTGAAACAATTTGATGCCGCAAACATGAAGGGAAAGTACACAGAAATAAGAAAAATCGAACGAATACAGAATGAACGATGGTTTTTACAATACTCAGCGTAAGTTGAAGATTTTTTTTGAATTTATGCACTTTTTCTTTATGTTACATGTTCTCGTCATCTTAAAGCCATCGTGATGCATTCAAACAGCGTTCCAATGGCAGTCCATACGAAAAGTCTCTATTTCATGGTTGTACAGACGTCGCTGTTGATTCGATTATTAATGAAAATTTTAATCGTGCATATGCCGGCGTGAACGGTAAATTACAAGTTAATTTTTTCAGTTTTGAGTGCACAAATGTAGTGTGTAGGTCATAAAATGTAGTAGAAGATCAAAAGCCACTCCAATTTTTGCGTTTCAAAACCGTTCATTTATGAACTGATATAGAAGTAAAGAGTCTAACTTGAACATGAAAGTAATCGACTGGTAACAATTTGAGCACTTTAAAACTTTTTTGGGCTGAATAATACCATAGGAAAAGGAATGAAAGCCACACTTAACACAATGTAGTATCAGCTATTATATTGAATCAGTAACAGAAAAATGAGCAAATGTATCCTCTACTTTTGATAGGGATTGCGTATGGCAATGGCTGCTATTTTTCGGCATCAGCTAAATACAGTCACAACTTTGCAATTCCAAACTCTTTTGGTGAACGGCATATGTTCTTAGCAAAAGTTTTAACTGGAAAATCAACTATTGGTAACCCATCAATGAAAGTACCACCAACTGGTTATGATTCAACGACTGACGGCAGAAATATATTTGTGACTTATCATGACGCTCAGGCGTACGCAGAATATCTAATTGTGTATAAATAGATGATCACACAAAATCATTTTAGCAGAAAACAGTATCCAATGGAACTTCATTTTCTGGATCATATGCTAGAGTTTGTACGAACGTAAATAAAACTTTTGTTTGTCTGTCTGAAGCACGTAAAGATCATTACGAGTCGATTCACTTGTCTCTATACTTATGTTATAGTGCTGCGAATATAACTGTTTCACCTTACTCAGTATGATTAGGCCTACACTCGACGCTCTATAAATGAGCGCGCGAGTTGCCGATAAATTAGAATTTGTTAGGTGAATCGGACTGTACACGATTGCTTTGATCAACAAAAATTATACTCTTAAATAATGTAATGGTACGCTTGACTTGAGTCCTAACTGCATCAATAGAAACATCTTTTATTACTTTTTATTAATATCGCTATATGGTTGTGAAAACACTCTGTGAACATGCCAAAAACATTTGCGGTACATGTCGTGGTCTATTACAAACACGAAAGTTTTGTTGCTGCTCTTTCGCATAAGGTGTACTATCGTAATTGACTCACAACGATATTAGAGGTTTTGTCGTTCAGCATTAGATTTAACCGTTTCGCTCAATTGCTTCAGCTTCAATCTCTAATATACTGTTGAAATTAGATCAATTTAAAAATGAATAGCTTTTGTTTTGAAGATAAATGATTCAACGTTGATTATTCAAACAATCTAGAGATTGAAATTACCGGTGTACCTGAACGATTTTAATTGGTAATTTTATTTGAATTGAACAATATCCTCTTAGACCATTGGACAATATTTTGTGCATAATTTGATATGCTTTCATTAGAAATCAATTTCTTACAACTTATAATGGTTTTAGAATAAAAATTCTTTCGCTCTAGGTGTTCTTTTGAGAATATGGAAAAAGCAGAAAAATGTAAAATTCGTCATCGTGTTACATAAAATTCTTATAATACACCGTCTTTTTCGAATAAAACTCCATGCCTTAGATGGCGACAAACACATTAACTCCAGTTCATTAGTGAAAAACAAACAATAGACACTTTTTGTTACGCGATGACGTTATAAATAAAGTAAATTTGCATAGGCTCTTTAGACAAATGTATAATACATAGGACCTTACCTTTTCTGTCAAACAATGCATATTTCGATATATTCTCTACTCATATTAATGCGATATTTATCTATTTGTTTCTATCAAGATAAACGTTTGATGAATTAGTATAGCATAAATTCACTAATTTCTCTGCGTGCACAGTTGCTTCTCTTTCACCAACTGTCAAATGTTTCTTTTAATGTATAAAATAGAAACAAAATATGTTTCTATGTACTTTCGACTATGCTCTACAAGATGATAGTATTAGATTTTTCAAATAGAGAGCTCGAAACACCCGTCCCTGAAGTTACTTGTTACGCGGACAAGCCGATTTACGTGTGTTATGTATGAAGTTGTGATACTCTGGATATGTGGAGAAACAAATAAAAATTATTGCTGAGAGTGGCGGTAAGCTATTCCACTCTATCCAGTTTGCCATTACCTATCGATCCCAATGAGGACTCTATTGATCGTTACTCATAGTTGTAAGGACATAGAATAAGAGTAGAGTTTCGGCAATTTATAGCCCACTTTTTTGATCATATATTCTCTATAAATTAACTTATATAATTAAGCAGTTTCTTTTTCTTCTAGATAGATGAAATACTTCGATGCATTATGATAGCTGTTCTCACTACTCTAACATGAATATAGATACCATAGTAATTTTATTAGTTTTATATAATAGCTAAATTAGAACTTGACCTTTATTTTTGAATTAAAATTATTCTTAAGCCATCTGATGACATCCGTGGCTGGATCGAAAACCTTTATCGTAGCTGTTTCCATCACTCACGTCTCTTGCCATTCTCTTCAAATATTTCTGTTTCTATCTCCTCTTCATTTTTTTCCTCGACCCGTCTCCATTCTTCATGCTCTTCTATAGGGAGAGGGCGGCAATTCGATGACTTTAGAAACGTGTAGGCTTCGTATTTGCTTTGCAACCACTGTGTATTCGTCACGTTGAACGTCGCTGAATTGTTGTTGTTTAGCTGGCCTTAAACCAGCATCATCATATGTTGATCATGGGTACCAGTGAATACGCGTATCACATCTGCATAAGACGTATTAACATAACCACATTCAACCGTAGCGATTGTTGTTACAGGTATATCACACCGAACATACTTTCCCTTGTGTTTCTATTCTCTCTCTCTCTCTTTCTTTCTCTCTTTCTTCTTTCTTGTTTCTTTTCCAATATAAGATGAGATCGTAAATCACTCTTTCCGTTGCGNAAAACACAGGAAAGAAAGAGAGAGAGAGAGAATAGAAACACAAGGGAAAGTATGTTCGGTGTGATATACCTGTAACAATTGTCAAAACGAATATCCATAAGAGAGCTAAAAGTAAAGTTTCGAAATCATCTGATACTGGAACTAATATGTTACCTGTTGCGTTTAGCGGCATCTTTCTTGCTATTGGTGATCAATTAGTGTGAAAAAAAAGTACAGATATCTTAATGTGAAAGCATAGAAAGGAATATACATAAGTATATGATAATGATCTTTTGTTTCTTTGACTTTCGATGTTTTTTGAATGTCAATCAGAAAAATAAATGATATGCTTTGTTCGAGAATCGAACTCGTGACATGATAACTGGTCATCTAGACCACTGCTCTAACGATCGAGCTATCGAAACAAGACGTAAACATCATTTATTTTCTGAATGATATGCAAAGCATCGAAATACTTTAACCTCGACACGAAGTGTACGACGCACCTGAATATAGCGACTGCTATTTCTAACCAAGTGAAGATGTTGATTTTTATTCTCCTCTTTCAGGGGTGAAAATATTTGTGAAAGCATAGAAAGACATACATATAAGTACATGATAATAATTTTTAATTCCTATGACTTTCGATGTTTTTTGAATATCATTCAGAAAATAAATGCTGTGTTAGCTGTGTTTCTATAGCTCAATGGTTAGAGTACTGGTCCGGATAACCAGTTATCATATCATGGGTTCGATTCTCGAACAAAGCATATCATTAATTTTTCTGAATGATATTCAAAACATCGAAAGTCAAGGGTGTGGGTGTGGTCGAGAATCTTATGTCATATCACATCTCACACCCTAGACGATGGACCATACATCAATTGAGGGTGTGGGCATCGGTGACGTGAAGTGGTTGAGGATATAGGTGTTAGTCTCATATTTATCACTATCCATACTCACACCCACACGCTCAAGTTTTATTAAGATGTTTTTTCGGTTATGATCTACTATTTCATTGCAGATTTTTACGTTAATAAATAGGTAGATTTTTATTGATAAGGAAGAACACAAAATGTTAAATGGATTAAGGTACAGTCAATTTTGTTTTGCTTGATATTTAACTGGTTGTATGTTTTTATCATGTCATACATTGGTCTTTTGACTGCTTTTCACAAGCAGAATAAGTGTTCGGATCGTTCCCGTTAATTCTCGTTTTAAGTTGAGATTCAAACAAGTTCCGATCATTAGTGTAGTATTGGTAACGTCAGTACCATGGAAAGTATGGCTCCGGAATTCATGAATATATGTGTAACCTCCCCGTGTCGTTTTCCATGTCTTCGATGAATGATGCGACGCTTTCTTGTTGTTAATTCGTTATTGTATGCAAGTTGTACAAACTGATTTTGTTTTTTTTTTGTCGTGAGTTTGATGATCGGTAGTTATGCTTTTGGTTGCTGTATCTGTTGATGTTATCAAGAACTGATGACGCAAATAACCGAAGTCATCAGAGTTATTGACGATAGACAAAATGAAATTCTTGTTTAAATATTTACTGAATAATGTAGTTAGTCGCCGATCATTATGCCTTCGTGGGTACCTATAAGTCACATACAAAAAAATGAGAAACACGAATGAATGCCGAAAACGTACTCATTATAGAGAAACATGAGTGTCATTTGTCGTATTTTTTCCTCGAATTGTGCCAAAGTTGTTGAATAACAAACTATTCTCGTAATAGCAGCATCAACAGTGTTTCGAAAAACATGGCCAGAATTGTGTGATCCAAATGGTACGACATATGGCTCAGCTGCTTCTTTATGATGCACGGAAGTTTTTAAAGCTCCTTTACTATTCTCAATGAATAGATCAAGAAATGGAATACTTCTACTAATTTGTCTCACTAGTTTAATGTTTGGATGAAAGCTGTTAGCTTCATCTAACGTTTGGTCAACAGATTCGAGTGAATCGTTCACAGTAAAGAAAATATCTTCAACATATCTAAAATAAGACAATAATAATCAAAGTATATTCTTTTATGGACCATGCTAAATACCGTCCGTAGATTTCATTGGATACTTCTAGTCGGTGAACAAGTTGTTTCTCTCATTTCCACATGAAAATATTAGCTAGTGTCAAATTAAACGCTGAGTCCATTGCACTACTAATGGCTTGTGGTTAGAATTTCTTCTTATAAAAAAAGTTTTCTTTAATGACTATAAGAGCTAAGTCTCGAATAATATCAATTGGAATATTTTGAACTTTTTGATAGCCATGTTGAATGATAAATTTAATTAAAATATCAAGTAATTCTTTTCGTGTTAACATCGGAGATAAATCTGTAATATCAAATGTCCACGAATAAGTTTTTGGTACAAATACCCATGTATTTTATTTGCTTCTAAACGCTGAATCAAATCAACTTCATTAATAGTTGTGGTTGAACGTGCATAGTTATCAAATATTGGTTGGATTAATTTATACAAAAACTTTGAAATTCCTGTTGTTGGTATATTCACTGATGATACAATAAGTCTCAATGGTGTTCCTGCCTACTAAAATGTATTGAACAGAGATACGAATTCAAGATTAGAAATGAATTACCTTGTGAGGTTTATGAATGAAATATAAATAAGCTAGCTGAATTTTTTCTCGCGTCAGCATTATTTTATCTAGTTGCCACGATAGAATATATTTTTTTGAATGAAGATCATTGAGTAAAAGAATAACTTTATCAAATACACTCCATCACAGATTAGAATCTAATTTAATATAAGCATCAGCTTTTTGTCGATGAATTGCTGCTTTATTTTCATAATCAGCTGAATTGCCAATATGAAAAATTCCACTTTTATCTGTCTCGCAAAGAATGTAGCTTCTTTTATTTAGTATTTGTTGAATCTATTTCATTAGTTTTAATTCGTTTCGTGTTCGATATATGTTTAGATAAGATAATGGAGTCATATATTGTTGATGCAGACTTGTTTCCAATTGTTGAGAAAAGCTCTCTGACAATTGTTGCTGTTAGTACAATATGATGCTCACGAATAAGATATAAGGAGTTACCACATTCATAATGTTCTTATGTTCTTGTTGTATATGCTTTTCTTGATATTTATAAGAATGAAGAAAGCTTTAATTTGATCTAATATAATTAGGTCCTTGAAATAGAAAAACTATCACGACACGAATATAAAACAATAAATAAACGGCTGAGATAATACTGTGGAAGAAAGATAATCTAATTGAAGTCAATTCAATGATACTTTAGGAACGACGACAATAAGTTGTGGATAAACATCAACTATTTGCTGCTTCGATAGTCGACATCGACGATACTGATATACCAATCTGAAATAAACAGAAGCTTCTTTGTAATGAATCTGACGTATTAATCGATTTTCGTGATGGCTCATATAACTTTTCCATAGAAAAATATGCGAGTTTACAGCAAAATTCAATTGAATTGAATACTCAGCATACGTAGTTTTTAAGCATGCTATCAGTTTTTGCTGTCGTTGCTGCCCATTCAGAAACGATGCATCTAAAAATATATGATACTATCGCAGGTCGAACATTCCGGTCACCAGATCCCGTAGGATACTCCAGTGAATATGCGGGAAAGTCACCATATCCTGCAGGAAAACACGGGAAATCGCTGGAACATGGAAGCAGTATTCCGATCAAAAATACGGCTGGACTTTTCTGGAGAATTACTGCCAAGTTCCGGTGCTTTCCGACAGGAATTGATTGGAAATCACCGGAAAAAATACTAAAAATTTCCAACTGGAATACTGCTTCCACAAAATCAACGGAACTACCCGGAACCGGTCGTTTTCAGGTCGGATTGTTCGACCTGGGTATAAGTGATTCAATTTGCACCACTACTTTTAATTTCAAGCTTTTTTGGCACAAATTAACCTAATATATAAAATATAATAAGAGAAAGATTTTTTTTTTCAACGGTAAATTATATGATTGAAGCCTGAATAATCGGTTACTGGAAATAAATATTACGTAGTAGAACAATCAACTTACAAGCAAAAAACGTCTCGATTGCATATTTTTCAGCTTTGTTATATAGATGTACGTTTGTGTAGTAAAGCATAGGCTATAAGATCATATAAATACGGATATAAAAAGTAAAACATGTCGTGAGTCGACAGAAAATAAAGATTGATGGAAATTTCTGTAGTCATCTCTTCAATACAACTAGAAAAAATTCTTGCATTCCGATTAGTTCAATTGAAAGAATGGAGTTCATAAATAATGTCAGATTTAATGGCAACTAAATTGATGAAATGAGAACTCTTAGACTGTATTCCGACTTCGATAAATTTTTGTTCAATCTAACAACTTTTTAATTAATGTAGACCTCCTATTGTGTATCAATTTTTACACATTAACCTCATTAATCTTGTTTCACAACTGCAAAAGAATGCCTACTAAAAGAAAATCACACCTATTTTTTTTACTCCTTTTTTGTGATTCAAAAAGACTTCAATCTCTACTATGCTATTTTTTTTATTCTGTCATTTAAAGACGCACGGTAATTAAAACAATAGAGCGGGAAAAAGGGAAAGGAAGAGAGATATAAGCAATTATAAAATTGGTTTAGCTTCATTTACATACACGATGCTTTACTTTTTTCTCATATTATGCTGTTGTGCTTGCTCAGCTCTTATTGTTTATGATAATGCCCAATTCGTGCCGATTGACAGTCGTTACGTGTTTGCTAACCAAACGGGAATTACTTCGAAGCTCGAATGCATTTGCCAGTGTTACATGAATCCACTGTGTCTTATTGCTACTTACTATGGTATTCAACAATGGTGTTTCCTCTCTTTCGCTCAGCTGTGGCAAGGTAAATTACGCGTGGTAGTCACTATCAATCTAACGAGCGTTATATACTTCGAAAACAAGACTCTTATCGGTATGTGAGTAACAATATTTCGATTTTGTTCATAATGAATCTGAAGTCATTATATCTTATAGAATAGACTCAGTTAAATAGGAAGATAGATGAAATTTTTGTCTTCAAAATCAGTTATATAACATTGAATCTAGAGACATTTCTTCTTACAAACGTATTATTTCTATAGTTGCATCACATGCTACAAACATCATTAACATGTTTTTGTTCCATTTATTCACTCAAATAACATTGAAAATAAGTGGGTGGATGTTCTAATATCTTGGATGAACACTTGCTTTCACAACACCCTTATCCAATGATCTAGTCACCAGATTCAGTCTGCAATAAAGATGTTGAGTTTAATCTCTTATTATTCTCTATTTCTATCGCGAGGAAATAGTACATACGAATTGCAACAAAATCATTTTATAAGCTACGCAGTATGTAGCTCATGAATAAAAATTTGAATCTTGAAATTGAATTAAAATCTAAACACGTTCTCCGAAGGGTAAAAAATATAGTGCACGATTCTAACTTACTATATAAAAGATCTATTGAATTCGAACTTCAAAGTATACAAAAAATTCCATCTACTGTCCACTGTACTTGGCTGCTATAGTATTAAATAGCTGCGTTCCTTTTTGTCATCGATTTCGATGTGGCAGTTACTATTTGAACTTTAGATAAGGTCACAATTTAGCAAACTAGCAAAATAGACACGTATTATGACTGTGCATGCAGAGATGTGTGGGCACGATGACTCCCAATTTTGAAAATTTAGTTGTTTTTGGTAAAAAAGGAAATAGAAAAATTGCGTGCTTATGAGTACTTTAGTGGCGAACTCATACAAACGAATACGTTCCCCCCCCCCTCCACGCCGTTGTCACGAAGAGCAAATTAAGGCCCTGTGTGTATGCCATCATCTACTAAAGTTAAATCAAACTTAATTCATACATTAATGCATAACACTTAGGACCATCGCAATTTTGCTATGTGTGCATATTGATAGAATAGACAATCTTTATCAACTGAAACTGATATTCGAATTTGAAACTTTTACTTGAAAAATATCAGTCGTGGATTGCTACTTTCCACATGACTGCCTTTCCAGTGATTCTTAAACTTATCACTCTCTGAACACTTTGCAATTAACAATCAGGAGTTTAGAGGAAAATGATGCTAATTTATCACTGAAAAAAGGGTTTCGTACCTATGCTCGAAACCTTTTTAGTTTCACTAATATAACCATTTTCTTTTAGCGCAAGACCTCACCAGCAGGAATGAGGCTGTCTACGGTATGTGGAACACAACTGCAGGTTCTAACAGTAATCTTGCATCAAGTGGTAGTGGTATTGGAAAATACTTTCCAGGACAAGGTCCAGACACCGTTTTTGATAAAAATACAAGCACTAAATATGTGAATTTTGGAAATTGTAATAATACTGCGAACGGCTCACCCATTTGTGCACAAAATACTGGATTCTATCTGACACTAAAGAGAGGTGCATCATTGCTCGTCGCTTTTCGATATGTTACCGCCAATAGTTATCCACAACGTGACCCACTAACAATCACCATTGAAGGAAGCAACAACAATCCTACAGAGCTTACTCGTCGATCGAGCTGGACCTTACTCTACAATGGCTCCTCTGGTATTTCCATAAATCAAACCCGATTGACATATGGATCAATACAATGGTTATCACAAAATTCAACATGGTATGCGAGCTATCGATTTTTGGTTAATTTAGCCACGAATAATGGGACAAATATCCCATACATACAATATTCTGAGGTAGAACTATTTGGCTACTGACTGGCATATGTTATTTCGTGAAAAGTAGAAATAAAATATCGATGCGAAGCTGATAAAGAAAGATAGAGACATAAATTGATAGTGGGAAAAGATAAATGTTTGTTTGCTTTGTCAACTGTTGGAATTAGTTTTCATTGATAACGATGAATAAGCAATTGCCATCTCTATCAATCTACTTATCTCTATTATACTGTTATCAAAATGATGTAGGGCGAAGACAAAAGAAAAGTACAAAGAAACTAAAACACAAAAGTTAAAAGTCCAATCAGTCAATGTGTAGCTCGTTCATCAAACAGACTCCATATTCCAGCAGCTGTTAGGATGCCACTTTCAAGCCCGAGGGTTTGGCTGGATGATAACCAACATTGACTGCCGTTGTATAAGCCAGTTCGTTTTTTGAACAAGGAAGATAACTTGTTAATCAAATGAAATTTCCATTTTGAGTGCACCATTTCCTTGACAGGATTTTGTATGTTTCGTAATCCGTTGATGCTGAAAATCTCGCTTACAGTTGACGCACGTGTGCGTCTTGTCATTACTCTTGGGAAGAATCTCGGTGACTTTAGCTGGAGGCGTGAGAAGAACTGCTGCTCTTGTCTGTTGAGCTTGTTGCTTCACCTGTTGAATAATCTCCAGAAAATTTGGTGCTGAAGGTCTTCTCTGTGCATGTTGATTGATTGCCGTGCGTCAAATCTTTCGATCTATCGTTTGCCTTCTCGAATTTCGTGTTGCACACTTTTCAAGTTCGTCAATAATCATGCGTTGTCATCTTTTTCGTAGCCCAGAATGAAAGGTTGTTCTGAGTCGGAATAGTAAGAGAAAATTATTTTCTTGACGAGAGAAAAAGAAACATCCGGGGTTTGTTCATTCGATTGAGGGTGTGGGTGTCTTCTCTCCATCAAAACCCGCATCCACACCCTGAACATAATTCTTATCAAGATGAGATATTAAAATTTTGATAGGAATCCTCAAATGATTGAATATTTCGTGGATTCATTACATATATCGTTTTTGCAGAGCCTTTCACTAATTGTGCAATGTCTGGGAAATTTAAGTCTACCGGAATTAATAATTGATCAAAATTTTCTTCGGTTTCTAATAGCCATAGATTAACATCTTGCTCAACAGAAAATTTTATAAAATAAATATGCCAAAACTAGGTTCAACTACAATTTCTTCTATGCTGTTCAATTTTTCATGTCGTTCCATATCTAACGACTTAGTATGATAATAATGCCAGTTACTTTGGCCTGAAATAGGAATAGTGTTGGGTTAAGATTGGTTTTTAGCTTCTTCCGATGAATTATTTTTATTCATAAGGTTATCTATTTCACTATCGGTTTCAAATAGCTTGTATGATTTTGAGGGTAAATGAGATAATGGTATAATTGACTTTTTTCGATTATTGTTTAATAGATTTTGCAGCTGAGATTATGGTTTATATTTTAACATATGATCATCCTTATTCATTTAAGGTTTATCAGTACGTATAAATGTTATATTCAGGCAGGAAAATAATTATATGTGAGGATAATTAATGATAGCAAAGAAAACAACAAAAATGAAAAAAAAGCGTAGCTGCAGATAAAAAAATGTCCAACTTCTCCAACAGTTGTAAGACTCTCGTTTGGAAATGTCTTTGACTCTTACCTCACTCTATGGCCTAGGCTAGAAGATGTGTAATTATAATCCTGGTCTACAACGGGGACGAGTAATCTCACGTAAAAAAACTAAAGACAAAACATTCTTATCGTACAATATTTGTAAATGATAATGATAAAGAGCAGATTTAACCGGTTAATGCTTTTCATTAATATAGTTAACGGACAGACGGTAGTAAAAGGAAAGAAAAATGTAACAGAAAGAAGTAGAAATGAGGCTAATGGTAATGAGAAAGGAAAATCAAAAGAGAAAACACCTCAAGAAACTAAAGGGTGTGGGTGTGGGTGCGTTTTTATGAAGTCACTCAGATTAGAGTCCTGCAGGTCAACCTTGCCCTACCCTACCCTGCCCTGCAGGGGAGGGTAAGACTAGGGTACAAAACTCGTAGGGCAGGGCAGGACTAGGGTACAAATCTCGTAGGGCAGGGCAGGGTAAGGTTACAAAAAAATATTAGGGGGTATAAGTAGGGTGTAGCTCATACAAATAAAAATTTTATAGAGTAGAACTTAATACATATTTCTGACATCTTTTTGATCAAAAACAGTGTAAAGAGTGATATCATAATCTAAATCGAATGGGTAGAATAACAACGAACGGAAAATAATGGCCTATTGTTTAGTATTGTTTTTACATAAGCTGACGAGTTCAGTCATTTTTGATTATTTGCCTAGTAAATGTGCATGTAAATGTAATAAAAAAGTCTTCGAAATCATCTCGACATGAACGTATTGTTAGTACAAACGGGCCAGTTTTGGAAGAGAGAAGGCAACATTCAAGTGGTGATGTTGTAAATAACATTTCATTTTAAGAAACTTTTGAAATATTTATTAATTTTGTATTTGATTCTCGTTGAAAATCAGTAAAATATATTGAAACTAAGTGAAGAAAAACGTCAGGCTGACTTTTACCTGGACCTGAAACTCTAAGGATATGATAGGGTAGGGTAAGAACGTCGTAGGGCAGGGCAGGGCAGGGCAGGGCAAGGGTACGAAGTTTTACGATAGGGCAGGGTTAGGGTACAAAAAAGTCTTAACCTGCAGGACTCTAACTCAGATCGCGACGAACACTAATAACGTGACCCCAGTCACGTTCACCCACATCAGCACCGATTTCACACCCACGCCCTAAATATTCAACATCAATAGCTTTAGTCAATTTTATTTTACTCCTTAAATTTATCATTTAAAACATTTTTCAGCACACGATATCAATTTCTACCATTAGAAAAAGAAACACCATCAGAGCATGAAAGATGATCAATAGATAAAGTTCAAGGCTTCTACGTACTTTTTCTTGTGTTTATTGGGTCGTCGGCCACAGTCTACTGATTGCACGATTTTGGCGTATTGCTTCAACAAACCGTCTCTTGTACGTTATAGAGGGTAACACAAATACAACGAAGGTAACTTGAGATGGAACACACGATATAAAATAGCCAAATAAGAATACCCAAGGTTCACGTGGCGATTTCATGCAGCCAGTAATAAAGGAGATTATCAGGTTGGGTAGAGCAAGAATTATTAAAACAGCAGGCGAAATTAATAAATATTTATGCTCACGAAGTTGTTGTCGAAGCTGCGCTGTATATGAGGTTTGTCTCTTTGCCTTAGTTCGGTAGCGTGTGATGGTAATAATAATGAGCAGAGCAGAGCTGATATTGAGTATAAATGGGACGAGAAAATGAAAAATATTCATGGTTGTATTAAAGAGTTGAACTGGTCGCGAATAGAAGACGACACATCATGTTCGTTGCTCCTCAATATCATCAATCAAGTGCCGATTTAAGGGATCTTGAATGTTCGACAGAATTTCGAAACAAAACAAAATAGACATGATTGTTCTAGCAATTTGTTTGGTTTTTGATATATCAAAGCTCACACCTTTTGATACTCCAAAGGCCCGCTCAGCAATTACAGCTGCATGAAGCCAGCTTGCAAAACTGCGAAAAACTTGGAAGAGACCATCACTTATGATACAACTAAACGAGAGAATTGCTCGATTGGTGACTGTGCCTTGCTGTGCAAAAACAACAAGTCAAAATTTCAACGCAAATATGACAGCGGTGAAGATGGAGATGATCGACGAAACGAATAGGTATAAGTCACTCCCAACTTTTCTTAATTTGTCACTTTGAAAAGTAATGATTAAAATCGTACGTTGGTCAAAGACAATACGACTAGACCCATCACCACTACTACACTCACTTTGACAATCGTTGGCTGTCGCTTCAATGTAATATGAGGGTGAATCTGATAACAAAGAATAGCTTCGAGCGAAAAGGTGAAACCCTTACTAGTAAATTGGCAACGTGATCCATAAGAGCATTCACCACAAACACATATCATGAATGATGGACAAGTAGGATGATCTTGAAAGCATTGAGCGTCATTTTGACAATAAATCGATCCTTGGCAATCATATGTCATATTGTGATCAAAATCAAAGCAATTGGCATGGTGTTCAATTGTGCATAAGCATATATGCTCTTCATCGTAGAAGCATTTCAAACGTTCGTCTTTGAGGCACGGGATATGATAATATTTCATGCGTTCAATAAAATTCAGTGCCATTAGCGTAGAGTTTAGAAGTTGATCAATTCGGTAGCAACGATTTGAAGTAACCAACGGTAAATTTAAACTTGTTGAAGGAATAAATTCGGGTTCAACATAAGCTAAATAGTAGTAACTAGAAAATTGCACAAAAATTATATGGTATTCAGTTGTTTGTTTTACAATAACTGTATTCTGATCAAAAGCAAGTTTTCTAATTGTANACAAACCGTCTCTTGTACGTTATAGAGGGTAACACAAATACAACGAAGGTAACTTGAGATGGAACACACGATATAAAATAGCCAAATAAGAATACCCAAGGTTCACGTGGCGATTTCATGCAGGCAGTAATAAAGGAGATTATCAGGTTGGGTAGAGCAAGAATTATTAAAACAGCAGGCGAAATTAATAAATATTTATGCTCACGAAGTTGTTGTCGAAGCTGCGCTGTATATGAGGTTTTTCTCTTTGCCTTAGTTCGGTAGCGTGTGATGGTAATAATAATGAGCAGAGCAGAGCTGATATTGAGTATAAATGGGACGAGAAAATGAAAAATATTCATGATTGTATTAAAGAGTTGAACTGGTCGCGAATAGAAGACGACACATCATGTTCGTTGCTCCTCAATATCATCAATCAAGTGCCGGTTTAAGAGATCTTGAATGTTCGACAGAATTTCGAAACAAAACAAAATAGACATGGTTGTTCTAGCAATTTGTTTGGTCTTTGATATATCAAAGCTCACACCTTTGGATACTCCAAAGGCCCGCTCAGCAATTACAGCTGCATGAAGCCAGCTTGCAAAACTGCGAAAAACTTGGAAGAGACCATCACTTATGATACAACTAAACGAGAGAAATGCTCGATTGGTGACTGTGCCTTGCTGTGCAAAAACAACAAGCCAAAATTTCAATGCAAATATGACAGCGGTGAAAATGGAGATGATCGACGAAACGAATAGGTATAAGTCACTTCCAACTTTTCTTAATTTGTCACTTTGAAAAGTAATGATTAAAATCGTACCGTTGATCAAAGACAATACGACTAGACCCATCACCACTACTACACTCACTTTGACAATCGTTGGCTGTCGCTTCAATGTAATATGAGGGTGAATCTGATAACCAAGAATAGCTTCGAGCGAAAGGGTGAAACCATTACTAGTAAATTGGCAACGTGATCCATAAGAGCATTCACCACAAACACATATCATGAATGATGGACAAGTAGGATGATCTTGAAAGCATTGAGCGTCATTTTGACAATAAATCGATCGTTGGCAATCATATGTCATATTGTGATCAAAATCAAAGCAATTGGCATGGTGTTCAATTGTACATAAGCACATATGCTCTTCATCGTAGAAGCATTTCAAACGTTCGTCTTTGAGGCACGGGATATGATAATATTTCATGCGTTCAATAAGATTCAGTGCCATTAGCGTAGAGTTTAGAAGTTGATCAATTCGGTAGCAACGATTTGAAGTAACCAACGGTAAATTTAAACTTGCTGAAGGAACAAATTCGGGTTCAACATAAGCTAAATAGTAGTAACTAGAAAATTGCACAAAAATTATATGGTATTCAGTTGTTTGTTTTACAATAACTGTATTCTGATCAAAAGCAAGTTTTCTAATTGTAGTTACGCGTAAGGATGGAGCATTCACCATAACAGTAATGAAATGAACAAACACAGGTGTAGGAATGGACATATCCAAAAAAGATATTTCAATGCTTGATTCTTCAGACTTGCATTGCACGCCAGTATACCCTTGTTTACATATGCAGGAAAAGTCTCGCTCAGCAACTCGCTCATCTGTTGGAACGCACAGACCAGCATTGAAACATAGATTTGGATTGCACGATGATCGCGTCAGTAAGCATCGTGGTCCGTATTTGCTAAGGGGGCATACACAGATAGCGTTGCTGTTACCAGATCCGAGACAGATAGATCCATTAGCACAATTACATTGGTGAGCTTTTTCACAAAATGAACCAAACCATCTGTGAAAGCATCTGCAAAATGGTGCCTGTGTATTTGTATATAATAGACACTCGCCATTTAAACACTTAGGAGAACACTTCTTTGATGTATCACTCGCTTCCATTGGAATCTTTAGAAAAGTAGCAATGCGATATACTGGTAAAAATGAGAATTGAACTACGAATTGCCAGCTGGCACGGTATTTCAAGGCCAGCTTCTCAAACACATCTATGCGAACAATGTATTTCATTGAATCATTTTTAGATCGACTGGAATAAAGGAGATTTAATCCAAATTGAACGTTACAATCACGAACTCCATAATAGATACACTGTTCGTGTGAGTGAATCTTAGAAGTGTTGTCCATGAGTATTATAACCAAGTTGAATGCTGTACGCATCTCAAACGTTTGAACACGAAAAGAAAGGCTCAAGCGCTGACTTTGAAATTGGCATCGACTACCATAATAAGCTTGTGAACAAAGGCACTGATAAACAAGTTTTTCGTGAGTCAAATGCCAAGTCAACAAACCGCGATTGCATAGCCAAGCCACCTGCAAGCTTTTTGTATAATGGTTTTGGTGCCAAGACAAAACTACGTTCTCTTGATGCGAGATCGTGCTAGTTTCGGTTGCGCCGCGTTTGCGCCTAGTCAAAGCGAAATGAACTACACTGGGTTTGGAAGCTTCACTCAACGCACAAAAAAGCTTATAGTTTGGGTAGTGTTCAAGCTCTGGATAGTTAGTGTATTCAAAGCATAATCCGTCGTCAAAACGTGAACTTTCGCAAAATCTATCATCATCTCCGAATGGACACATTTCTTTAAATCGACACATACCAAATATATCGATACATTTGGTACTGTTCGAACAACGATATCGCTTATCTGGGTCATCAGCTACCTTATTGCGACAATAGAATCGCTCGTCTGATCCTCCAAAACTATCGACATGTTCGTCACCTGCACGTATAGCAGGTAAGCAACCCAATGAAAAACTTTCAGGTAACACACAAACGAATTCGTTTGGTAAACATTTACTGGATAGATTAGTACAATTTAGTTCATCAGCCCCATTCTTACAGTTCCAGAAGCCATCACAGCGGGTGTAAATATTACTACATGGCCAATGATCACAATTTGTTTCATCCGTCTCGACGGAAGTATTAACGATATACTGGTTAAGATTAATTTCGATAAAACCATCGCATAATGTTCCGAAAGAGATTGATTCAGTGTTTGACGACGTTTCTGGTGAAATTTCGTCTTCACCGTGATAACAGTCCTTATATCCATCCAACCAAAGCAAATGGGAGAGGCATTTATTTTCAGAAGAACATGAAAACCGTAGATCATCGTTTACAGTGCATGAATAATTACTGCTCTCATCGCTCCCATCTATGCAATCGACAAATCCGTCAGTTAATCGTCGGTTAAGAATACACTTCGTAGAATTCTTACACTGATAGAATCCATCATTTTTGCAATGCTGCTCACTAATGTTGTTGGTAGTATATGTCCAAAATATACTAGCAAGATCTTTCAGCATGCCAAACCAATCAGATTTTTGACTGAACCCATTGAATAGACGACAAGTTGATCCATTTATTCTGATAGTCCACGTTAGAAATGGGCATAGTTGCTCATTGTAGCACACATAGTGTGGTTTAATAGGATTTCTACTTGCCAAAACTTCATCAATAGATTGATTTTGCGAGTAATATAGATAGATATGACCAAACAATGTCGGAAAGAAAGGAAAAGCAAATAATGTTGGACAATGTGCAGATATGAATGCGTTACATCGAGAACCGCTCTTCTGACAAGGGGAGTTTGTTTGTATTCCGATGTTCATGTGTTTCTTAATTTCAAGAGAATCAATCATCGCCGACCAACATTCGATGGTTAGAAAAGGATTATTTATTTTTGAAAAAATTGTTTTTGTGAAAAGGGAAAGTCGTCCCTTCTCGCAATCGCGGCTGTCTCCAATGTCAACTGGATTTCCATCGCCGCAGTTAAACGTAATGTACTGTAACTCAGGAGTAAAACCAAGTCCACTAGAACGATCCTCACATCTCATTGTTGGATCCTCCGAGCAAGCAAAGCTCCCTTTCTCATCACTACCGTCCAAACAATCTGGATTAGCACGATCATTACGATAAAATTCCATTGGAATACACTGTCCGTTATGACACTGAAACTCGTCTTTGCCGCAGATGCTTATCTCCAACTCGACACAATAGCGCTCATCGTCATTGTCGTTCATACAGTCTATCTTTCCATCACAAACATCACGCCAGTCAAGACAACGTGGTTCTGGTCCAGTGCGACAGTTTAGATGCATATAGCAAGTAAGATTCGTTATTTCGAAAGCATTTTCAGAGTGCTGACTTTTGGATGCTAAAGACATTTTGACAATATCAGATAGAGACTTATCTTCATCAAAACGAAATTGGCAAAATTGTCCAAACCATGGACGCGTGCAATTGTTAAATGTTTGATTGGGAAATAGTTCGTTCGGATTGTCTAAATAAACCTGGTAATCTTCAGCCAGATCAACTGGAGCAGACCATTCGCACAACTGCTGACTAGTTACTTGCTGTTGACGAAGTTCGTTAAATGTGTGGACGGTACCATGAACATTAAGCAGTGCAGAATTGACTACTTCAAATGGTTCAGGACGAATACAATATTGAATGATTTGGGATAGTCCATACCAACCACCTTCATAGTCCGGAAAGTCGTCAGTAGAGTTATAGTATAAACAATCGTGCATCAGTGTGGGCTCATGCCACCTATCTGTGAAATAGGCATTAAACTGATGACCATTTGAAGTCGTTAGCATCATTATAGACCAGATAATTGATTTGATTCGAATTACTATCATGACACAATGCATGGTTCGATGATATCTACTTATTCTTCTCTGACACATAAGCTCTAACTAAACTGCTTTTATGTTTGACAAGAATAGTCACGTTCATAAATGATCAACTGACTCGAAAATGACAGAGGTTAATGCTTCCGTTCTAAATATTCTTTCCGCTCTATGTCAGAAATCCCATGACAATCCCAATAATCGTTGGCAGCACGGTATAGGGCAGCTGCCGTCAAATGAAGAAGAGGAAATAAGTGGCATGTTAATTAACATACTGATGGATCAGTGACGACAGATTTTTCAGTCAAATGTTGTTAACGCGATGATGCAGATATTACGTATAAGTAAAACGCGTGGCGTTATTAGAGTAGGCGTGCAGCAAAGTACCGCACACAAATGATCATCAGGAAATTAGTTTTAATACATTCTAAAGGAGAAAGGATCACAAACTCTGATAATGAAAGACTCTTATGACTTAAGACAGAACCATTATCTTGTTTATTTAATGTATATCGTATGAATGGGGCTGACAAATATGACTTGGCGTTTGAAAAACGATTCAATGTTACAATATTTTGTGCAATAAAGATGTAAAATCGCATGATATAATTAACTATGATTAAAAAGCTGGTAACGAGACACCAGTCCGTCAATATGACGTGCAAATATGACAGAAATGTCGACGAAGACACTGTCCGCGATAGTACCATTTGATATGGGGTGTGGGTGTTCAATTGAAAAAGTTACATACACCCACACCCTCAAGTTTGATTCTTTGCAATTGATTTATTTCAGAGAACTTTTAAATATTTCAAATTCAAGTACTACATCGACTAACAGTTCCTTTTGAGGATTGAGCAACAAATGGTGAACGAAATGTTTCAAGTTGAACAAATTTGTATTAACATATAAAACAATCTTATTCCTACTGTTTGATCTCTACCATAATAAAGAAGATTATCAAAGGATCATTTTTCAGTACTCATCATTTTCAATTATATTTCTATTTAAAAGAAACAATTCAAGATTAACTCGGGTTGTTGCTGATGAAACATTCTAAAATTGGTATTGATCACAGCTAGAACAAGTTCTACTGATTGGTGAAAACTCGGTCACAATTAATTCTTTAAAAGCATTTTGATATTTTCTAAATAAACTTGACTTAAATCTGATTGAATATCTTCACGACGACAATACAAAGCGAAATTCAATTTTTTAATCATTTTTCTTGTTCACAACAATATTGTGATGTCTTAAATGAAAAAAAAGATTTTCTTTATTATCGAGATATTCATATTTTTTTTCATTAGAAATTGTTGATCGAGTTTTGTTCATTTCTCATTGTGAATTGATCACGAAGACATAACTCGAGCATACTCTTAGATGTTCCATTGTGATAGATTGTAGCGCTCGGTGGCACAAGATAATCTGAGCAACATAGAATAATTTCAAATCATATGCCTAATTTGTCTTGTTACAATTATCAAAGCTTTGAAAGATTACAGTATTATTATTTAAAAGTTCTATCATTTTTCATTTTAGCGTGTTGAAACGATTGGTTGTTTGGTTTTTGAAAGACTTTCATATTTTCTGACTCATCTTTATTCATTGAGAAATTTCAAAATTACAGTCATCTATAGTCTGCCTTTTCTTTCTCAAACAGCAGTTTTATCTTCATTTATGAGCAATAGTGAAACGAAAACCAAAGCAAACAACTGCAGAATCACATCTACTTTAGAGTATGTATTCTTTTTTGCATGAACTTTAAGACAAAGAACACTACTTTCATATTTTTACTCGACTTGCTTAGCAGAGAAAGAGATTACTTGTGTGTGCGATGTTTGAGAATTTCCTAAGAAAATAAGTGCATAAATAATTTTTCTTTAGAACAGAGAAATAGAAAAACAAACATTTTTGTGGAACAGAAGATCCTAGAAAAATCAGCTTCCAGTAAGATACCTATAACTCTTGTTTGATCAAAGTTATAGATCTAAACCTTGTATAGAATAGTAGGTACTCCATCAATATTTATAAGATGCACCTAATAATTATGATAAGTTATTATAGCCACCTCACGAGCAGACTGATTTTCGAAAGAATCACGTACTGAATCGTTGATAGTTATTTCTAGGAATGTTACTCACCAGAATACAAAGACAGATGTCCTGTCGCAGGAACATAATGAAATTAAAGAATCTTTGTCGAAAGATGAATTTACCCTAAGTCGCTTGGCAGAAGTAGTTGAGCACTTCGATCAGATAAACTTACACGAATCACTGTTACGTGGTATCTACGGCTTTGGTCTCGAACGTCCTACAGATGTTCAGCAACGTGCTCTCAAACCGTGCATTTTGGGTTCGTTGTCTGTCATTTCTCTGGACTGAAATTTTTCAATAATTATTCATTCTTCTTAAAGGTTACGATGTGATTGTGCAGGCACCATCAGGTATGGGCAAAACGATAACCTTCATCATTGCAATTTTACAGCAACTCAACATGGAGTGCAAAGACTGTCAAGCGTTAATTCTGGTACCAGCGCGTGAATTGGCTCAAAATGTATAGTTTTCTTTAGCACATCATCTTTGTTTCTTATCAATTTCTTGATGCTATTTGTAATTTAGATCCGTAGAGTAGTTTTAGCACTAGGTGGACAAATGAATGTGACATATCATGCTTGTATTGGTGGTGCGAATCTTGGCGATGATATGAAACAGCTTGAAGCAGGTGCGCAAATTGTTGCTGGCACACCTGGCCGGATCTATAATATGCTAAAGAGATCAGTACTCCGTACGTGATTTATGTCTTATACGTGTCGCATTTTTGTCCTCATTCACATTGTAGGCAGCGAAAATATCAAAATGTTCGTATTGGATGAAGCTGATGAACTTTTATGTCGTGGTTTTAACGAGCAAATTTCTGATATATTTACGATGCTGCCAGAAAGAGTTCAGGCCATTGTTACATCGGATACAATGGCCTTCGATTTACTCGAAGTTACAGCTAAATATATGAATGATCCTGTGAAAGTTCTTATCAAGAGAGAAGGACGAACGCTCGAAGGTATTCGTCAATTTTATGTTAATGTTGAACGTGAGGTAAATATATATATACTTGTCATTCAATGATGGTGAATGGATGTATAATTATTATTTTATCCAGGAGAGAAAATTAGATAGATTATGCGACTTGTTTGGTACGTTAACGATCACACAAACTGTCATTTTTTGCAACACACGTCAAAAGATCGATTGGTTAACTGAAAATCTACGTGCACGCAATTTAGCTGTGTCTGCTTTGGTCAGTTTCATCATGATAATTTTGAAATAACTATTTTTAAAGTCATAGATTGAGATAAAAGTTGGTTTTCTTTTCATTGTAGCATCTTGATATGGATGTAAAACAACGTAACGATGCCATAAAAGAATTTCGAACGGGTTCTAGTCGAATCTTGGTAAGAACAGATATGTTTGGAGACGATACTGATATTCCACAAGTCAGTCCTGTTATCAATTATGATCTACCGACTAATCGTGAGAGCTATATTCATCGGTAAGAATCAATAATATCGAAAACCAATGAAATTTGTTCTTTTTGTTAAGTATTGGACGTAGTGGCAGATTCGGTCGAAAAGGTACGGCTATCAATTTCATTACCAATGATGAGCAACAAGTATTACAAAACATTGAACAATATTGTAATACACGAATTGAAGAGCTGCCCATGAATATTGCCGATTTAATTTAACTAAGATAATTCTGTTCTTAATTTTTTGTATTAATACAAACGCCATCGCGTTATTATCGTCTTCTGATCTTATAATGTCTATTCGAATGATATGAAAAATCAACTCCTAAATAACTTCCATTGAAGTCATTTTTATGCTTACTTTCTGATTTAGTAATGCTATGTCAGTAGAGACATCGTCTGACATAAGAAGACCCTCGTTTTCCCCTGTATAATATTATAGAAGAGGAATCGACTGGAGAAAGAAAAAGGATGTGAGTGTTCATAAAAGAAGCAGTTACAACCACACCTACACCCTCAAGAGTTCATTTTCTTATCTAATAAATCAATATTTGAGAGAACGAAAGCCCCAACTGCTTTGTATCCGACCTGCACTCTATTTACTTGAATCAGGTTTATGCAGTTTACCATCAGTTTCATGTATTACATGGCGCGGATTAAATTTGAAATCTGATCTTGACAAATTTATTGTTGGACGAGAAGTTTGCTTTACTGGTATCTGTAGTACTACAGTTAATAAAGATCAAACACTTAAATTCATGAACTCTCGATCACGGTCAAGATTACACAAACGAACTCTAATGAAATTACATTCGTTGACAGTTATATTGAATATGAAGACGGAGTAGTGTTGTCATTGTGTTCTCGGTGGGAAGTAACTAAAGTAGAAGAAGATTGGAATGAATTATTTGACCGTATAGGTTCATATCATTGTGATTATTACATTGAATTACATCAATTAAATAGTGAACCATTATTTTGATCAAACATGAAACCGACCGATGTACATTTACTCAGCTTGATTATTTTCGAAAAACCTGAAGATTTATCAAAGAATTTCAAAATGAAATTTATTGATTTTTTCATCAACTACATAATGTAAATGCAGGAGACATTTTTGGAATCTCTTATTTCAAACTTTAACTATTGAAACGAAGAAGAAAAAGGTTTTAAAAAAATCTTGAGAATAAAAAATATTTAGCATCGTTCATACAGGATGTTCACCACAAATAAACCTTTGCAGATAGAATTCTCTTACTCAAACTTAGCCTATTGGTCGATCTATATCTAGCATAGGTAAACATACAATCTGAAGTTAAACGAGTGTAATGTCGTATCCAGGTTAGTATTGATAAGCTACACTACGGTAATGACCTTTACAAAACCACAAGAGTGTCACTGTAAAAAAAAGAGGAGATTGAATGAAAACCGAATCATCGTTTTTTCCGGTTCGACTTTAGTTTGTCAAATAACCACCTATTTCGTTGATATATCATGCGATTCAAACCCTAGCATAAGCACCTTCTTTCCGGTATGGGTTTCTTTGAAATACCAGATATGATATGATAGCATCGATCCGCCCCGAAAATGTGGAAATAATAGAAATAGATGAACACACATTTCATAAGAGATGCTCTATTCCAAAGCTCATTGAAATCATTTTCTTCGAAGCAAATCAAGTTTCAAAATTTCACCGAAAGTTACGCAAATAAAGCGAAATAGTCAATGTCTCTGGTCGTTCAAAAATTTTTGACTTTCACAAATTCTCTCTTCAGCTGTGAGGCTTTACTAACTTCATCTAGATCCGAACGTCGTTTACGGATGATTCCATTCATATTATTACTAATTTTGTGGCGGGCTTACAAACTATCTCCGATGAATTTCAACGTCATGATATTAATACTCAACAAGGATTTGAAATATGTGAAAGATATCAAATATGTTCTGCAATACATCTATTGCATCATCAAGTTGGTGGAAGCGAACGAGCAATTAGGATCTGATAAGGAATCTGCAACGAAACTTTACAATCGAGAACATGTCAAATAAGAATTACAATTATTTTACAAAACGTCAAATTATGGAGGCACATTTGAATTACCGAAAAATATTTTTCAATCGCTTTCCGGTTCCATTTCTGTCAACTGTGCAAAACGCATATCTCCAAGAATTTACAATTTACTTAATGGATCCATACAATTTTATATTGTTTCAATTCTTAGTAGAGCTGTAAGTTATGAAATTCAATACACAGATTTTTCTATTGCTGGTGTTATATTTTCTGTTCAACTTTGGCATGGTGAGATAACAACTCCACAATTTTTAAAATCGATATCAACAGCCGCTGTAGTCATAGAATGTGGATTTACTGCTGCTGCAAGTTTCTTCTTCGCTACTTGTGCAGTTCTGTTAAGTATAGCAGGCGGACCGGCAACAATCCTCGTCCTTCTTGGTACCGCAGCTGGTGGTTTAATATGTGGTGGTGCCGCATATCGTGTTTGTAGATATTTAACAGAAAGATTTTTTCCAGACGGTGAAAAAGAAGAATTAAATGCTCAATGAAAACTCTACTGTCAAGCACTTGAAGTACTTGCATGTAGCCCTGATAGTTCAATGAGAAATATTCAACGAGCATATTATCGAAAAGCACAAGTTACACATTCTGATAAATGTGATAATAAAGAAGTTGCTGCAGAAGAATTCAAAAAGATTGTAACTGCATATGAAATAGCTAAAAGCTATCATGAAGTATTGGAGGATGCATGTAAAACATTGAATATACCAAGAAATTTTACCATTGGCGATTTAAAAATATGCAACAAAAATATGGTGAGGAGTACTGAACAGCAATGAGCATACAACGTAGTTTATCGTCATGCTGCTTATAATACAAACAAATGAAAATCAATACGAAGGTGGCTCGATAGTGATCGTAAAATGAAATTACGTCCTCAGAAATTGTTAGGAATAGAAGAAAGTACACATTTTTAATCGCAATCTGCTTGGAATAATATGATGTTTTAATGTGGTGATATCTTTTAATTAAAACTTGTAATGAATTTTTGCCTGGAATACTTTTTCATGTATTCACATATTTACTCTTGAGATCCTAAATTAGCAACGATCTTCTTTTTTAGGGTGATTGAAATAAATTATTATCTCAAATTATGAGTGAAGGTGGGTATTGATCTCGCTTTACCCACACCCTCTCCTGAATCTGGACAACAATTTCCATCTGAAGAAATTTATTTTATTAAAAATACCGAAATACCCTTACGAACAACGCGTGTTGTTCGCCAAGTTATGAGTTGTTTTACAAGCAGTAACAAAGTATCGAATTATATCAACCGGTAAACCAGATGAGAAATTATTTGATATGATTCCAAAAGATTGGGCGTACAATTGTAAAGATGAATCATTAGGTCTTTTACACGATCCACAAACATCAAAACTTGATGTTAATCAAAGTGCATCAGTACAAATTTGGCTTACTAGCCCACTGCATCGAGTTCATGAGAATGATACAGTTATTCTTGAATGGTAACCGTCAAAATATTCTCAATGTATCGATTTTGTATCATGGAAACCTGAACGACTATATTTCGATTCGGCGAATTTCTAAAAACGACAGGAACTAGTCACTACTCGAATTAAAACTGGAGGCATAGAACCGATTATTCCTGTTCTTCGTGGTGGTGGATACGAAGCAGTTCTTGCTGAAGTTTATCCAATTTATATTGAATAATGTTTTTCTTTTTCTGCTTGCATATAGTGTCTATTATTGAAGTTCACTCATCATGGACGAAAATAAAAGAAATTCTCATTCATTTTATATTTTTGCGCTATCTTCCTACATAATCATTTAAATTACAATGATCCTAGACTAGTGTTCATCTATCTTTAACTACTGTCTGTAATTTTGTGGTGACGCGAATTAACTTTCGCGTCATTTAATTTAGTCAATTGTTGACCATTGACACCGAAGTTCTCTGCATTTAACCATCGTTGAAATTCATCCTTTACTTGTGGCCATTCATCATCAACTATGCTAAACCATGCAGTATCTCTTGATCGTTCTTTACTAAATTCTGCTTTCATCCATGTACCTTCATATTGAAAACCAAATCTCAATGCTGCAACTCGTGACTTCATATTTAAAGCATTGCATGACACATACTACTCGTCGGTAGATGACATATAGAACATTACTACCGCTAGGATTGCTCCTCCATATAGATAAATTGTTTAAATTCATCCACAGTTTTAAATGGGCCATATCCTAAGTATTTAAAATGAGTCTCTTCAGTTGGTCTAAATGTATGATAAAGTTGTTGAATGACGATATGATTTGTTGAAGTGAATACCTCAAGTCGACAATATTTACCTAGAAGTATGTGGTGTTGTGGATTAGAAAGAGGATGAGGACGTGGTGTCCAGTTTTCAACGATATCACCAATTGTAACTGGTTGTGTCATTTTGTTTATATTGCAAGAATAGAATGAATGAAGAGAAGGATGAGAGAGCACATGTACTATTTATCAGCACTGGTGTTTCATCTTAGTTTCAACCAATCAAATGTTATTTTTTTTATGTTGGTACTAGCCTATCATGGAAGATTCTTTTCGTGAGTGTCGACTATTACCGGATGAGCTTTCTTTTGATATAACTAGTTGTTATGTATTACTGTACCAGAAATCAAAAGAATTGTATAAATCACGGCAATCTTGATGAATATGGTCATGTGTGTAGATTTCACAACATCTTTGCTTCTTATTCAAGTCATATCTCTGATTGAAATGAACATTGATATAACTATTGAGAGCAATATTGTCCGCGTTAGAGAGTAGAGACCTGCAGAAGCTGAAGTATTTAGTACTAAAATATGTATGTTTTGTCTTAGAGCTTGCCTTTTCAAAGAGAATATAGATTCGAATATGTAAGAAAAATACATTATTTCAATCAGATCTTCTGTTTAAAATGACTTGTGCGTCGGTAGTTGCCCAACTTTCGATGGCAATAAGCTATTCTTTGAGCAGCGCCTTTGGATTTTCTTCAAGTTCTAAAATATTTTCAGTAAATATAACTCCGAGTCTTTCGAAGTTCTCTGCCATCAATTGAGGATATATTTTATTAAGCTATTGAAACCACAATTTTAGGAAATCATAATTTATGGATGAGTAACTTCTAGAGGAATATCATTTTTCAAAGTCACTTCTTTGGCTTTCTTTTGTTTTGGCTTTTTCTGAAGAAATATAAGATTATCGATATTCGGTACAAACCAATTATGATATTCTTCCATGATCATATCTGGATCAGGTGCTACATGGTAATGAAGCGCGTGGACGTGGGTGTTATATCTGTAACTACACCCCACCACACCCACACCCACACCCATCAATGACACTCACAACACGTATTAGTTGTTTCAAGATTTTCGAGAATGTTCACATTTCAATTTGACCCAAATCTGTTAGTTTTTCAATCTTTCAAATATTATCTTTAATCTCATGGCTCATCGATTTTTTTTCCACCGCAATTGTCTTCAACTTACAATAATATGAATTGAGATGGTTGCTTTTTTGTCACTTGAAATGGAAATCTCTGGAAAATTTTTCTACAAAATTCTCAAAGTTGAAAATAGTTTCTGTAACTTTGGTTTCTAATGATCTTAGACATTCTTGTGCCATGTGATTTATATAGGAATCTGACCATCAAACGGACTAAACGTTTTAACATAATTTTAAATGAAATTCAACAAGATTTCTCCTAAATTGTTTTGCATGATTCTCAGAAAATTTTTCGTTGATCAATTTCTTGAATATTCATAGATGTCGATTTTACCACATTGGAACAAATAGTAAGCGTTTCTAACCTTTCAAGTAACTAATTCATTAATGCAAACTTCTCGTTTTTTTCTTTCGAACGAAAAAATCTCACTTACGCATAATTTCAAGGCTATTCGCAGAACAGCCAATATCTCTCAGACAACTTTGCATTTGTGATCTTGTTCACTTGAAAAATGCATCACTTTTAGAAAATGTGCTGATTTTTTCTAACGCGTTAGTGCTCTTATTAGCGCTGAAAAATATGAGTCAACAAATATTTTTGTTATTTTCAGGCATACTTCTGAATTTAGTTGTTTAATGTCAATGATAACATCTTTCAGCCTGCTTTGGCAATCAACAAAAACAAATTCACAAAAAAAATGTTATATCCTGTGTTTTCAATGAGGAAAAATAAAAAGAGGGCAATGATTAGCAAACGTAACAATAAAGCAGAAAATAAACATCATAGAGGAAAGAGAAACGAAAGAACGATAAATGTCATATATCATACATACGCAAATAATAACATGAAAAGAAACGAACATGCGTCAGTCTACCTTGCAAAGAATGTATCAATATATTTCCAAGTAAGCAGGAGAAAACCGACCGATAAAATACTCGGTCATTAAATTTTTTCCTACTGATACTTTTTTTAAATATTTTACTCGCTAACTGTTGCTATATACATTCAGAATATGACTACTTTCTTGGATGTTTGATAATGAGAAAACGATTGAAATTAAAACAATTGATATTTAATTGTTGAATATTCATTCATTTATTACAATATTTCAAAAGTAACTACAACAGTTGAATTTCACAATATATTATTATTATTCTTACATCTTATATATTACTACAAAACTCAGACAATAACAAGGTAGGATTTTCAAAGAATCGATAAACAGTTTGAAAAATACAATACTGGCTGAGTAGTGGGGCTATATTTCTTGGAATTTCTATTGGACCCTATAATAAAACATATCTCTAATTCTGCGATCTTCATTTCAGAGTATTCATTATTTTGTATTCTTTTCGATTTTTTACAATAAAAAAATCAATTGATTTTTCTAGAAACTTCTACTTGTGACGTCTGTAGATTGCATAACTGCTGATTTCATTTCCGTATTTTCAAGTATGCTTTTATTTCTAGAATAGCGCATGGCAAAGGATTTCAAGAGTAAACTTTGGATTGATATCGAAAATTATGTCAACGAAAGATGCACCTTTCAGGAGTTTTCGCCTAACTCACATATTGAATTATATAGGTATCTTTCTTTTACTTTTCTTCAATCAGAGAGATTACCTGAATATGCCTGATAGTCTTATATACTGTTATCTCAAGCGTTCGAGCTGTATACAAGCTGAAACTGGATCAAGAAACGATTATGTACATCGTGGTATTTTATCCTGTAGAGACAATATCACTGGAGGCGATTTATACGATCATATAGAGACTTCTCTTCGAAATAAATTGAATAACATACTTCATGTAAGCTCTATTTTGTTACTATTTTAGAGAAAAAATAGGAACTTTTAAAATATGTTGATTTCAGAGTGTAAATGATATGACAGGCACAGATATGATTGAGCTCTACGAACGACATGTTCGTCATTATGGATCTTCGTGCCGTCTATTGGGCGATGCTTGTGACTATCTCAATCGACACTGGGTTCGACGCAATTACGACAATGCTCGAACACATATTTATGAAATTAATGAAGTACGTTACATTTAGTTTATTTTGTTTTAAGAAGAACTCTTTGATGTTTAGCTCGCTCAACGAATTTGGAGAGAAACTTTGCTAAAACCACTATTTCCATATATAAAAGAAAAATGTTTAAATTTCATTAAAAAATATCGTGTTGATAAATCATCGATCGATATTGAAGTGATTAGAAAGATAATTGGATTATATTGTTTGTTAACAAATGATAATTTTTATTTTTGCTGAAAATTTTCTTTTAGTGGATGAAAATTTTCAAAAGAAACGAAATGAACTAATTGGCGAAGATTTGAGAAGCAAACCAGTCACTGATATATATACAGAATATTTTGAAATTGAATTTCTTCAAGATGTAGAAGATTTTTATCGTCAACAAAACGTTCGAACTCTGACACCAGAGTCGATAAGTGAATATCTTTCTGAAGTAAATCACTTCACATAATCATCGACTTTGACATAAGAATTTTGTTTTCTAATTTTAGATATCAGAATATTATGATTTTGAAATAACATTTGCCAAGTCTTTTTTGCCGAAGTCAAAATCTACACTTGATGCATTAATTAAAAAACTAGAAGAAATATATCTTCCAGAATATAATCTAAGTATTATTATGGACAAAATGAAAACAATTGTATCTAATGAAAATACTCAAGGTGACCAAAAATAGTACGAAACGAAATAGCATTGCTTAGATCATTGTGAAATTGTAGTTGGGAGTTTTTCATAGGTTTTACTGAATAGGAGCATCGCATTGCTAATCTAGTGTCAGTAGTATTTGTCAAAGGTCGTTGAGAGAAATGATAGTTGAATTGACGAAACAAGGAGTAAAACTATAATGTCTCTATTAAATGTAGATTTACGACACCTTTATGAGTCAATCGGTCGCATTCCGAAAATCAGCAAGGCAGTGGCAAAGTTAATTGAAAATCATGTTTATGAAAATTGTATTGGTGATATTGCAATCAAGGTATGTTGCGTGGCTAGCTTCTCATAAATTGTATTCTCTTCTTTTCTGTGTAAGGATTCAGAAACTTTTGTTGATGCAATAATAGATATTCAAAAGAAATTCTTGGAAATCTTTTATATTGAACCAAAATTTAAGTGTGCCTTAGATGAAGTAAATGTTTGAATTTGAATTTGCATTTACTGTTGAAATCGTGTATAGGCTTTCCATAAACTCATAAATCACAATGCAATCACACTACAAACTGGGACAACATCAAAGTCAGCTGAACTCTTAGCTCGATATTGTGATCAATTTTTGAAGAAAAGGTTCATTTTTGATTTGATTCGAATCTACTAATAATTCATAAACTGATTTTTCCAGACATAAAACTGGTGTTGAAGAAAAATTCAATCAAATATTGGTATTATTCCAATCACTGTTTCCATGAATCTTATTATTTTCGATTTAGACCATTTTTAAATATATTGACGATAAAGATGTTTTTGAAAAATTCTATGGGAAAATGTTAGTAAAACGTTTAATTCATGAATTAAGTGTTTCTCATGATGATGAAAAATCTATGCTAATGAAATTAAAAGCAAGTCATTGATCTATCTCGATTGTTAAAATTATCACTTTATTTTCTTTTCGCAGGATATATGTGGTTTACAATATACATCAAAATGCGAACAGATTCTTCAAGATATTGATGTAAGCAAAACTTTATCTGATGACTATCGCAAAGACATTGGTAAAGATATCATTTTTAAATACTTCAGCAACAAAATGTGTTTCTACTTTGCTATAGCTGATTTTTCTGTAAAAGTTTTGAGTTCAAATTCATGGCCATTTTCATTGCTACCAAATATTATTCTATCAACTGAAGTAAGAATTATTTATTGATTTTTCGTAAATCAATATTTATTTTAGTTGAAAGCAACATTTGATAGTTTTCAAGATTTTTATATTAATCGTCATCACGGACGAAAATTAATTTGGATTTATGAACATTCGGAAGGTGAACTACAATTACAAACAGATTTTACGGAAAAAAAGTATAAACTACAAGTAAGCATTCATTATCTATCTGATTTCATGATTGAAGTTCATAATTTCAAAGGTATCGACATATCAAATGATTGTATTAGCATTGTTCAATGAAAAAGTACATTGGACAGTTGAAAAAATACAAGAAAAAACACAAATTCAATTTGAATTCTTAGTTCAAGTTCTTTGTAGTTTACTGAAAAGTAAAATTTTATTTTCGAAAGAAATTAATGATATTAAAATGAATCACATAATTGAATTCAATAATGAATTCAAAAGGTAAAATCATTTCGTTTTAAATTTCCATTCCAAATTCTCATTCTTTTGTTGTAGTGAAAATTTTCGAATAAATTTAAATGAGCCCTTAAAATCAAATAAACAAAAAGATTTGCAACATTTAAACCAATCCATCGATGAAGATCGTAAATTCGTTATACAAGTAAAACAAATATTTTCAAGTAACGGTCTCATCAAGTTTCATCATTTCTAGGCAGCTATCATTCGAATAATGAAACAAACACAACGTTTGAAATATTCATTATTGGTGCAACAAGTCATTGAACAATTAAATTCACGCTTTACAATCAAAGTTCCTTTAGTCAAAGTAAAATGATTTTATTGAATATGAAAAAAATAACCTAACCGTACGCATTTATATTTCAGAAATGTATTGATCTATTAATTGACAGAGACTATCTTGAACGCGAGTTTGACGAACGTGATATTTTACGTTATTTATCTTAACAGATAAATGCATCGTTCATAACTGGTCCAGATAGATAAACCTTTTTTCTTGTTTAAGCAATAATAGACTATTCCTTCCTCATTCTTTTTTCCACAAAAGATCAAAGCATCGCTTTTCCGTTTTTTTTCTTCTTCTGAACATACATCCTCTCGTTTCTCAATCCGTTTCATCTTGTTTTCATCGATATCAAGTAACTGACTCTTATTTTCACGTGCCGCATTGTTACATCAGAGAACATCGCAAACGTGTCTATCCATATTCGATATCACCAATAAACATTCGATGGCATTTTTGTTTTTAAACAAAAGTAAATACTCTCTGGATATATATATATATATATTTATTGAACACAAATAAAGAAGAACAAAAAAAAAAGAATAAAGAATGATACATATATAATCTACTGTTCATATAGAATGCATCCAATGTTCATCTTTAAAAAATTCCGGTATTTGATCATCTAACCGTTGAATAATTTTATAGATACTTTTTTTCCATGATGGTTCAAGATCTTTTTGTTGTTGTATCGCATGAAAAAATTCTCTTAATGTTGATTGTACAACATCACGAAAACTAATTGGAACCTAACCAAAAAACAAATTCTATTCAGTAAGATTTTCTTTTTTTGCGGAAACAAAAATTTTCATACATCAATTTGATTGGATCGATTATAATGAAGATTAAGCACACGATATAAATCCGAATCAGTTGTTATTATTAAATCTTCAATATTTCGTATGCCTTCAGCTAAATATTGTCGTGAATATTTTTCAATTTGAATATAAAAAAATTCACTAAAATTAAAATTAAATTCAAGAAAATAAAACCAATAGAAATAATTTTACCGAAAATTTGAAAACCATTTAACTAATTGTGCTGTTATTAATTTATTGAAACGCACATCAGGAAAATAAATTTTCAATACTGATGAACTTGGATAACGTGTATAGAAGAACATTAATTTTGCTTTGCGTAAATGAAGTGATGTCAAAGATGTCACGTAGAAACCGAAAGAGAGAAAAAAAAGAACAGATGTTTATTAAATTAATGATACATTCTTTGTTTCTATTTCAAAGGTTCGTATTACTGACTCACTCAATATAAGATAGGTGCTCTCTTTTGACATTTACACTCGATTTATTCTTACTAGAAAAAGGTCATTTAAATAAAACAAGAGATACTTATTTGAAAAGCATTGTATTCAATTGTTGACTGTTGACGATGATGATTATTATTATTATTGTGATTTGATGTTGTTGAATCGAATGAATGATTTGACAAACTTTTATCATCATCATCTATTAAATCTTCATGTGAAATTACTTTGGATGTTATTCGTGGAGATAAACGAGTATCAGTTACCTTCAAGACAAATAGAATTTTTCTTTTTGTTTTATTTTTTAAGATCAAGAAAAAGATATAAATTTTACTTTAGTACGACGTTTTTTCGGTGTTGATAAACGAAACGGAAATGAACGATCTGATAGTGTATTACCAAAAGGAAGTATTGGTGGCGGCGGCGGCGGCGGTGGTGGTGGCGTATAATGATTAACAAATGAATTATTATACAGAATTTGTGAGAAATACGGATGATGATGATGATGAACTGTTTGAGAGAAGACGGGTGGTAACGATGGAGCAAGACGCTTGGCTTCAATGCCAACATTATGCATTGGAGAAAAAAGTTCTTTTTGAAGATTTTCAAGAAATCTTGTCATGGATGCAGGCGATGTTATATTATGTGTTCGTGCTAAATCTTGAATATATGTTAAAAATGGTAAACTCTGAGGAGAGAAAGGTAATATGGGTGGTTGTGGTATTGGAAATATCTTCTAGACAAAACAAATGAAAATAGTAATATGAAACAAAAATAAATATATAAATTTAAAATACTTTTTTTTCATCTTGACTATGAACTTCTCCCATTTCTTCTTCAGATGATAATTGTTCATCGTCATCGTCGATTTGATTCTTTTCCGCAAGTTGTTGTGGTTTCGATTGTTTTCTTGAACGTTTATTAAGATGATTATCCTCTTCATCATCATCATCATCATCTTCTTCTTCTTCTTTTTTTATTTTTGATCGCTTTATTAAATCATCTTTTTCTTGTCGTTGTTGCTGTTGTTGCTGTTCATTATTATTTTTATCAAGATATGTATGTGTACGTTTCTTTGGTTGTATAGAATCATTGGAGGTTGCTGCCATAGGCGATATGGATGACGAAGATGGTGACGATGGCGTTGATGATGATGAATCTATTGAACGTTTTTCAATAATTTCTTGAAGCATTTTTGTATGTGTAAATGCCATATCATTTAAATGATTCAAATGTTGATGATAACGTGGATTAAATACGGACGTCAGTACATAAGGTGAAAAATTTGCTGTCGAAGGATTCATCAGGTGTTTAAAATATTAGTGAATGAGCTTAATATAGAGAAGAAGAAAAAATTGCTGAATGAGTCTTTTTATTATATATCGAACAAATAAAGAAAAGTAAATTTTTTTAGGGTCTCTTATCTCTGTGAACTTTACTTAAGTTAGAAGCAGCATCTCTACGTGCCGTTTCACAGTGTTTTTAACATTCACACATCTCTCCCGAGATACTCACCATTTAGTGGTAAATTTATTCTTGACTCGTCCTGATGATTCGTCTGTTTCTTCTTCTTCTTCTTTTTTTATGTGTTGTGTGTCTGTGCGCCGGATTAGATTCAGAAAGAAATGGAAAAAGAAAATCAACCATTCGTAGAACGTTCTATCTCATAGTCTTAAGAGCAAGAGAGAGAGAGAGAGAGAGAGAGAGAAAAGCAAAGAAATATTAGCCAATGTCTTTGTCAAGACTCAGAAGAACATTACAGCTAATAGGAAACGGGAGAACGATGAACAAAGAAAGAAAATGTTTGACGTTTAAGACGAATGAAAAATCAGTATGCAAACGTGCATCACCTGCTTGCCTGTTTTTTTCTTCTGTTTTTTATTTAAAAGAAGCATCTGCGCATGCCTACGAGATATCGAATTAAAAAATATTATCGATGGATAAATGATGATCGAAAAACAAAAATGCCCTTAAGGCCCTATAATTCTTCCTATGTTTTCATAACAACTTTCGGTTCAGATAGAAATAAATGGTTAATGATGATTACGAGAAAGAAAAATAGGCAACGAAAAAAAAAAGAACTCACGCCATTGAGGATATTTGAGAATCAGAAGCAAACATGCTTTGAATGTCATTGTTATGCTCGATAAAAATACATCCAAAAAAGAAGATAATATCCATCTGTCGTTAGACACTATTTAGAACGTCATCACTTAGGTGAGAAGATGTGCCAAGTGAACAAATATATAGCTATATAGTATATGAAACGTTTATCTTATTCTTCGGGTTCTCTCTCTCTCTCTCTCTCTCTCTCTCTCTCTTTTTTTGTCTACTCCGTTTCCTTTGGCTTAACAGTAATAACACAGGAAACGAGGAAGTCTCTCTTATTCTATCAAGAGTAGTCTTGAACCAATTACAGAAAAGTATTCGCCTTAAGGGTATCTAGCCAACCAACATTTTTTTTTGTCTAATGAAAAGTATTTGATTGAATTCGTTAATGAAGAGATTTAAGTAAAAAAACTGTTTTCTTTTGTGTCTTTATGGATCGATGAAATCAAGCGTAGATAATGATTGTCGATCAATTATATTGTTTAGTCTTCATGGTGAAAACAAATGAGGATAATAATAAAATATAATCCGGATATGATGATTGTATTCTTCAGCTGTGTCACACCTTTTATTTTAATTTTATTTTCGAATGATTCAAGTTGGTGCTAGTTTTCCTGTTGCTACTCCGCCCTTGTCGTCGTTTACAGACAATTTGAAATTTTATGTCGCATCAATACTCATTTGATTATATTATATTTATATATATATATATATAAATGTGCGCGTGTCTCAATGGTGACGAAATCATTCGCCAATAGGGATTGAAAACGAGAGAGAAAGGTTAATTCTCTCCTATCGTGTGAGCAGATGCCAGAGAGTTATGTTTTATCTCAAAGAAAATAATCTTCGATATTGATCTGTAGGTGTATGTCTCTCGTTCTTTACCTTTAGTGCGAGAATGCGTTCAAGTGATCAAACACATGCCATCGTAATTTTTTTTTGTTTCAATATATCACTATTCATCTCAAGAATGTTCAAATGATGTGTTGTCATGCACTATTGATTTCCCTTCAACAGATGTATAATATATAAATATATTGTCTCTCTCTCTCTCTCTCGTTTTATTTTCATTCAATATTTTATATTGATAAAATGGATTTTATCATCATTTATTCTAGTCGCGCACAAATGTCATTCTATCATTTCCTTTTTTTCTTCTTTTGACAAAAGAGAAAAAAAGCGAGAAGGCTTATTTCTTCCTCTATATCCATAGAGGCAATGGCAGAGTGCAAGCTTTTGATTAAAAGTAAAAGTTGTCTAATGAACTAGACGAGCAAAAAACACACACACACACACACACAATGAATTCATAGAGCAGCATAGACCAAGTGTGAAATACATCCGCATCACTAATGACATCCCACCAGAACATGTTCTTTGTATAGAGAAATACATGATAGATCATTCATATAGCTTGAAAATGCAAATTGAGTCGTTCTTTCAAATCAAGGCAAGCGTAGCAAATCCGAAATACATGATAAATGCATTGTGAAACAAAAAGCATATAGGAGAAAACGATTGACAAGGTGATATTCTTCTTATTCTCGTTCGCATCTGTTGAGCTATTAAAGAGAGAGAAAAAATGACGCGAGAGAAGATAACAAATCATTTAATGATACAAAATAATAGACGATATTTATTCAATGAATAAAAGGATACTAAACTTTTTTGCACATGTAAGAGGTTAATAAGAGTGAGAGAATCAAAAAAAAAACACAAAAGTAAAGAAACGCTGAAGAGGTGAAGATGTTGTTTGACAATCGTCTCTCATTTTGATGAATATAAAAATCAAAGGATATAAACGTCGTTCAACTCTTGACAACAATAAGGCTACTGTATCACTCATCATTATGAGGTGTTTGATTGAACATAGACAACAGTAGTTGCCGCCGTTGCTGTTCACTTTCGATGCCACTTCACTGGCATGACCACATGTGTGTGTGACATACTCAATATGCACGATGTTCGAGAAGACGAGACAACAAAAGTAAAAAGGATTGCATGCATGTCGATCTATAGAAGTTAACACGCACATGTTTAACTTGATTAGATATACTGTTGTCCACTTTGATGTGTGAAAAGATGGGACATTTTGATTTTGTCGCTCATTAGAAAAAGATCAACTGATTTACCTACATAGATTTGAATGTTTACACGTGTATAAAAGATAGTGAACTTTGCATAAAAGATTTATCATCAACAAACAATTAATCTACTATGCGACATGTGCTTTGATAAGTATGAAAAGGTGATGCGATAGAAAAGATTATTTAACAAAAAGAAGATTTTATTCATTTTCTTTCTCGTTTTAAATTTTCTATTGATAATAATTAGACATCGATACAGCTATTCAATCAGGCGCAAAATATTGATGCTAATCTTGATCTACCACACACACACACACAGTTGGAGATTTTTCTTTCCCATTAGTTTTGTTTCTATATGCATTATGATTTACTTTGTTATTATTTAGAAGGCGAGATCGATTCTGTTGTTTTGTTAAATAATAACAAAAGAGAAAAAGAATGTTTGGCAATTTCTATGAATACAATAGTTCTATTCCTAGATCTTATAATAATTTAACAAATGAGCAAACAAAGATTTACATCTACAGGTATCCTTAGGCGTTCGGAATCCAATAGAAAGGAACTACCAAAGCGGGAAACTTAAATAAAGAATTTCTCCTAAATGCATTTATGTTTCATGCTTGCTCGGCATAAAGTACCGGCAAAAATGACAAAAGAACTTTAGCTTGTGAATAACTGTATTGATTACGCATGAAAATATTTCTATTGAATTTGATAATTATTATTTCGATGTTCGTTTTGCCAAACGATTTGAATAAGCATAAAGTCCTTCGCTTGTCTAAATTGAAGTAGAGGATGATAGACAAAAAAAAATTTTTCTCGAAAAATACTTTAACAATGTCTAAATCTTGTCGAATAAGATCTTGTTGATTTGTTTTTGGAAAGATTGTTTTTATTCGTGTTTGAGTTTTGACTAAATCATCTTGAAATTTTTCTCTGATATCTTTTCCTAATTTTGTTTGAAATTTATAATCTGTAAAAATATCATGAAAACGTGGATGAACATTATCCGTTTCAAATGCTTCGAATTCTTCATTTCGATTCAATAGATTAGAGTCGGCTTCTTTATTTGACGGAATTAAATCGAATAAACATTTTTTCTATAGAAAACGAAAGATTTTTATTGAAATCAAGTCATTTTGTTTCCTGTATTTTACATTATTTGAATTGTTCGTAATAGTTTTGTCCGGTTTTATTTGTGTTCGTTGTTGTTCTGCATATTGTCGAATAGCTTCTTCAGTTGTATGTGGCAATATACCTTTTGAAATCAGTTCTTGTTCATATTGTTGTTGCATTTTACGTAGGCGTTCCATATTTTCTTGAAAATTTTGCTATGTAAACTATCGTATAAAGTCAGAAGAAAATTAAGATCAATAAGATACTTTTCTTAATTTTTTAAATCGATTTTCTAATGTAGTCCAAAACTTCCTATCGTTTAAAAATATTGTATTTGTTTTCATTAATTTCTGAAGTTTAGTTTGTAGGGCAACTCCATCGGGCAGACCATCAGGCAATTGATAAGTTACAATGCCTTCTTGTGCTTTTAAATTCCATTCAATATTTTGTTGATGTTCATCAAGAGAAAATTGACTATCAGTTGGTGGTACTATACGATTGAGTGTTTCGGATTTTTTACCAATTAGCGCAGTAGAATTTGTTGATGTTAAATTATTCGATCGACTATGTGGAATATCTTTATCGTCGAATGTCAAAGTTGATTTATTACCATCGCGGGTCACAGTATGAGCAATGGATTTAGAATCCGGTATATCATTGCGAAATGGCCATTGCATAGCTAATTCACCTTTTAGATTTGAAAAAAAAACATATACAGTTGAAAGTAAAAGATAAAGACAGAGACATACGATGAAGTTCATTACGGTAGGTTTCCAATTGTTCGGGAAATTTTGCAGTGGTTAGTTTGTTGGTTGCTATAGGGAGCGAATCTTCAAATGATTTGCGTTTACTGTCGGTCATGGTAGGAGAAGCACAAAAATAAAGTAAACTATAGATTTTTGTAACTAATTATTAATTACATATTTTTATTCCCGCTTTGTTTTCCAATGAATGATAGTTGTTTTTTTTAATATTTAAGACAATAAACTCAAACATTCCTGTTCGTCAGTGAGAAAACTTTTGTATACCGAAATATCAGTTTTTGTGGAACTCACATATATTTTCGAAGAAAATAGTGAGTGTAAGTTGAATTGTTAGGTTTTTCCGGCTCCCCTGTACCCCACGCCCCCCCCCTCCCCATTACAGACATAAAACATGAAAAAACTAACACTTCGGTGCACTAATTAGATAAAATTTTTGTACAGATCGATTGGTTATGTTCGTCACTACTCATATCAGGAATTAAAATCTAATTCCACTAATTAGAAATCAAGATAATTAGGATTTAATCTCTAATTAATCATCAAAATCTGTCGTTTTTATTGTTATACCCCATAGTTGCGACAGTATTATATATTTTTATTATTACAGACGTTACCAATGAGCGTATGCTACCGGTACAGACAGAAGCAAGCAACTAGTTTATGCTACTATTACATTCGTTACTTCTATCACCTACAATAAACAGATGAAGATTTTAATCTTCTTTTTCTCACGCAAATACCTTATTCTAGAGCTTGAGTCCACTTGAGTGTATTTACAATTCGGAACTTTTCCATCCGCTGGGAAGCTTTTATCAAATTTTCGTTTATGAAAAAATGTATCAATTTCTCACCTGGTAATACGAAAATATATAAATTTCTCAACAATACTGATAGCTATATCCTAAATACTGTTTAAACTATTATCATTCACAATATTTCTCAATGAAACCACTAAACACTTCAACATACTGACATATTTTAAACAAAAAGTTTTTTTCATACGTTCTCTCTAGTAATATTCCCTATTGATAGATCCAATAAACTTCAAATGTTAAAAAGGTTTTATTATATTATTTTTGAACAAAATATGATCTCAATGCACTGAAAAAACAAAACTTCTATTTGATCAGTATCTAACTGACCGAAATATGTGAGTTCCACATTTTAGCCCCAACGGGGCTGCGCTGACAAGCTGTTTTCCTATATATTTGCATTGAAATAGAACGGCTTACTGATTAGGTTCTCATTATACGACAATTTTTAATATTCTAAAACTATGTAATTTTATGACTTTTTTTTTAAAAACTCTTGGTGAGAGAATTTTATCAGACATTCAAGATAACATTTCCTTATCAGAGGTGCACATTTAACTATATAAATCTTTTATGATAGTGATATTAAAATGAAGAGAAAAATCTGTTCATATCAAGGTTTTGCTGTCGAGTATCAGCTCGTCATATGTTTCATGGTTTTATCAGCCGTCAGCGTTTTTTCAATAGCTTCATATTTCAAGTATTCAATGGCTAATTAATTTTTAACATGATCACAGCGTTGTGAAAGGTTATTTTAGTGATCCCTATCGTTTATTGTGTACAGGCGGGAATGTATATTTTATTGATTCTTTATCGAATACCTTCATCCTTCGTTTCAACTCGTAGTAATAACTCTTTTTTTCTTCGTAGCGCTTTCACTTTTTATCCACGTGTATAGCTTAACATTTTTTTATTCGTATTGCCAGCTAAAGGATTCATATTGTTCGTGTTTGAATCTTCTAAATTGAAACTGACGACGCAGATACATAGAAAGTGTTTGAACATTAACGACGATGTAAGTCTTCGTCTTTGCACGCAGTATACCTATGATGATAGTTCATAAGTAAGCAGATTTTTGTATATACCTACCCATCTCTGCGTATCACTTTCGCATGAAATTAGTAGTCATTGAAACTGAATGGCATCCTTTCTCATACATTTACTACAAATCGATTAGGCAGCGACGTAGTCATTTCTTGATTATTTAGTCTATGTTATGTTTATGTTAGTAGGCTACTTACAGCTTTCCTTTTTTTTTTCTTACAACAATTGCATCTAACTTAGATGGGCTGGAAACACTATTCAGCTTCATCTTACACTAAAAAATTTCTCATATCATCCATTTAATCTGTAGGCCACGCAACACATTTACCACAATCCGATCGTATTGTACAAAAATAAACATTGTGATCACATAGATAAAATTACGAACTTTTCGTTTGCTTATTGACTCTTCGTAATCAGATAGATCTTTTTTTTTTAGAAAGAATTGTTTTGAACTTAGTACAAGCTTTAAAATGATCTTTCTTTATATGTAGGTTAGATGAACTTTTAACTAGATAAAAGAACTTCTGTAATATAGACTAAGTTTTGTCGATGCCATTATTTATCATATGGTATCTCAAGGCTTATGACTATTCCATCTGATGTAATAGCACCGTCTAAATTAGATTCTTATATTTCCATTTATTACTACAGTCAGACAAATCTATAATTAGTTGATTTTTTAAGGTCTTCAATAATCGATCTAATATTTTACGCAGCATTAAAAGAAGGACGCCATGACATCTTGATTGATTTTTCTTGTGCATATAAAAAAAGAGGCCTTGTTGTATAATGTAACCTATGACATAACATCCAAATTATTTCTACACCTTGATTTTTATCTGTTTCTTCAACTCACATTGGTGAAGTTAATAGCTTTTGACAAACACCTATTCATCTCGTAACTTGGCCTATGTTAAACCTTAAGATTTCTAACATTATATTACATTCATGTACCATTGGCATAGTTTTGAACTGATGGAAGTGTAAGGAAAAAAATCGCCTATTAATCGATATACGTTCATTTATATCTGTCATCGCTTCACGGTTTCATAATAGCTCACAAATAGTTTGAAAATACATATTCTTCACATGCTTTAGATTACTATACATAACAACTCAATAAAAGTGTTCTGTGTTCCATTAGTGTCAAAATAGCATTGCAATCAATTTTTCCAATGAGAGAACAACAACTTTCATCAGTCGTACGAGTAGCAGTAGCAGTAGTAATACCCATCATTACTTCAACTCTATCAGCGTACAAGATTCGAATGACGTAACCTTTTTTCCTATCGTTGCTCAATCGCCAATAGCAGCTGTGATCGTACTATAATTTGAGACTGGCAGGGCGCCAAATACATACACGTAATACTAATTGAATTTCTCGCCTAAGATATCGACGTTCTGTCTTCGACGACGTCGTATATATCTTCATAATGAGAATGAGAGAAGTGAATAGGCTCATGTTAAGAAAAAATATCCCATCCGATCGGTCGAACGGAAACAACAAAAAACAAACAAAGAAAGAAAGAAACGTTGAATTTAGTCTGACCGAATAAATGGACGGACGGACATTATTGATGACCTATTTGCTTGTTCATTCATTCTAGATAATTCAAACGAAACAACATACACGCATTAGTCAACCATTAACGTGATCGGGTCAAACGAGAAAACAAAACACAATGGGTGAAAAACGAAAAGCTCGCTTAGTTAACAATGAAAGGTCAGTTTAGCATCTATATTATCTTTGTTTTTTCGTTAATTTAAAAGAATTGACCTTTACTCTTTCAGAACAGCAAAAAAAGAGAAAAAAACTGTAGATACTGTTATACTAACTGCTATCAATGATGAAGTATGTCATGTTTGGAAAGGAAATGTATTTTTTTTAAATCAAAATATTCTAGATTGAAGAATCGTCGTCAGTGCAATCAAATGGTAGCACAACAGATAGCACTAGCCAACAACCGGTTAGAATTCTGAAAAAAAATTTTATCATATTGATTTTATGTTTCTTTGTTTTGTCTAGTCTACAACAAAAGAAAATACAAATCCTGAAGACATGGAAGAATCAGAAACAATAGCTCCTATTGATGGTGTAGAATTAGAGAACGAAGAAAATGGCGAAACAAAACCATCAACGAATGGTGATGCTGATGATGAAGATAACGATAATAAACTTGCAAATGAATCAGTACCACCAACAAAATCATGGTGGTCATCATTAATTCATCTTTTTCATTTTCGTAATAATACAAATGAAAATAAACCTGAAATAAATGAATCAAGTGACCACCCATCATCTCCATATTTGAATGGAAGTTATTTAAGTAATGTTAAATGTCGTCGATCACTTCATGATGAATCATTAGTTAGTTAAATAAGAAAAAGAAAAAGAAAAAAATATGTTGCTTTTTTGATAGACAATTTTTTCGATTTTTGTTAGATTATATTTGTGTTCGTCTTAATCAATAAATAAATATAAAAAATGGAACACGCGGAATTTATTTGACTAGTAATTAAAAATAATCAAGAAAAAGTTTTTAAATCGTACGAAATTCATCACATATATAAGCAGGTAGACGTTGTTCGAGTGCCTAGACAAAAAAAAACAATAATAAAGAAGAATGTTGTCATAATTTCAGACATCTTACTTTAATAGGTAAATCACCATAGTGAATAAACATTGTTAGAAAATCAAGCATATTTATTGCTTCAGGTGGAAAATCAACCAATTTTTGACTAAAATAAAAGTTATTTGTGTTTTATTAATTTATAAATAAAGCTATTTATTAGGTTAGAAATCTGATTATCAGTGTTACATTTCTTTTTGTTTATGTATTTATCATGACACAAGAGAATCAAGTTACCTTCCTGCTTGTTCAATATGCGATTTTATAAATTGACAAAGACATGTTAAATAATCATCAATTAAATCAGAATGATATTGTTTTGTTAATGTATATATTGCAATAACGAATGCCGAACAGTCTAATTCACGTTTGCCACTACTCGATGAATTGCCACTTGTTAGCATTTGATTTTTAAGATACTTAAGCGTGATCATCCGTGGAACTTGACTGATTGTATATAGAACAAGTAATGGAATTAGTAAGAAATGATTTTGTGCTGATATATAAACACGTTGAAGAACGTCATTCATCCCAACGGATTCTAATAGAGGACCTAATTCGTATAATAGTTCATTCATTGTATCAGTACTTTCATTTGGTTGAGTACTACTGTTCGTATAAACTTGTTGAATATCTTGCAAGAGTGAACTAAAATAAAATAAAAATGTTGCCACTAACGACTCTATGGATATTCCAATAGTTATAAGTAGCATACTCATTAAAAGCTTTTAATGCATAGAAAAGATATTTTGAATCATATTTTGCTGATGCAGTTAATTCGTTAGCTATTTGTTGACGTAACAATTGCATTTGTCCAACTTTCATTAGATGAGTACTCAATGTTGGCCAAGCGCTGGCTCCTTTTGCTACGGAATTTGCATAGACTCGATTCGGTTGAGCTAAATTTAGATTTAAATTTAAAATAAAAGCAATATTTTCAAAATTCTTTCTTTACCAATAATGCTATCAATCGGACTTAATTGTCTCATAAACGAGTCGAGCATATCACTGGATTCTTTATTTTGAAAAATTGTTTGGATGATGCCTGTAAGCAACTGAAGTTCTTTCACGATCATAAAGGACAATAAACGGTCAAGTCCACTCAAGCCAAATGAACCAACAGCGCGATGCAATTTTTTAAAAAGTAATATATCCACAGCGGGTTGTTTTGTTCGTATGTCGTACCATGTATTACGTTGTTCAGCATAGAATGTTGCACGTGGATCTGTCACACGAAGAATTTCTCGAACGAGACGACCCATAAAATTAATCGAACCATCACCCAATGGTAGAATATGTGGAATCGGAATATGACGAGATTGAAATGTGGATTGAAAATCATAGATCTGTAAAAGAAAAATTAAGATTGAAGAAAGAAGAAACATTTGTTTTCTAGTACTTTTTGTTTAAGAAAACTATTTGATTCTTGTTCAACATTATAATTTATAATTCTTGATACTTCTTCTTGCCAAATTTTTAATCCATACATTCCAACATAATCTTGTACGTATTCAAATGAACGACGAAAACCATCCATTTGATTACCCAGAGCATCTAATTTTGGGATTAATTCACTGCTCTAAAATAAAGGCATATCGATTTTTCATAGAAGTAAAACATCGAAAGCATAACATGAATACAAACTTTAGCACGAGGATTGAATGTAAGACCATTATGTAAAGCAGTTGCCACTTGTTTAACAAGTTCTTTTCGAATACCATCTTCAAGTACGCGTTTTGGATCAAGCTTAAAGATAGAAATTATTTTGAAGCGAACTTCATAATTATTCATAATTTTACTTTGATTATTCCAACTAATGTCGTTTTCATCAATAACATACTTTCAGTAAAAATAGAAATATCATGTGTTAATTTTGCAACTTGATGACGTTCTTCGAGTTGAGCATAATCTCTCAATTTATCTTTTTCAGCACGTAATGGTAATTCGCGTAATGTATGTGTTTGTAAATGAACAATACTAGCTAACATTGAAAACATCGTTTCAGGAATGATCTTAAAAGTAATATTGAAAATTTCAGGCGAAAAAAAAATAATATGCCTCTTACTTGTAAAACTTTTCGTACATAAGCAACAAGTTCACCGGAATAATAATGACTTACAGTCATAAGATCATTACTACCAACTTGATTGATTCGTACTAATGGAAGATCAAGTGCTGATGATAGCTTAATTTTTTGAAAAATTAAAATAGCATCACTTGTTCTTTGTTGATGAAATAAAGATTATTTACTTTTAAAAATGTTGCACGTAGTTTTGTTACTAACGAAGGACTACGTTTTATTCCTTCTTGCATTACGCCAGTAAAACTAAATAAATATCATAGAAATTATGAAAAGGTTTTAGTAACTGAACAGATTCGAGTCAGCTAACATTGCAAAACACAGCTAGACGCTCAAGAGTAATAGTAGAAAGAAAATTCAATATAGTTTTTGCTACAAATGAAAGCGTATTTTCGATGATTGGAACTCGGAGTGTTTGGGAGATATTCAAATGTTTTTCATCACTCTATTTAGTTTTACCTATCAATAATAATCCATGCATAAGATAAATCGGCAACAAGATCCATAATACTAATAGTTGATTCTTGAACATTATTTAATAAAATCATTGTACTCAAAAGACGTTTATTATCATTGAGAAATTGTTTCACTTGCATATTAGCATCAAGTTCATGAAATTGTTGTACTTCATCAAGAGCTGTCATTATTTGATTTGTTTGACGCCCGGCACTTGTCCAATCTTGAAAATCTAACGATTCAATACTTTTAGCCATTTTACGAAACCACGTTTGAAGATTATCTATTTATAGAAAGATCAAAAATAACTTTAATTTTAGAGTAAAACAACAACGAAGATTTTATTCGTACCATTTTTTTCTACACGTGTTAATGGCATTGCACCCGAAAAAACATCAGCTAATTCAATAAGACGTTCAACAGCTTCCTTTCTATTTGCTGTCCATCGTTCATGTTTTTCAGCTAACAATAAACTAACAAGCTATGAAGAAGAAAACAAAAAATGAATTTTTCATTTTTACTTAAACGATAAGCAAAACCTCTTTAAGATTGAATTCAAATTGCGCTGTATTCAATAATAGTTTAAATACATCTGCTGGATTATACTGTGAGTCAGTAACAACCATTTGCAACATTTGTTTGCATCGTTTATTATTATCGGCACCAACAGGTAATTCACTTGTGTGTAATATAATCCATCGTAAACATATATTACATTCTTTCATGAATTTTAATAATGCCGAAATTGATTTTAAAACATATTCTTCAACTAAAACACCTTCGATTAAATATTGTTCGACTTGTTTATTTAATTTAATAACTTTCTCATGAATCATTTGACTCTAAATAAATAACAGAATTTTTTTCATAGAAAAAAAGATTTCCAAAAATTCCGTTTCTTTCTACTAGGGTTTATTGTGAAGCGAACTTTTTATTCCTAGAGACTATTTACTGGGGTCTATGTCAAGACGTTGTTTTACAGTGCACTACGAAACCGCTTTAGATCCTAAAATAACATACTCGACTTTTAACAGCTTGAATATCAAGTGTGTTGTTGAGTGCTGCTTTTGCTGCTTTATACGGTTCCCATGCATCAATTAAATTTACTGTCATACCCATATATAAATTGATCACCCAGTTATCAGCGAAATGCTTATCGACAATTTCACGCATGATAGCTTGTTTATTGTGTAAGACGTCGGGATAAAAATAAAGTAAAACATAAAGCATAGCTGCTTGTGTTGCATATGCTGCTGTTTGATGCTCGAGTTCAGTATAAGCTTTCTTTTGATTGTATATATCATCGGAACGTAAACGTCCTATGATCATACCAATAACATCTTCACGAAAACCAATACGTCTATATGCAATAAATATCAGTTTGAATGTCCATACGGAAGAGCTTTTCTTACCTAAAATAATTTTCAGGATAGCCAATTGGACGTTTATACGGTTGAAGTGAAAAACCATCATTTCGTGCTAATAATTTTCCTACTTCATCAATATTACTATCCAATGCATTACGTTTACCACTAAAAAGAACATTGTTGTTAGAGAGAAATATCTGCATATCAAAAGAATTCTTTTACCTGTAACGAAAATATGATACGATCATTCGTTCTCGAGCAGCACCATCGTATTTTAAGTCCAAAATGATTAACATTACACCAAATAAATAAACAGCTTCAGTCTAAATGATTTCATTCAACAATTATTTGTATGTCTCATGCTGATATTTCAATGTAGACACTGATATTGTGTTTTAGAGAACGACTCGTTCAACCCTCCTTGACACATACCACATTATGATTCGACCCACTAGAATTCTGCCTAATTATCTTAAATCTATTTCAATATGTCGAAATTATATATATATATTGAATTGGAAAGCATTTTTCAGTCTCATATGCAGTTAGCAAAAAAGCAAAGGATATTGCAGATTTGTTTTTACCATTAATTGTTTTCCTGCTTCGTTAGCAATAACACTCTCAACTGTTTGTTGTAAATAAGTACCACTAGACAAATCTTCAATGTATCTATAGATAAAATAAAATAAAATCCCAAGTCTTGAATTTGTTTGTACATACCGATTAAATTCAATTCCGTATTTATGTACACTTTCAAATGCTTGATAAAATCGTGTTAGTAATGTGAGATTATTTTCGCGAAATTCATCATCAAGATCTTGAAGATCCTATTTAATGGAAAGTTTTTTTCAAAAATAGAAATCAGTCAATCATTATTTTCAAACGTACTGCTCGATTATTAATTAGTTCATCGTAATATTCTTGCTTTGAAAAATACGAAAAGTCAAATATAATATCAGCATATTTTCCTGCATCGCGTATATTAATAACTTTAAATAATGGCGGTACAAATTCAGCTAAACGGAGTAGTTCAGCTATAATTGCATTGCCTGTTGCAACAAGTTGTAAAAGATTTTGACCGCACGGATTATTTGCTGCTAGAAAATCACTCATTATCTATCTAAAGCAAAACAAAACGAATAGATAGTCAGTGAAATATTCTTATCAGTGAGTAGAATAAACATGAATCAAAACATTCTTTTTTTTTTAAATTCATTAGATTTTATTATTTTACGAACTTATCCAATCATAGAGATTAATCTTTTCGAATTTTATCTGTCAAAATTTACAACAAAATGATAAAATCATGAATGAATATGACGATGCGATTTGATAGGTTTACCAACAATCGGTTTCAACAGATGACGCTAAAAGATGACTATTAAAAATAGAATACTTTATGAAGCAACGACTTCAAGCAAGTCCGAATCAAAAGAGCGCTTTCTAGATGAGACACTGAATACCTGAAAAAGACTTGTGCATTGACTTCTGCAGAGCCCGCGGAAGTGGGGGGATGGTGTGGGGGGTGTACGCCCCCCAATAATTGAAAAGTTTCAATTTTTCTCAGCGACAGGAGAAGATTTTTTGTAATTTTTGTGCGAACTTTGTTGCAAACACCCCCTTACACTCCCCAATATTGGGTCCTTCCCGCGGGCTCTGGACTTCTGTTTCCTGAGAGTAGCAACCTGCAATAATGCTCTTTCACTGATTCATCCACAGGCACTGAATAAATTTCTTTATGATAAAAATATCTTAGTGATTGTCGATGTGTTGACAGAGTGTGTTTTCATTTTTTTTCGTAGTACGACCTTCTTTTCGTTTTCTATCTAAAACAGTCTGTCAATAACGATACAAAGAAAGTAATCTGACTATTAAACTGAAAACTCTTCTTATCTTGAGCACACACACGTATATATATATATATATATTTACGGATTCTGTATAGTCTGATTCGATTATCAAACGAAACAGAATTTTTATTACTAACGCAACGCAATAAATAGTTTGCATCTAGAATATAAGATGTTAGCTCAACCGAAATTACTCTCTTGGTCATCAGCTAAATCGCGTATTTTTAATCAACTACAATATACATCAAAAATACATGAAGAATCTCCGCATCTTTCACGTAGATCATCTTCGCTACAATCGAAAATTCCTCAATTTCCATTATTTTCAAGTCGAGTTTGTATTTTTTTTTCTACAAAAAATCAAATTGAATGATATTCTCCTTTTCCGACAACAAAAATAGTCGTTAACTCAATTTCAATTTGATGCTCATCTTCAAGCATTTACATATTATCGATCAGTTGATGAAGACGAAGATTCAAATAATGTAGAAGATATGATTATTACATCATTATTTTATGATGATCCAAAAGATCCACGTTCAGCTATTGTGGTTTATTTTACATCATTACGTACAGGAGTTATTCGACGATTTTTTAAGTAAATAAAAATTCAATAAAATCATAGCGATACGAATATTCCCTTAATTTAGATACGATTTTCAATTTCCATCATTTCAATTATTAAAATATATTCCTAAACTTAAAGTATAAAGAATAGAAAACAAAATTAATAAAATTAATTTCTTTTGTTTTCAGCTTACTGTTGGTTATTCAAATAATAAATTATATTTACTTTCAAATAGAAATGGTCAATTAAAATACTTAACATCGATCAATTGTGCAGGTGTTGCTCGAAGGTAAAACAAATTATTTAATAGAATTATTTCTTTGCCGAAAAAATATTTGTAGAATAATTTACGATAAAACTACGCGCGATATAATCTATGTTGGTGGTGATAAAGGTTTTTTTGTTCGATGGTATCTTATACGAGATGGAGTAAATAAATATTACTTTTATCGTAGTAAAACATTAATAGATTTCTTATTTGCATAGAATGGATATGATTTAAAACTTGGCGAACAATTGAAATCAGCATTTATCAATCGACAACACAATATTATTGATATGAAACTCGATCCTATAACACATAAGTTATTCATTATTGGCCACAAAGGTTGTTTAATATTTGATACACTCGTTCGTATTGATCGTATCCAATTTAGAAAACAGAAAAACTAATTTTTCATTTATTTAGTTAAACCGAGAATCAGCTACTGTTCTTTCTGCTCATGGTGCACCAGTGACATGGTAACTCTTTTATTTAATTTCTATGCAAGAAAATAATAAATTCTTCTTTTAGCGCAAATATTTATGGTTCTTCTATTTTAATGGGATTTTCTGATGGTGTGATGAAGGTAATTGAAATCGAATTTTGCTATATCTATAGAGAATAAGATTACCATTATTATTTCTTCATGTCCCATTTTTATGAACCTATGAAAACAACTGATATTGTAGGTATTTGAAATTGGTACAGAATCAATTCCTGTTCGATATCAATTACAAGTACAACGAGCTGAAATTCGAAGTAAGTAGTATAGTAGATTAACATCTATTTTTTATTTAAATTTATTTAGGTTTGTTAATCACTAGTGACGGGATAATAATTGCTGGCACTGAAAATGGTGCTGTATGTTTTTATTCTCTTGAATCATTCATTAAAGTAATGAGCCTGCTCTCTGCCGTCATAAATAAGTAAATTAATTATCGATGTTTATTTCTCAGCTTGGTGAACATCGCTGTCATGCACCTATTGAACGTATGATGTTCGTGCGTGGCGAAGATTTACTTATTAAATTTAAAAACGATCTACAATTATTAAATTATACATTAGTAATAGAACGAGTCCGTTGACATTAAATCTAATATTTTTCTATTTTCGTAGCCAATTCGATCATTCTCTGGTACCTTACAAGCTGTTGAACAAGTTCGTGTTACATTTCCAGTTGGTAGCATTCCAGCACGTGTAGCTATACGAAGCCCACAAAATCTTTTTACAGTTTATAATCCACGTTCCTCACAAATCATTAATATTATTCCATTATCTCCTGATGTACGTAATAAATTTCATTATTATGAGAACAAATAAATTAATATTTCAACATCTTATTAGAGAATTGTTGTACACGATTTTGCGTTCGATTCAGCTGGAGAAATTCTTTATATTGTTACAAGTAAAACAGGTAGAAATCACACGATATTGATAGTCGATTTAATTCTGTATCTCATTTAGTATGCAGATATAATTGTTCAAGTTATCCATCGTATTTAATGAATATATTCGAAGTCAAAGAAGAATGTTTGTTTACCAAACTTTGCTGTTTTATGTGGGTCAGTATGAATATTGAATTTTGAAAATGTTCAATATTTTCTCTCAAGTTTTCACTTCTTCCTGAACATACAAAAAGACGTAGAGCATTTGGCGTTGTATTTGTTGGAACAACCAACGGAAAAGTAAGTTCAATGTTTGTTTGTTGTGATTTCTTTTCTAACAATAAATTTATTTATAAAAACAAATGATAGCTCTATCTCGTTCCTGGCGATCATGAACTTAAATATGCTCTCTTGCCTGATACACCAGAAGCACTATACAGTTATTTTCAAGCACATGAAAATACGACGACAATTGATTGTTTAGAAATATTTCAATCCTACGAAACATATACGACTCGAAGTAAAATTCAATGAATTATTGAATAGAGACGACCTTCATTGCTTATGTTTTGATTGTTTAGGAGGAGCAAGATATTTACTTACTATTGGAAATGATTTTGTAGCAAAATTCTATCGTCTGACAATTCAAGGTCATGAGGTTTTTTTACGTCAATTAGGATCACCGGTAAATTTATTCGAGCAAGTGAAAAGTTTATTTATCTTTTAATTTTCTCAAAAGATTCGTCTGGATGCTCCGCATATTGGTTCAGCTATGGCTGAAAATCGTATTGCTATTGCATGTAATCTTCGTGGTTATATTCAAATGTATACAATAACACAAGAGGGTCTGGATGAAATTTCACCTAAAGATATTCTTTATGAACATGCACCAATAAAATCGGTTACTGGTTGTGATGCACTCGGTCTATTTACAACTTTAAATACCATGAATGAAATAATCGTAAATAAATAGATATATGTAATAGAGAAGATCAAAACAAAAACGTCAATGATTGTATTTTAGTTATGGACGAAAGAGAATGAAGCAATAAGAAAATTGAAATGTGATTTTCCTTTAATATCAATTGCTAATCTTAATGATCGAGGAGATCTTTTATTGATATCACTTAGGCGGTTAAAGTACGAATAATTCTTTTCTTAAATGATTCATGTATTTTTTTTTGTTTGCTTTTAGTTTTCTAATGATTAGTGATTTCGCCCCAGAGCAAGTTTTGTTTGATTTAAGTAAAAAAACAATTAAGGTAAATATAGAGTATGAGAAAAACAATATTTTTGTTGCCTAGAAACAAGAAAAAAATTCCGTCTGCTTTTTGAATAGCTATCTCATTGATGAGAAAGTTTCTATTTGACGTAAACTTCCGTTTTTTTTTCAATTTAACATCGGCGCACAGCTGTCATATTACAATAATTATGTTTCAAGTGTTAGATAGTCTCGAGTATAAAAAAAACGGCAATAATTCTTCGAATATTTGATGGCAGCTTTTGCCACATTTAAATAATCGACAATCTGAGATTGATTTAATATCTATTTAATAGTAAATAGAACAAAAGAAGAAGATCTTGTTTCTCCTACAAATTGATGTATCGCGTGAATTTTTAGAAGGCATTGATGCTGCCAAATTACATCAAGGAAAGCAGAAACAGAAAAGATAAGAACAAAGAGTTGATTCTTTTTCATTTACATGCTTGAAACATATACTTCTAGAGGCTTCTTCCATTAAAAAAAATAGATAACTTTAATAAGAAAACTTATGGTGGGAAATTATTATTATATTCCATTATTATATTTTATCGTTTAGGACGATGCAATCGAACTGCCCGTTCAAATCAACAAAAAATTTGATGAGTATGTTGATCAAAACGACTATATTGGATGTTCTGTGTTGAGAGAGAAAGAAAACTGCACTCTGCACAGGTTTCTCATCTCGTTGTTATATTGTTATTGAAACAAAAGAAAAAAAAGAGTATCATAGAGTGAGGCCCGTACTTTGTTTTTATTTCTCTCTCTCTCTCTGCCTCTATTCAAATAGGAATATTTACAAAGTAGTACATAAAAAATTAATTATTGACACGACGGAGTTGGAAATCTTTCTATCTACGTGTCGCATTGTCACCACTCTTTTGTTAAATTCAAAAAAGAATTCTTTTTCTCTTTTGTTCTTTGGTTTACTTGTAAGAGAATTGCAAAGTTTCACACTAATATTTTATTTCTTGCATTCCATTAAAAAGCCAAAGAGATCCATTTCACACATCGCTCTTATAACTTTTTATTTATTTGAAATGAATATACTTGAGATGTTGGCAAGTAGATTGTTTTTAATGCCAGCATAAGCAGATCAAGCGTTGAAAAGAGAAAGAAAAAAAGAAAAAAGCCGTCTAACTTATTAAAATAACATCAACAGCTTCAAGTGAATGCATCGTCTTTTGATTATTCAGTTTTATTTTCATCGTGTTTACTAAAAGTTAGTTACGGTATAGAAAGAAATGATACATCCGAAAACCCCTTCGCCATCGTATAATCAGCAACGAAGAAAGAGAGTAACCATAAGTGGCAGGTAGCATCACGATAGAAAAATCAATTCTCATTAGTTATTATTTAATTTATTTGATTGTTTTGTTTAGAACTGTACTCGAACCACCGCAAACAGTTCATCTCGATGAAAAGTCAACTTCAAAAGGTTTTTTAAAACATAGAGATCATCATCATCGTCATCTATATTAATATTGTTTTATTTGTTTTTAGTTCTAACAGATGTTGATGATACAGATACATTGGGCTTTTTCGAATTACTGGAAAAAGAAAAGGCGGAAGCTGAAATGGCAAAATTGTTAGAAAGAAGAAAAAACTATCCAATTGCACCTGATGGTAAAAAAACAAACGATTCAGCTAATCTATAGAGTCAATATCCCTAATTACGACAGTAAAAAATCTACTTCGATTGTTCAACTTCGTTCGTCGTCAGTTTACTTTCGAATAAAAACATATTTATGTTTGCATGATCCTTGAAGTGTCCTCTTTCAAATGGTGTGTTTTGAACTTCTCTCACTCATACAGTTCTCGAGAAATCAGCGGTCTACGATGAAGACCCCTCGTTATCGTTATTAGAGTTACTTTCCTTAATTACGACACTAAGCTATTTTTTTGTCCCTAATTACGACAAATGCACTAAAAACCCTCTAGTATTAAAAAAGAGACAAAGCTTGCATTACATACGAATAGCACGATGGTTTTTGAAGTCTTTTCATAACACAGTTTCCTATTTGAGAAAAATTGATTTTTTTCGTGTCTGTGGTCCCCCACAGGTATTTGAAAAACACTTTTTTCCTTTATTCTATTTGTTTTCTCAATACATCGATAGAGCAAAGTGTGGTGATCACGACTATGATGTCTTTTTTTCGTATTGTTGGAAAAATAACAGAGATCCATGCCATTTATATATTACTGAAAAATCGGTTTTTCCTGGAAACCAAACACAGGATTCGCCTAAAACCTTCACCGAATACATCCATTTGACGCAGAATTGTTTTCTCTGCTAGAATATGTAAGATAATGTCTGGTACAAAAGCAGTTTAAAAAGTTTTTGACTGGGATACCGACCCCAATAGTCTTTTAGTGAAAAAATAGTGCATTTTACATACCCATATAAACTCCACCTTTTACAGTCAATCATGAATATTTTTATCCCAAATGTGAAACTCAATAGGTTCTTTTTACTCAGAATCATTTCAATGTGAAACTTTAGAACTCAGCTAGCATGAAAGGACACATATTTGGGCCCTTATATATGGAATCGTTCAAGAAGGAGCCAAACAAAGCTTACTTGTTCAAAATCTCTCGCTCAGTGACCTATTTAGTACAAAAATGAGTGTTCTGAGCTGTATTATATGCAGTTTCTGTGGGTATCACAAATTTGACTGCCTTTGACTGGATGACTATTGGGGTCGGTATCCCAGTCAAAAACTTTTTAAACTGTTTTTGTACCAGACATTATCTTATATATTCTAGCAGAGAAAATAATTATGCGTCAAATGGAAGTATTCGGTGAAGGTTTTAGGCGAATCCTGTGTTTGGTTTCCAGGAAAAACTGATTTTTCAGTAATACATAAATGTCACGGATCTCTGCTATCTTACTGCAGACACTAAAAAAATACAACATATTGGTAATCACCACACTTTGTTCTATCGATGTATTGAGAAAACAAATAGAATAAAGGAAAAAAGTGTTTTTCAAATACCTGTGGGGGACCACAGACACGAAAAAAATCAATCTTTCTCAAATATGAAACTGTGTTATGAAAAGACTTCAAAAACCATCGTGCTATTCGTATGTAATGCAAGTTTTGTCTCTTTTTTAATACTAGACGGTTTTTAGTGCATTTGCCGTAATTAGGGACAAAAAATTGCTTAGTGTCGTAATTAAGGAAAGTAACTCTAATAACGACAACGAGGGGTCTTCATCGTAGACCGCTGTTTTCTCGAGAACTATATGAGTGAGAGAAGTTCAAAACACACCATTTGAAAGAGGACACTTCAAGGATCATGCAAACATAAAGATGCTTTTATTCGAAAGTAAATTGACGACGAACGAAGTTGAACAATCGAAGTAGATTTTTTACTGTCGTAATTAGAGATATTGACTCTATCGTGACTGGTATGTTGACGATACCCAGTGTTAGGATATTATGACATCTCTGTTTGTTACAGTATTTTCAAGGACAATGGTTTGTTAAAGTTCCTATGTCTCAATGGCGTGTGCAAGGTTTTAGTATGAGAACCAGAGCTCCGCGGGATGCGGGACTATCCCGCCAAATCCCGTTCTGTCCCGGGACGGGACAAATCAATTTACTAAAACGTCCCGCGAAGTTTTTATCATGTATCGTTATCACCTATTGTTCTGCTATTATTCTAACTTTAGTTAACTCCAGCTCCTATTCTTAATATTCTATAATTTCTCTTATTTAATTTCTCTATTTATCGATAATATATAGCGACTTTATCGAGGCACGTCCATGATTCTAATTAGTCCATCGAGTTCTTTCTCGATTNAACTCTAATAACGACAACGAGAGGTCTTAATCGTAGACCGCTGTTTTCTCGAGAACTATATGAGTGAGAAAAGTTCAAAGCATACCATTTGAAACAGGAGACTTCAAGGATCATGCACATATAAATATACTTTCATTCGAAAGTAAATTGACGACGAACGAAGTTGAACAATCGAAGTGAATTTTTTACTGTCGTAATTAGGGATATTGACTCTATTTAGCAACATTGTCGATGCTACGTGATATCAGAGTAGTTCATATAGAATCTCTTTTTGAAAACTGACAAACAAAAGTCTAGAAGAATATTGTTCGGGATACACTCTTGATTATAAACCCAAAGCAGAATTTTTGAGCAACTGAAGTTCATTTAGCTTCCTCTATCTGATATACTTTTACTTCAAAAGAAATGATCATTTTATTGGAATATCTTATTGCTTTATGTGGCTTTTTTAGCTTTAATTCCAAATTCAACACTCCGTTCAATGTTCATAATGAAAAAAGTAGAACCAGCTGAAGTAAAAATGTTTCGACTAAGAATGGTATGTAAATGAAAGGCAAAAAAAAATGAAATGAGAATTTTCTTTCGAGTAAAATACGTATATGAGAAACAAAAAAAGTCACAAATAGATTGCGCCGACAACATCAGACACAAGTCAAAATGAATTAGATGATCGATTGAAACGCTATGCTGTATTAGCAAATTTCGATGGTATTCATTCGACTGTTTTTCAATTATTAAATAAAATTGTAAGCAAATGATATCGAATTTAAAACTTTTCTCTTATATTCTAGGATATACTTGACAATCTTCAGGTTTGTTTTGTAACAAGCACTCTAGAGTTCTGTTGGTTTGTTTTCTATCACCGTTAGCTTATAGGGTTTCCCTTGAATGTGTTTTTCGTTTTCCATAATCAATGAAATCAAGTTCTTTTTCTTATAATGTGTTTAGAACAAAACGAATAAAAATCTGAATTGGCAAAATGATGATGACGAATGGGTAGAATTAGGAGATCCTGATGATGAATTGGCGGAAGGATCATCAAAGCCACCTAGTGCTAAAAAATCCAAAAGTATTTTTTGTTTCTAAATAAAAATAATAATATTAATCTTAATCATTTTTCTCCTTAAGATGTACGTCAAACGTCAGGTACACTCATATCGCGTCATAAGGTAAGCAAAACAAGGAATTTATCTAGATAAAGCTTACCCATGGTGTAGTGCGACAATGATTTTTATATAGAAGACCTTGAATATAATTTATTGTGGGATAAGGTACTTTTTTTTTGTTGTATTTTATTTCGGGGAGAAATGCTTTGAAAACTAACCACGAAGTGTCTGTAATAAAAACCAAAAAATTCAAAAATTTTCTTCTCTCTATACATATAATTAATTTATCTAGGACACAATACCAGAACTATTTCGACGAATGCAAAATGAAGCATGGTGGAACCAAACAGATGAAGATAAAAATAGTAATTTACGTTCAATGTTACTTTATTTAATTGAAATAATAAAAGCTAAAGAAATCGATTCCTATGAATCGGCTTGTAGTTATGTTGTAAACATATTTCGGTAATTTTATTAATCGGAAAATTTCGTAATTGGCCATTTTTATTTTTCTTCTTAGAACATATGGTATTGAACCATCAATTATGAATCATATTATTGGCATTCTCCTGGATCATTTATCTCAAGGTGAAAATGACCCATTGAATGTTCATACCGTTCGTACCATAGCTCAATTTATGATTGAAAGAAAGGATATTATCGTTCCTTTACTTGATTTTACATTAAAATGTGAACCGGTAATGAATTAATTTTATTACAAAAAAATAAAGTTTTGAATTCTTATTGTTTCTCTAAGGATAATACGCTTCGACTCGAAACAATCAATGCGATTAAGTTTATAACTGATGTGAATAATACAGATGACATCGATTTAGTTCTTAATGATATTCAAGTTGCTCATGTAAGTAGAATTGTAAGAAAAAATTAATAAAGAAAATATTCTTATTTTCAAGGATGCTTCTGAAGATACATTTTCATTGAAAACTGTTATTGAAAGAATTAAATATAAACAGAGCCAAATTCCAGTTGACGTTGTTGATGAAGGAAAACCCACTGAAGAAGGTGAAGTTGATGTTCTACATCCATTATTAAAGAAGATTTCTGAAGAACGATGGTATCCACGGGATAATACTCCAATTACACTCGATGCAGTCATTGATGCTATAATTGCTAAATTACCCAATGCGACTAAATCAACGCTTAAAACTTTAACAACACATCTTGTTCAATTAAATCGGTAAATAGATAAGGATTTCAACTGAAAATTTTTCCATTGAGATTCGTTTGCTAAATTTATACGAAAACGCTGACATTTCGTGAATTTAAGATATTCTACTTCGAAGTACAAACAATTTTCTTTAAACGCAATGATCATGTGAATTTTTATGAGTTCATTCGTTTGTAGTAGCATAAACGGAGAACCAGAGAAATGTGAAAAATGATTCATAGATGAAGTAATATCTTCAGATATCTAACGCGATCGTTCGAAGTACTAGGTTGCAACAATAATCAAAGGACGCTTTATTTGCTTTCTCTTAGCACTTTTTCGAATATATTTGACATTTTCAGAATCGATTGATGTTGTATATTTTTAGGGTAATTGGTTATTCAAACGAACAATTCAATCGAGTATCGAATGGCGTCATATTGCTTTTGTCACATAATGATGCGGATTATCGGTTGATAGCTGCAACAGTTTTAGCCGATTTAGGCAAAGAAACAAAAGCTATTGATCTCGCCTTACTTAATTCATTCATCAATGATCCACGAGTATAGTTTTTATTTCTTAAGAATTATATAATATTCGATGATTTTTTTCTTTCTGCATAGATTTTAGTTCGAACTGAATGTTGTGATACATTAAAAAAGTTAACTTCTATTATGTCGGATACGGTTTTGAAAGATTGTGCAGATGATGTTCCATATTTACAAGTAAAATTCTACTAATAATTTTCATCGAAATTTTATTTTATTTATTTTAATTAGACTTTACCGGAAGAAAATTTCAGTCTTCAAGGTTATTTAAAGAAAAAAAATCATGTATTAACACCACCACCTTCGGCAACCGATGATCATCCACCAGTGCCCGTCGATGAAGAAAATGAAGGAGAAAACCAAGCGGAAGAACTAGAACAAGAGCATGAACACGAGCACGAGCACGAACATAAAAACAAACAAGACCAAGATCAAGACAATGAGTACGAGCAAGAAGAAAATCCTCTACCAATACATGAAGATAAGCATGGAAAATCTCATCCAAATATCGAAGATTCAACACCTCATCCTCAAGATGGCAACGAAGAAAACGATGATAACATATCAATTGTTCATTCTCGTACACCATCTCCTCGCACTACTGAACAACAGACTTTTGCCAAGAGAATGCAAGGTGTTCCACACACATCTAGTCAATTTAGTGTTACTCCAAGTTTCACTTCTTCAACAGGGCCAATAACTCCTGTTGAACCGAGAATTCGTGTTGAAATCACAAATGATAAAACAAAATCTACTATTCAGCCCACAAAACACGTACCAAAACCACGAAAAGAATTATCACATTCTCAACCACCTGTGCCAACAACTTCACAAACACCTCGTCTACATAAACAACTAACTTCTACTAGTGAGAAAATTGTTCGACCATCAGTGAAAACGACTGTGATTGATCATTTGCCGGGAAAACGGTTTGATAATATTTTTTCATTTATCATTTTGATTTTCTTGAACCTTTTTCTATTTAGTCAATTACGTCCTAATAATTCCGAAATGTGGAATTCATATGCAAAACAAACCGGTATTCATTATAGAAATAGTTCTCTTATTGATTATTTTCTCTTCTTGTTCTATTAAGACATTGCCGAAGAAAACAAAGATAATGAACCACCATCAACTGAAAATGATAAACAAAAAGTATCGGATCCAATTCAATCCATAATTGATGAGCATAAACGTAATTTTGGTTATTTTCGCGTCTTGCCAAATCGTCGTGTCTTAGTTCCTCATAAGATATCTTTTGATGATGCATTTAGCGATCAAATTCATTTAACTGTTGATAGACGAAGTTCATCAGAGTTTACATCGGTTACATCATCCAGCATGCAGTTAACGGACTTCAATCGAAATAAACGTCATTTATACGATGTAGAATTTGTACAATTGTTATCATCACTTGTTATTCGTTCAATACAATTGCACAGAAGAAATGAGAAATGTATACCAGGATCAGAAGTCTTAGAATCGAGCTCTGTAATTAGTTTTACTGATGCATTAAGTATCTCACAAATGCAGTTACATTCATCAACAAACTTACCACCAGCAAGTTTTTTTATGCAAAAAAAATTACCACCCATAGAGCCACGTCGACCATCATCGGCAGAAGCGGCTAGAATGAAATCGGATGCGCTAAACAGAGCAACAAGAATAGGTTAGTAAGCGTCGAAAAATCTTTGAGTTTCTAATCGATTTCATTGACCAGTACTTTAGAGGCCGTTATAACAATTACCGAGATAATTAAGATTGAGTATTTTTTTAAATACTTTTGCACTTCCTTGCTAGCAGATAATCTGAGCGTTTCGAGGAAGTTGAGAGTAAAATTCTATAGAGCTTCTGCATAATTCAACGATTTCAATTCGAAGGGAAAAAGACGGAATTCTCATTTGGTCCCTGGGATCTGCTTTCCCCTCTTGATTATCGCTCTATAAGTTGCTAACTATTTGAATTTCGTCGAACTTGTCCTATATATCTCGAACATTCTTAAATAAAAATGAAATTTTCGATACTCTTCGTTCGTAATATAATAAACTAGACCATGGAAATTTTTCTTTCTTAGGTGTCAATCTTAGTAAAGCTAAAGACATGGAAGATTCAATATCTAATTTATTGAGGCCAAGTCGTGATCGCACACGAACTACATTGCCACTTGGAAACGCTCCTGTTGTAACATTTACACGTGATCATAATGAAGTTACCCATGGATGGATCCTCGAAAATTGTAATTTATTACTAAACTCTTAGACTAAATTTCATCACTTTCCTATTGTTTTTAGTATTACGATCTCAAGGAGCAGTCGATTCTCATACTTATATTCAACAGATTGTTCGCACTTATCCAAAATTTGCACCATTACTTTATTCTCGCGTGCCCGACCATCTTATTTCTTTCATTTGGAATGATCCTGTTATGAGACAACTTGCTTCAATTATTAGTAATAAATCGGTAAAAATCTGTTTTTCCTTTTTTCAAAATAAAATACAAAATAAAGAAATTATTGTTCACAGGATGATTCAAATCTAGAAGATATTTCAATGAAACGTGGTGCTACGAAAACAACGATACCAACATTCGATGATGAACATTCATCGAACTTTTTTGATTATACAGCATCAAGTCAAATATTAGCCATGCAGCAACAACAGCGCGATGATCATAAAACTGATCTTCTACCACCTGTACGTGGTGTTAAAATGTATGAAAAAATATTCATCTTGAAACCACAAAGGCAAAAAACTTAATATTAATTTATTTAAATTTAGGCGTCTACCACGTCATGTACTTAAATTTGGTTTTCGAGAACTTGAAAGTGAAACTCCCGAGGAATCACTCGTTTCATTACGCGACGAAAGTACGTCAAAACCGCGTCGACGCCGAATTTACATGCATCTCATGGTAAGTCGATTTTCGTATGTATTAACTAATAATAACATTCAATAAACCTACAGTGTAATCATAATCATATGTAAACTATTTCTCGTAAGTGCTACGTAGATAAATCCGTATATATCGGCTTTGTGCTCGTCGTATCTATAGACTCTCGCTATGTTAATTGCTTCATGTGCGCTTATTTTTTATTATGTTTTAGATGTCAGTTAATGAAAATCTGGTATGTAAATGAGATTTGATTGTGTTCACGTGTTTGCATGTAAAAACACAAATTGATTTTTTTATTACCTTTATTTTTAATAACAATCATAATAATACATCTTAACTGATGCTTTCTATTTAGTGTGCTCGACATGAAATGCTTAAAAGTCAATTACGACAAATGTTAAAAACGGACTATCGAACAACATCCTATATTCCTTTTGTATCACGATCTTTTCTGTGTAATTGATTTCCTATTTGGCATATTTTCCTTCCACTCGGTGATGCATTTTGTATCTTGATTATTTAACACCTCTTTTTTTTTCATATACGATTTTGTCTATTATTCTAATAAAACTATTCTATGGACATTTCCACAATTAAACTATTATCGTTGTGAGCAACAAATATACTGATAATTTTACATTTTAATTCTCTAGTCACCTTGATTAGTAGAAGTGTACAAGGTTAGATTAGTATCGAACTTAACATAACGATAATGCTCTTTAAAAGTATTTTTTAAGGTCATTATTTAGACACGACAATTTTGTACTCCAATAAGAGGGTGGATTTTAACAAGAGAACGACTTTGAAAAATAGTATAATATTGATGCTTAGACTAGGGTTGGAGTTAGTATGAATATAAGACATATTATAATGAGTAATTTTTGGTAAAATTCAGAATTAAATGAGATGAAATGAGAAAAGAACATTTCATTATCGATGCATTCAAACAGCAGATGAAATATAGGTTTGCCTTCATTATATTTACATGTCATTGAAATCCTAACATTAAAAACTCTCGTAAGGACTTCGCCGAAATACGTGGCATGTCCCTAAAAATGATTAAATAAGTTGCTATGAAGTCGTTTCAATATCAAATAATAAACAGACAAAAATCTATGTAATCATACGATATCTATATCGTTTATCTACATAATCATGTGTTTATTGTTGAAAAATATCTTATCTTATTTTTTTTCTTATGCAAACTGTGCCTATATAATAAACCTCAATTCATTTTCATTATAACTTCATCAACAATGTCACAAGCTAGATTCGACCAAGCTGCCGCAGACGTAAAAAATCTAAGTAAAAAACCATCGGATGATGAACTACTACAACTTTACGGTCTTTTCAAACGTAAGTGAACGAAAAATTCAATTTAAAATACGATTTGTTTGTGTTTTTTTTTCAATCGGATTTTTATAGAAGCAACTATTGGCGACAATAATACCACCCGACCAGGTATGCTTGATCTTAAAGGCAAAGCTAAATGGGACGCTTGGGATAAAAACAAGGGCAAAGGCAAAGACGTTGCTCAACAAGAATACGTCGCTTTCGTACAAACGCTTCAAGCCAAATAACAAAAGAAAATAAACATGTTTTTTTTTGTCTTTTGCGTTTTCCTATACTATTTATAGAACAAATAGAGTTCCTGTATCACTTAAGCTTTATTTTATTCTATACAAAAGAGCTGTATTTATTTTACAACAAAGACAAGATTGAATAATTACTGTTTAAAAAAAATATTCGCAAAGGAAAACACGACATAAATCAAACGGATGATAGTTCTGGTCGTGATTGATTGATATTCGTTAGCGAACTTCTAATCATAGTTCTTGTTTCTTCTTCGATATCAACTAATGAGGAATTATTTAATTGATTCAAAGATGATGACGGCGACGGATGAGCTGTTGGTGTGTATTGCTGTTGTTGAAAGCGCTGTCCTAATTTCGTTAAATTTTTTAAACGATTTTTTATCTGTTTATAACGGCAACATAATAAGCACGGTGTTGTTAAGATTAGAAATGGGATTGTAATGAGAAGTAAAAGAATTAGACCAATAAATATACCAGCAATGGTAAGGCGATGTAAAAATAATGATGCACGAGAATGGCCAAGTCTAAAAAAAGCACACTTTGTTTCCGCGAAATCTGGCAAGTTATTAAAATGTAAAACATTTGCTAGATTTTTCTATTCGATCTATCTGAATTTCAACAACAAAACTCGAGAAATGCAATTAGGAAGTAGTTTTTAAGGCTGTGAGTGATCCTGTATATTAATTTTTTGTTTACAACATATCATACCGATTTCGACAAGGTCCACTTTCGAAATGTAATAAGAAAAAATCATTCTAGAAAATAATGAAAATTCATTAATAAAAAGTTTCAAGTGAAATAAGTTTCATACGTACATCCAGTGATTTTAAACAATACCAACAAAAAATATGTTTACAATTAACACACATGATTTGTGCACAGCCAGCAATCCATTCTAATGGAAAACGACATCGTGGGCAACGTTTTATATTGGAATCAGCTTCCATTTCATAGGGTGTACTATATGAAATCAGAATAGAATTATTTCATTAATTATATTTTTCATTTCTTTGAAAGTTTACAGTAGATCGGAACAATGTTCGTGTGGATGCCACTGCGAACGACATTTTAAACAAAATGTTGTGTTACACTGAAAAACTAAAGCATTAGATAAATATGAAAGAAAATTTTCTTTCTACTTTTGTACAAATCATTGGATATTCTTTGTGAAGTTTTCTTTCATCAATAATCGACAGTACTTGTCCACAATCGACATGTGGACAGAACAGCCGATGAGGATCATTCGTCACCTCTAGGTTTATTAATAAAAATTCTCAAAATTCTCAAAATAAAGACAAGAATACCGTGATCAAGTAATAATTTATTATACAGTTGATATTGTGTATCACTAAGAAGTAAATGGAGCTGAAAAAGAAAATTTTTATATTGAAAAATAATATTATATCCAGTCAAAATACTTCATTTAACGATAATCGACTGTTACAATCGCCATTGGGACATCGAATTGGCACCGATCTAAAGAAAAATGAATTCTACATAAAATTCAATAAGATTCAGAGCGGATATTCATATGCTTTTGTCAAGATAAATCAATAGATTATCTTACGCTGTATTTAATTGACTCATACAATACTGTCGTATACACTAAAAGAAATTAAAGAAAAAGAAATTTAGAACTATTTATTTTTTTTCAATTAAAAATCAACGCACCTCTTTGCAGAATTGACAATGACACGATTCAAATGCGTAAACATTTGTTTTATCATCAATATCATTACAACATATTGCACATTGAAATATAACTTCACTACATAATTTCACTCGTTCTTCAGTCATTCTTCTTATTTTTCATCGAAAAATAAAAATAAAATTATTTGTTTTTTTTCATAAACATAAAACACAAAGCTAGAGTTTTACATCCATATATTTTCTCGCAATGCATACACACGTACACAAACAAAACAACACAACAGACATTCACATGAATACTGTTAGAACACCAAAAGACATCGTCAACAGCTTACATATGCTCGACTATGTTTATAATCAATATATATGTTCAAAAATAATAATAATAAACGGCTAAATCAAGAATATTTTCTTTTCCTTCGGATTAAAACTCCGTACGAAAATGAGAAAAAAAACAGAACTAAAGTACTAAAGAAAAGAAAAAAGACATGAATGACATTTTCACGCTTATCTAATCCTTTGTTTTCGACACAAAACAAAAAGTTTCCACTACGCATACTATATACATAGATATATGGCTATTGGTCGAAACAATTAAAAACCAACTGAAAAAATATCACACAATTAACATAGAGGAAGAAATAAGCGTGCAAGAAACCTAATATTTCTATGGTTTACTTTGTTGCTGGAAATATCTTTAAAAACAGAAAAACGCCTTTTGGATATTTCATCAAAGATTTGCTTACGTAGTAGTAGTTTTTATTGTTATGTCATTTTGTTCAGATAATTTCGTGTCTATAGTATTGACATTATCGGTCTAAAATTGATTTATCGAATGATGAAAATTTTGAAATCAAGTTTCCAAACAAACCTTAGTTTCAGCAGAACTAAATGCAGTGCTAGTACCATTGCCTGCATTATTTAGTTGCATGGGTACAACAGGATCTGATACAATATCTGCATTCTCACTCTTGTCACCAATTGTAATCTTAGTTTTTTTACGAGCCCGTTTCGATGGCGTTGAACCTCCTAAATAAAATAAAAAATAAGAACCTTAGCCTTGATGCATTAGCAAGAAACCAAATATGTATCATTTCGAGGAAACATTAAGAATAATATCAATTACCAAGAAAAAACGATTTCTTACAGTATGATCAAAGTAAAGTAACTCCTACAACTAAAGTTCTCACTTTCCGATCAAAATAAAACTAAGTATAATAGCGAGATGCTCTTATTCGATGAAGAACAAATTGAATTACATGTTCCGCAAAAACAGAAAGACGAAATAAAGAAACTATCACACTCGATCATAGATTATCGAAGACCATCAATGTATCAGCTGTTATAAATTATTTACGATGGGTTTCATGTTGTTGTTGTTCGTACTTGACTCCAATCATAAACCATTTTATACGATGAGTACGAGACGACTCTACGTATACATTATATAGAGCAAAATAAGTCCTACTTTGAAGAATGAATAAAGTTCCAATCTAAACTTAAGCATGAAGAAAATCCTTTTGAGATTTATAACGTTAAAAGTTTGCCTTGGCCATAAGCCTTGAAGTTAACACCGATTTCGAAATTTAAGAATCAAAATTTAGCTTTGATTTTATGCAGAAGTCAAAATTATATCTCAGAGATGAGTAGAACATACCACAATGAGAAGTACGTCTCAAATGATAAATTCTATTTCGATAAAAATATTTTAACTCTATTGTTCTATGACATGCATTGGCATCGAATCGACTTAAGCGTATTAACTTGAACAACTTAAAATAGCAGTTTGTTCTTCTATGATAATGATAATCACATTAAATCAAATTGAAAAAAAACACTTGGATGTTTATGACTATTCAAAAAAAGTTCTTTCGAGTACTATCTAAGATTATTCGTCTATGATTGAAAGCAAATCTGAGTCTCTCATGTATAGTCAAACTCAGAGATCACATCCTTAAAAAATATTGAATTTTTAAACAAACCTTTTTTTCGTTTATTTGTAGTTCCCTTTCTTGAACGTTTCATTGGTGGTTTTTTCTTCGGTGTTTTCTTTCCAGGTTGATAAACGAAATCATCTGGATCATCTTTAGTATTAAAACCAACTTCTTCATCGCTACCAATATAATCATCATCTGCTCCGGTGTCGTCGTCTTCTTCTTGTTCGTCATCATAAAACAATTCATCTTGATCATCATCATCACCATTCTAAAGATAGAAATTGACAAATAATAAGAAATAGTTTTTCCTATATGATTTACTTCAGTTTTCTCATCAAAATCATCTTCATCTGTAGGAATGGATTGTTTTGAATTCGTACTTGCTTTTTTTGCATTACGCGTCAACGTTGGTCGTTCTGGTATTGTTTTTCCTTCGTCAACTGGTTTCATTAAAAAATCTAAGATTGCTTCAGCATGTTCATCATTACGGCTAGTTGCTGATAAGCCAAGAATATCTGAAACGGATCGTAGCTGATCTTTTTTTAGCCTAAATACGACAGAATTAAGTAAACTATTGTACATAAACTGAAGAGATTTACTTGATTAAACTGTTTAAATGTCGTTGATATTCATCACTATCATGTTCAAATTCGAATCCATTAAATTCTCGAAGATTTTGTTTTATATCATTATGACTCTAGGAGAAACAAACGAACGTTGGTTGTATACATTTGCTGAATGATTGCTTTTAATCTTACTGCTCGTCGCCCAAAACATATATTACGCATACGCGATAAAGTATCAGCCGATGCATGAGTTATTTGATAATTAACTATGAATTAAATTCGAAACAAAAAATAGAATTGATTTTGGTTTTAATCCGACTTACTATATTCGATATGACCTAATGGTTTGCCAAGACCCTAAATAAAGAATATTAAAATCTTTTAGTATAATGTTGACTTATTCGATAAATAAATGTGATGCTATAGTAAAAGAGAGTCTTTTCATTATATGTTATTCATCTATAATTAAAACCCTAATTGCAAGATATGCCAATTGATATTTAAGAACTTGCTGCTTGTGGCTGAAATTAAATCAGTTTTACGCGAAGTATTTTATTTTTGATCTATCTCAGTTATAAGTGACTCACATCAGGTCAAGTATATTTGTAAGTATACACTATCAAGAAGAAATTTCGCAAGAAGAAAAAAATATTCATTTAGATAATGTTATTATGAATGAATCAATGAATATCAAGAATCTAATCAACTTGCAATAGAAAAAAACCTGAAAATTTTACCTGAGGGATAGACAATTCTTTTTTTGGTGTTTCTAAATCAGATAATTCTAATCGTGATGTTGGCTTTCGTGAACGTTTTCCTTCGACAATAATTGGCTGTTCAAAAAGTGGTTGAGTATCGGCAATATTAGAATTATCTAAATTTTCCTCTTTGACACTCGATGTTGACGTTAATTCTTTTCTTTTTCGTCCCGGACGTTTTGGTTTTTCAATATTTATTTTTTCGTCTTCGGTTTTAGCGATGGCTGTTTGTTCAGCTACAATAGTTAACGAATTCGGTTCTTCGTTATTTGCAATGGTCTCCATTAATTTAAGAGCATCCAATTCGTTTTCACTAGTCATATTTTTATTAAAAACAAATACCGATCTAGAAAAAAGCAAGAATCCGTTTTTTGAGAGATCAAATGATTTTTTTTGACTCGTCCTCTATATTGCTGGTCTTCCCCAATGAACCAATGAAAACAAACTGTTTGATAGATGGAGTATCAATATGATATTTGGTTTCCTTTTTTTGATAACAAAACAAAAAAAAAACCGGATTAACAAAAAAAAACAGAAACAATTATTTCTTTCGATTTGATTTTGATGAATTGTTTGTATTCGGAGTTACACGTCGAGCGTGTTTCGGTTTACTGCTATGTTTTTTATTTTTGTAATTCGTTCGACTACCTTTGCGCATTTGACGAGCACGTTGTAATGATTGTCGTTTACGTTGTTCAGTACGTTTTTTCATAATTTGTTCAGGCTTCTTCAATTCCGAATGACTTGGCATTGGTTGGCCTCTAGCTTTCAATTGGGATTTTTGTCGACTAATTAATTGTTGTACTCGTTGTTGAAATTGTTCTAAAAGAAAAAAAGATGATAACAAGAACAATGAACAGCTGATAGAAATATGAATAACATACTCGGCCTAGCTTGTGCACTAGAGATTTCATCTTCATGTACGTGTTCTTGAGCTTTATTTCGGCGACTATCTGGTAATTCTTTGTCAAGAATCTTTGATTTATGAAGCCATTTTTTGTAGCTAAAAATAAATTTAAGAAAAGGGCTCTCTATTTTATTCCGAATACGGATCGAGATTTTATCCAATAAGAGTAGAAAATGTAACTATACAATAGTATATCTAGTTTAGAAAAGTAATGATGTAAATATTTGGAAGACCGGAATTTCGACAACGGAATTTTCTGGCCGGACTTTCGGACCAATTTTATACAAATTCATTTAACCCTGAAAAAAAACGTAAATTTTTTGAAAATTGGTTTCTAGATTTTTTTAGTATAGAACGAAGTGACGTAGTGCTGAGCGAAGCGGCGTCGTGCCGAGCGAAGCGGCGTTTTTCATTCCATAGAAGAAAAACTAGTTGAAATAAAAAAAGCGAATTTATACCTACTATACATCTCAACAAATTTCGAAAAATATACCAGCAATAGTGAATTCTACATCTAAAATAAAACTAAAAAATGTGCATCCTTAAGTCAATATTGAGATTACACTAGATTCGTTCGTGCTTGTTGTGGATAAACGATATGTATCTTAAAACGCCATGCTATGTTCTCTAATAATAGAAGTGCTGTTTTAAACACTATATTACTTCGCTCGGCACTACGTCACTTCGTTCGATACTAAAAAAATCTAGAAACCAATTTTCAAAAAAATTCGTTTTTTTTCAGAGTTTAGTGAATTTGTATAAAATTGGTTCGAAAGTCCGGCCCGAAAATTCCGTGGGCCGAAATTCATGTAACCCTAACAAAAGTCTAGTTGATTTATATTAAATATATCTCTATCAGTATTGATACGATTCTTAGATTCAAAAGAGTATAAAACATACACATCAGTTTTGTACGACGCCTGAATCCATTGGCCACTTTCTGTTTTAATTTTTTTTGTTTTTCCATCAGTTTGACCAACAGTAACAAATTTTTTCTTTCTTCGATCCCTAAAATATGAATATTCATATGTGACATAGATATTCTTCTTTTAGTCTATTAACCATTTCTTTTTTTGAATAGTTGGACCTTTCATTTGAGTACCATCATCATTGGCCATATCGATAACAGCGTCATGTGTTTGACGTTCAAATGAATGAATTTCCAAACTAGAAATAAAGAAATATACTAAAAAATGAATAAATAAAAATTGACTGTTTTTACCCTTTTTCTCGTTGGAAATCGGGTGGTTGATAAGGAATAAAAAATTCTTTATCAACTTCTCGTCGATTTTTCTTTTTCTTTTTTTGTGATGGTTCCATACTATCATAATTTGGTCCATTTGGATCTTGAATAGTTATGGTCATATTATCTACCTACACGAAAATTTGTTTTTGCTTCGTTATATTCAATATTGCATACCTCAAGTGTTTTTCGCTGATCGTCATCATCTGAGTCGTTATTAATTTCTGGTAACGATTGATCTTTTTTACCATGTTTTAGAATTAGTTTATCATCATGAGCTCGTTTTCGTTTCATGATTGCACATGCAGCATTGCTTGCAGATGGATTCACTTCGAAGATTGTCTATCGCAAAAGAATATATTTTTACTACTTTTATAACATGAAATACAAAAGACAAAATCAGATTTAAAGCAACGATGGTTGTATTAGCGAGTTTCTATCGAAAATGGATTTTATTTTCTCATTCCGAGAAAAAAAAATAATAATCAAAGAGTATATTTCATAAGAGTGGTATTTTGAGAAGAAATATTTATCACTTCAAAAAGGTCGAGATACCATAAAAATAAAAGACGCTATCCAAATGAATATGTGTTTCCGACACATTGAAGATGCCAATGCGTTGAGTGTGGTCGAAGAGTTCAACTCTCACTTCGATTTTAAATAGAGATTGAAATTCAAAAACTAACTCGAGCAAAACATTGGACCATCTAGTTAATACTCTACGCATTAGTCAATCTTGGCGCGTTAATTCCTATTCAAAATTTCTAAATCATACAGGATAGTTTCCTCCTTAAGTTTATTTTGTAGTGTTGCTATTTCTCTCTTAACTTACATTCTTGGTTCGAAATGATTTCAATTGTTTAATAAGTGAATTAGGTGTTAAATCTTCAATACTATAAATTTCTTTGAAAATCGGATGTATAGCCATGTCCATTATTTGTTTATAATACTGTTTCGTTTGTTTAATTGATGCATACGATGATGGTGGTCGTGATTTTACATAATGTAGATATCCATTTTGTTGTACTTTGAATAAATTGATTAAATCAACATTGATCTCTGTTATTTTTCGTATCGTTTCAGATTCTTCATCGATTATTGTTTGTGGAACATTACCGAATAATAAATGGTAATCATCAGCATTTGATTCATTTGATGCATATATTAGTGTTTTACCAATAAATTCTTGTACATCGAATAAATACGATAGTTCATCCGACGAAATGAATGAATATGCTGTACCCATACGGCCAGCGCGTGCAACACGACCGACACGATGAAGAAATAATTTTGGTGTTGGAGAAAAATTATAATTAATAACATTATCAAGTGATGGAATATCTATGCCTCTTGCAGCGATATCTGTTACAATTAATACTCGTACTTTACCAGATTGGTATCTTCCGAGATTGATTTTTCTTGTTGAATGATCAAGTGATGAATAAATAGTAACAGCTGAAAATAACTCTTGTTGCGGTTGTTGTTCGAGTAATTCTCTTAAATATTCACAATGATGACGTGTAGCAACAAAAATAACAACTTGTTGATCGACTGGTATGACTGAACGAAGAACATATAGAAGTAGCGCAGTTTTATCATCATGACGTGAATGAAAAAATAATAATTTTAAATTGTCATTTAATTTCATTTCAAGATCAAGACGAATTAATTCCGGTTCATAAAGACCTGCTTTAGCAAATTCTGCTAGAACTTTTGATAGTGTAGCAGAGAATAACAAAGTTTGACGCTGCGATGGTAAACGTTTGATAATATCATTTATCTGTTCTTGAAAACCCATTTCAAATAAACTAAATAAATAAAAATTTGTAAAAGAAAAATAAAATCGAATATTTCAATCAAAAACATACCGATCTGCTTCATCGAATACAACATATTTAACATCATGTAATTTAAGATCCATTTCAATACATAAATGCATAAAACGACCAGGTGTTGCAATAATACTTAATAGAAAAAAACATTATTCAGGAAAACTAGACTCAAAAGTTTTTCGCTTACATATCCGGATGAGCATGTAAATTACTAAATTGTTCTTCAAGTCTAAATAGATATGAAAAAAGAAATAGAAAATATTCCCAACGCAAGGATTTCTTACTTTTCACCACCAAGAATGGCTGTTGCTATGAGATCAGTAAATTTCCCAAGCTAAACGGAAAACAAAACATGGAAACAATGGGGAGCATTTTTATTTATCATATATACTTGAAGTGAAAATTTGAGTGTTTGTAAAGCTAATTCACGAGTTGGTGAAAGAATGAGTGCACGTGGGCCAGAATTTGGATCATGTCCTTTCAATTTTTCAAACATCGGTATAAGAAATGCAGCCGTTTTTCCACTACCAGTACGGGCCATTGCCACAACATCCCTATTTTTTAAGATTACTGGTATTGCCTATGAATTAAGAAAAGTAATAGAGAAAAGAACATTCTAACTTAATTGAACTTCATACTTTGCGTTGAATTGGTGTTGGCACTTTATAACCACGTTTCACTACCGCTTTGAATACAGGTGCAGATAATCCTAAAATTATTAATGTCGTTTGAATAACTCGTTATATTGAATGATGCAGACCTACAATACGCCTTTCTTTGTTTGCATAACTAAGTTATCTATTTAAAGCTTTCAATAACAGAAAAAATGACTAGCCCCAAATGTCGTGAAGCATTAATACTTAACTTGGAATAATTTTATGAGAAGAAAATTATATAGAGTAGTTTTTACTACGTTCTTAGTCTTTCAATACCGACGTGAAAATTTTGTTTTCAAACGAATGAAATTCCAAGAGCATTAATCACACAAATAATAGCTAATAACTCAATCTTCTTTATTAGGTAATTCAAAAATTGACATACCAAATGATTGAAATCCACTTGATTTATTCTTCTTTTTTCCTTTCGGATTTTTCTTTTTATTCGATGATTCATCATCAAATGTAAAATCTTCTGCAAAAACAAAACAGAAAAAGGTTATTATTATTAAAATTTTTAACATTCTGATCTGTACCTTGAGTGAAATCATCGTTTTCCATTTATTTTGTTTCTGATCTAAAAATCGCAGAACATACATTTCAATTAGATCGAATGTAATTAATTTAGCAAAAATAATAATTATAATAAAGCAATGGAAATGGCAATAGAAGAAAAAAAATAAGCGGAAAAATAGATCTGTTCATGAAAAGAAAAAAAAGAACTATCGTTTCTTTAATCTTGATCTTTCTTTCCATATTTAAGAATATTAACAAATTCTTGATAATCAAAAAGACCATTTTTAATCGGAGCCTCTTTAAATAATTCATCAACTTCTTCTTCTGTATAACGATCACCCATAGACATTAATAATTCACGTAAACGTTCTTCACTTATTTTACCAGTACGATCGTCGTCTAATGCTGCAAATGCATTACGTATAACATCTTCAGGATCTGAACCTGTTAATTTTTCACCAAATAAAGTTAAAAACACTGAAGAAAAAACAAAATGAATTTTTATTAAATAAAAACAAATTATTTCACGTACTAGTAAAATTAAGATCTCCTGGTGCTTCACGAATCATTGCTTCGAGTTCTGAATCAGGCACAACTTTACCTAACGATGCAAACATATCGCGTAAATCATCACTACTTATAAAACCATCCTATTCAATAAAAATCAATAGGTCACCTTTAAGAATTGTAATATTCTAAAACAAACTCGATCATGATCAATAATATTAAAAGCTTCCTTATATTCTTGTATTTGCGATTGATCAAACATCGCAAATATATTCGAAGTAGCACGTTGCTGACGTTTTTTAGCCGGTTGTTTGGCTTTAACACGAGCTGCCATTTCGGAGTTTTAGGCTAATTCAACAATGAATATTCGTCTAGTTCTATTGCAATTTTCTATTTTATTTACTTTTCTCACATCTACACAATTACAGATGTCGCTGTAAAAAAATGTTTTATTTCTATTTTTAACGAAAAATATCTTCATTAGAAGATTTCTTGTTTAGTTTAGAAAAAAATATTTATTGCTTTTTTTTTATTAGACAATTTGAATAATTATTTATTGGTCAAAAACAAAACGAGCAACAACAAGATGTCAGATTGATTGATTGACCGATACCAAGAAGAAAAAAACGAGCAGAAAAGATATTCTTTTATGAATTATTGATTTGTTCAATAAACTTCGAGAGGTAATAAGTCATAAATTCATTCTTAATCTCTATAAATTTTTGTTTTTCAATTCTAGACGTGGCGTCTCTGTTTCAAAATTGTTTCAAGCTATTATCAATATTGAAAAAAATGCCATCATCATCCTACTCCAGCACCTCAAATGATCAATGTGAACATTGTCATTCGACATATACTATAACTAAACGAAAAGTAAAATCTTCATTTGACTCATAGAAATAATTCTCTCGTGAATATGTTTCTCTGTTTAGAAAAGTTGTGCAGTTTGTCGTCAATACTACTGTACGAATTGTGCACCCCGTGAACGTCATTATAATCAACCATATCGTATATGTCTTACATGTCAATTAATTTCAAGTGATTCAACAACTGATGACCAGCTATTAGCATTAAAAGTTAAGCATTTACGGTGCTATTTACAAGCAAAAAATATTTCTCATCATACATGTACAGAAAAACAAGAACTTGTCGATTTAATTGTACGAAATAGGCAATTACCTTTTACACGTTTATTTATCCAACAACAACAGCAACAACATCAACAGCAACAACAAGCTTCAACCTCAACAAACGCCAATCAACAACAATTTCATACAACTTTTAATCAATTTTCAACATCAACAAGTGCCTCTTCATCATCTACAACATCAACTGTCATGCCGCCTCCACCACCACCTCCTCCTCCATCGCCTAAAAATGGAAATTTTAACAATTTTCAACATACAATGTCATCATTTGCTAGTCAAATGAATCATTTTGCTGCTAATTTACAAGATTACGTCACAAATACAGTATCTGGTGTTTTACATCATACACTTGGTGATCACCAACAAACAACAACCACAACAACGACGACTACAAATAATGCGAATGGAACATCAACATTTAATTTTGGTTCAACAACGAATGGACCTTTTACTTACACTTTCACATCTCCAGGGAATTTTGTTTATACCACCACCACAACAACAAATAGTACATCAGCAAGTCCGCAGACACACCAACGAAGAACGACAACCAATGAAACAACAGCTAATACTAATATGGTAGGCATCTATTATTAGGTGCTCTTTTCCGCAATAAAAAATTGCCTACTATTGTTCGTTAGTACATGGCTCGCTTTATAATATTCTGTTAAGAGGAAATTCAATATAAAAGAAAACGTGGTGTGTCATATCCTATAGCCATGAATCATATTTATTAGTTGTTACAATGACCTAGGAGTGCGAGTTTTCTTTTAAAACTATGAATGTATTCTTGAAATGTGTGACTTAATAGTAGCATTAGTTAGGAGTCTCTTGAGAAGATCGTATAATTAATATTCATTTATTAATTAGATAGCAGATTCACTTCAGACCTTCTCGAAGAGGGAAACAATATATCTAACATTTGAAATAGAAGAAGATAAAATCTATTCATCGTGTTCGAAATTTTCCGATGAGTTCTAGTTGATATCTGACAATCATTTGCTAGCCTCACTCGTATAAATCTAGATAAAAAGAGCAGTATAAATATATTCTTCGATATACCTCTTTCGCATAAACACCAATAAGCTAAAGGAGTTAATACATGCCATCAGACATTAGACTGATGATGCAAAACAATCAACTATGAATAATCATTACTAAAACTCAAATATATTACCTTCGCGATGAAGATTGGATCATGGCTACAATCTATCTCCTGGGACAAACAAAAACTAATATATTATTAAATTTTTCTATTATCTCTTGCAGAAAAATATAAATAATTTTCAGGAAAGTTAATTAATATTTTTTTCTTTTATATTTAGCAGCAACAACAAGCCACCACAACTCAACGAGCACGTCGAAAATCTCTCAGTGAATTAAACAATGAACAAAATATTGAAGATTTAAGTGTTCGAGAATTAAAAGAAATTTTAATAGCAAACTTTGTTGATTATAAAGGATGTGTTGAGAAAAATGAATTAATTGAAAAAGTCCGAAGACTTTATCGTGATCGACAGAATGAAAAAATCAAAAGTAAACTTTCATATGATAAATGACCCCCTCAGAAATTATTCGTCTTTTCTATTCTTCTAGCTAAAGAGCTTGACAATGCTACAGCAAGCGATAGTGAACTATGTAAAGTATGCATGGATGCAATTGCTGATTGTGTCTTTTTAGATTGCGGTCATATGGTAAGTTGAATCTTTCTCTTTTTTTTTTCGATAATCTTTTTTACTATTGATTGAATCAAGAGATAACTGAAAAAGTCATTTATATGATGATTAAATTATAAAATAAGCTTGGCAGTCGGCTTGATTATTATATTAGTCGTTCGCAAATCTTCAATAGAGAATGGGATTTGTAGATCTCTTTTAAATTTATAATTGTCATACTAAATATATGCATGCAAACTAAATCCTTTTGAATCGACAAACGAGAAAGTCAACTCGACCAATTTTACGCAAGGACTCATTTTTACAGAATTTTTAAGCTTCTTTGATCCTTTTCTCTTTGTCGAAAATTAAACAATACGTTAATCTATTGCTACTAGAATAATCCAGACTTTTGTCTTGTGATTAACTTTTAATACAATTTTCTTTTCTTGCAGGTGACTTGTGTCAAATGTGGAAAATTACTCGCTGAATGTCCAATTTGTCGGTCGAATATTGTTCGTGTTGTTCGCGTTTTCAAGTCATGAAAAAGAAGAAGAAGAAAAAGAAGTAAACATCTTATTTTTATGTATTTGTACAGCCCTCTTTAACGAAACGGAACATCATTAGATTTATTATATGATTATGAACTAGATCATTCCAGTTGGATTTTCATTTTATATATTGCTTCTTCTTTTTTTTGTCTTTACGTGTGTGTGTGTGTGTGTGTGTGTGTGTGTATTGATAATCCTCAATTGTTTTTTTCGTCTCGTTGTATAATTCAAAACAAGAAAAAAAATATGAATATCCATGGAATATCTCTTGTGAAGTTCTTCAAAGCATTACAAATCTCTCACTGAATGTGGGGGCATCTATGTTAATATCCGATTATAAATATCGTCAGTCTTTTTTTCTTCTTCTTCTTCTTTTTCTTCTTCCCTCTCTTCAGCTCAGAAAAAGAAATGTGCAATAATAACAAGAGTGGTGCAAGACGATGATGCTTTTCTTTTTCCTTTTTCTCATATTATCATCAGCATCAACAGTAGCATATTCTGTCGTGTCAATACCATAATACAAAGAAACCTTTTTCTCGTAGTTAATGATGGTCACGCCCACATCGGTATGATATCAAAAAGAATAAACGTTTTTGCTACTGGGTTAACTTGTTTCTACTCTCTCTTTGTTTTATTTATCAGTCTGATAGTAATGTATCATGGATTCAACGTACATTTAAAAAACGAGAATGTTTAAAATTTATTCCAACAAAAAACGATCAACAAGTAGGACGTTGTAGTTGCGGAAGATATTTTCTTGAGCATAGTGAACATGTACAAATATCAGCGCACAATATGAAATTTCTATCAGTAAATAAAGATGAGCCATGGTCAATACAGAAACATACAAGACCGGAACCGACAGATGCATTCGGTGTCATTGAATTCGAAGGTTTGGCACATCCAACAAAAGCTCAAGTGAATCAATTTGCTAATTAATAAATTCAATAAAATTAAACGCTTATTTTGTTGTTGTTTTAGTATCTTCGACTTTCATATGATACACGACCAGATTTAGTATTGAAATTGTTTTTACGTGTATGGAATCTAAAATTACCACGTCTCGTTATATCGATTGATGGTGGTATTGCTAATTTTGAATTACAACCAAAATTAAAACGTGTACTAAAAAAAGGACTTTTTCGAGCAGCAAAAACAACTGGAGCATGGATTATAACAAATGGTTGCCAACAAGGTAAAATGAAATATGCAAAAAATGTTTGTTCTATTTTATATTAATATTCTAGGTGTTGTTAAACATGTTGGTGATGCGCTTTTTGCTCGATCACCAAAAGCTAAGTCTGACATTGTTTGTATTGGCTTTTCACCATGGGGTGTTGTGGAAGGACGAGAAAATTTAATTGGAATTAATGTAAAGGAAAAATTATAATGAGTTATAGAAAAAAACACTTTTCTTTTCATTTTAGAAACTTGTTTCATATCATTCAAAAGCATTAGCAACTAAAAATAATGCAACATTAAATAGTAATCATTATTATTTCTTACTTGTTGATAATGGAACAAGTGGACGATATGGAGGTGAAATTTTGTTAAGGAAACGTTTTGAAAGATTTCTGCTGAAACAAACAAATGCACAAACAGGTATGCCTTTAAAAATTAAAACAGTGAAGATTTCTTTTGATAAGAATCAAGTGCGCTCGTTTTTGTTTTGTTCAAGCTGAAAATTCCAATATTCCTGTTGTATGTGTTGTTGTCGAAGGCGGAACGAATACAATTCGAATGGTTTTAGAACATGTTACAGATAATCCGCCAGTGCCCGTTGTTGTTTGTGACGGAAGCGGTCGTGCGGCTGATCTGATTTCATTTACACATCGATATGCTAGAGACGATGGGTATGTAAATTATTATTCATTGACTAGAATGAAATACAGTAATGGTTCAAAATTAGATCAATAGGACTGAGAAAATCCAATTATAGCTTGCAAGAGATTAACCAGGATTTTGTTTTTGTGAGTATGTCAAATGCAATATTTGTTTTCTGCTCTAGTCATTCAAGTCAAGATTTTCCTTTCGAATTGAATGCTCGGAAAACATTGTGATTGACAACTATCATATTTTTGACATTTAAATCGTTCTTACAGAATAAATTAGTCGTGCAACGATCATCAGTGGACCGAGAAAATAAGAATTTTTCTTTCAAGTTATTTAATAATGTGTCTCGTCAGACTGCTCACATATTAATTAGTGTACGAATAGCAATTGTAAATTTGGCAGTTCTATATAAACATATACGAACATTAAACTGATGGTTTTTCTTTTTGTAAAAAAAATATTTACAATATCTCATTATCAATTAGACACTTTCATGATGCTATGAAAATTTTCTCATTAGTCAATTTTCATGTTGAATAGTAACAGTAAATGTTGTGACTTCTTTTACAGACATCACTAAGGGAAAATTGCGAAAGTCGTATCAGTATTCTGCTTCCTGTTGTGCCACAGTTTGACAGATGCTTGTGAACGATATAAAAAGGCAGACTATTTCAAGACCGTCTTTCTGTGACATAGGAAATACTTCCTAATTGCATCTCTGCAGGATTGAATATAAAAATGACGCAGAAATTTGACCTTAAATAGTCGGCATAAGCCAGTCTTGTCCTGGTTAGCAACAGTGTCTATATCATGTTTAATATGTAAATCCCAGAGGGTTTTCGCTAGTAGATGTTGTTCAAGTAATTTGTAGAAATTTCAACGATCTATTGTAGCACGATGGCTCCTGATATTCAAGCACAATTAATGCATACTATAATGAAAACATTTATGTATACAAGCAAACAAGCAAAAAATATTTTTCAAGAATTAATGATGTGTGTAAAAAAACGAGATTTGGTAATGCTTTGTTTTCTGTAGAATATCATAAAACAAGAATTTTTGTTTCGATTTTTAAAGATTACAATATTTCGTATGGGCGAAGAATCATCACAAGATATTGATTTATCTATATTAATTGCATTGCTACGTAGTTCCTGTGCATCATCTATTGATCAATTAAAACTTGCTTTGACATGGAATCGAGTTGATATAGCGCGAAATTATATTCTATCTGGTGCTCATCAATGGCCAGTAAGGACGAAAAAGAATTCAACCATGAACTTATTCTAATATAATAAATTCATTAGGAACAAGCATTAGAAGAAATTTTGGTAACGGCTTTAAAAACTGATAAAGTCGAATTTTGTCGATTATTACTTGAGAACGGAATTTACATGCAAAAACTATTAACTATTCATCGACTCGAAGAACTCTATAACACGGTAATATAACAATTCTCTTTTTGTTTTCTTAACGATCTCAGGGATAGATTCCTTCCGTTGACATTGTACTTAAGTAAAGATACTAATCGATATAGATATGATTTTGAAAGGTTACACATTTTAATGGTTTCGACATGCCGGAAATTTTATTCAATTTCCTCTTGAGATTCCGTTCCATATCTAAATGCTTTTCGAGACAAGAACTAACACGGACCTTATCTTTAGTCGTATTTACCACATCAAGTAAAATGAACATCGACAAGCATCTCCGGAAATAATCTTTTCTCGCCATTCAATAATTATTATAACGATGTGAAGGAAAAAGAAAGGATAAAATAGGAAATAATGACTTCCGATTCATTATGAAAAATCACATCAATGTGTTCATTTTTGTTCTTGTTTTGAATTGACAGAATTATAACATCATCACTCATACATTCTATAGATGAATATAATAGATTTTGTTCGGATTATCCTTGAATAAGCATCCGTAAGTAGAGCTTCATAAGTATTTACAAGTAATATAATATATATATATCTATGTGAATCGCAATGGCTTTGATTATGCCGGCTACCAAAAATGCCCTTCGGCTGATTAATCACTACTGTTGAATTAGAAGAAAGTGCATGTTATAAACTCTAATGCGTTATAAGTATACCGAATAGTATTCGGTTTCATCACCTATTGCTGTTGGTTTTTGATATAGTATATTTGAATATGAACTGATAGATAGTTTCGCTACAGAAAATTGAATTTCGAATGTCAGCTTGGAATTTTGCACAGAAGCAAATCCTAATGAGAATAGTTTTACAATCGTCGTATAATGAAAGTATCTCAAACTTTTTCACAGCATTATGTATAACCTTCAACAATCAATATGCCAATAACAATAAGCTATGAACTCGAAATCCTTTTTCAGACATTCATAACCAATTAAGGACTACATAATTCTAGATCAATATTGATTAATCGATTCACTAGTAGATATTTCTCTGGTTTAGGATTTTGATCTCAAGATTCATTGGAATAATTTTTATTTTTCTTTATTTCAAAGAGAAGATTAAATATTAGCGATTATTATCTAGTTTTTTTTCCAAGTATATTGAAGCGAAATTCTTCGGAAATCTGCATGCTCATCAATTCTTAGATAAACACTTTGATAAGCACAGAAATAACTTGAAAATATTCATCAAATGCCAATTAAAAAAAAGGTCAATGCCAATATTATACTTTTCTAATTAAACAATTAAAATATATAATTGATTGAATTATTGAATTTTTTTTTCTAGCGTGAAGGCCCACCAAATACTCTTCATTATATCGCGAAAGATATACGAAAAATTCGCAAGGTTTATTTTCTATTTCAGTATTTTATTTGTATTATTCGTTGTTCATTTTTAGACTGCTTCCACAGGTAAATATACACTACCTGACATAGGTTTGATTCTTGAAAAATTAATGGGTCATGGCTACCGATCGAATTATACTCGACGACGTTTCCGTATGCGTTATGCAACGACACTTAATCCTCCGACTGTATTAAGACAAGTGAAAATAAAAAGATTGATTAGAAAATAATATTTAATTCTTTTTTTCTCTGTTGATTTGTGAAGTTACATCGAACAACAGTTAGTACAACATTAAAACCAATGGATGATACATTTCAATTTCCATATAATGAATTACTTATATGGGCAGTATTGACAAAACGACATCAAATGGCTTTATTTTTTTGGGAAAGAGGTTAGAATTAAATAGAATAATAATGTATTTTTTAATTTTGTTTAATATTTTTAATTTAGGCGAAGAAGCTATGGCAAAAGGTAAAGATTGATTATAAACTTTAGATAGTTATTTCTTTGAATTTATTTTTGATTTTTAGCACTAGCTGCATACCAATTAAATAAAGCTTTAGCACATGAAGCTGATGATGATGAATTAGAAATTGAAGTAGCAACTGAATTTGCTAGTTATGCAGAGTAAGTGATTCATATCCATAAATGACGCATTGAATCTCTGTACCGGCAGGCGGTTGAATATTGTTCTTAATGTCAGATGAAATAACCATTAGGATTTAATCTAAAATTAGTAAAGAATGACATGAGAAGTCTATCTTGAAGCGATTCATTCATTGAAACTCGGGTAGTAAGTAGCAAGACTAGTGAGGACTTCAGGAATCTCTCTGCATGATTGAGTTGACTAAGTGACTTTGGTAATATCAAAGGCTACTATAGGCTAGTTTTTCTTTTATGATAATTTGCTGTTTATATTCAAGCTGATGGGTGTTAATTTTCGAACATGATTAACAGAATCGAGAAACGCACTGAAAATCCATTGAGACAATTGGATTGTATTGAATCTATTGACAAAAGATTTGTAATCATTTTGATTCAATATTGCGCCTGTTTGACGACCGGTAACACACTCATTTGTCTTAGGCGAAAAAGCTATAAAACTTTTAATTCTATGGGAATTTTTATTCTTTTTGATTGAGCTTTGTCGAATAGAAATGCACGAGAAGAAGGGTCCGTCTCATTCACATTCATTAAACATGAAATTATCTTTTGCATTTATAGCTTGGATTCGCTTTTATATCAAGCGGATGCTGTTCAAAGTTCTATGAAACTGCTATTATGACAGAGTAATGCTCAAATTGTAATAGAATCCTTGTTTGCATGACAAATGTTTGAGTTTCTCTGACCATGATTCAACACAAACGAAACAGATTTGAACAAAAACTGCTCTCGCATGAAGAAATCCAAACAATTTTCTGCACAGTTTTAGTTAAGCACGATCCTTTTATTTTTAAATTAAACCCATTGACATGTCACTTTTGATCGGATGAACTTATTTCTTTCTTAATTTTTCTCTAGGCAATTCCGCGAATTAGGTTTGGGCGTTCTTGAACAATGCTATCGTGAAAATGATGATAAAACATGTCAATTATTAACATATGAATTAAAAAATTGGTCTGATTGGACATGTTTATCACTAGCTGTTATATCTCATCATCAAGAATTTGTAGCACATAAATGTTGTCAAATCATTTTAAATGATTTATGGATGGGTGGCATGTCAATACGGCATTATCTTAATTGGAAAGTTATTGCGTCAATATTATTTTTTCCCCTCGTACTTCGTATTGAATTTAAAAGTGCCGAAGAATTAAAATTACAACCGAAAACACACGAAGAACATTTAGCAACTAGAGACGACAGTGAACCCGATGATGACGATGATGACGACGATGATAATGATACGGAAAATTATTATTCTGGAACTCTCGTTAATGAATATGTACATCAGGAGCTGTTAGATGAAAGCGAAAATAGAAATTCATCGAAATTAATTAATAATAATAATAATAATAATAATAATAATAACAATACATCAGTTGAGATTGTTTTCGATAATAAAAATATTGAGAGTGAATCGATTGAAATGATTACATTTAACAAATCAATGCTGGACCGTACGCGCGCATCATTCACGAATTTCAAACAAAATCTATCAACATCGGCACAACAATCTGAGGATATAAATGATATTAATATAGAAACACCAAAAAAAGTCGATGAATTACCTATTCCAAATGAAACTTTGCCGGAAAAAACCTTGGCATCATCAACAATACCAATAACACAACGCTTTTATGAATTCTATAATGCACCCATAACAAAATTTTGGTACAATGCTATATTCTATGTTTTCTTTCTTTTTCTTTTTACTTATATGGTACTTGTGCGCACACCGGCTAGACCGAGCATTCCAGGTTAGTATTTTGAGAGGATTTTCTTTTGAAAATGCATTTTTTTAAAATTTTTAGAATATATTGTAACATTTTACTTAGCCACAGCAGCAATTGATACAATTCGAGAGGTTTGTTGATTTTGTTTTCGAAATTAGATTTTAGACATTTGGCTTTTTCGACAATTTTAGATTTGTACAGGTTCCTCACCACGTTTCATACGCCGATTAACGGTAAGAAAATTTTCGTTTTTCAATTCAAAGTCTAGTCAACTTTCTATGAGGGATCTCTTCGATCTAGGAGTTTTTAAAGCAAAAACATTGCTTCTAGGCATTTGAAATGGGCTTATGTTAAGCTAAAAGTTTCATTTAATTGATCAAACATATATCTCGGAATAGGTCCCAAGAAGAATTTAAAAATGAGTCCCTCTTTTTGTTTTAAAGAGTATTCATATTTAAAGTGCATCGATTTTATATACGGAATGTCCAATGAACAGCGATTGATCATTTCCAGGACTTCTCTCGTCTATTCGAACTTTGGATCCATAAAAGATTTATTTATATTTTAGCTGTATTTTTCGGACTTCGTTCATATATGTGATTCATTAGCGATGTTGGCTTATGGTATTGGATTCATTCTTCGATTTAATCCAAACACTCTCTATATCGGACGATTACTCTATTGTCTTGATGTATCCTATTGGTGGATACATTTATTAACTTATATTTCCGTACACAAATCTCTTGGTCCCTACATTCACATTGCTGCGCAAAATGTAAGCTAAGATTTTCAAACGAAAATTGGATGATGAACGTTTTTCTTTTTCTATTTAGTTGATCGATTTATTTAATTTTATAATCATAATACTTATTGTACTTGTATCATTTGGTGTATCTCGTCAAGCTATCAAATTTCCCAATGAATCATGGTCATGGCGATCGGTTAAAGAAATATTTCTTGAACCCTATTTTATGGTAAAATAATTAAATTTTTCTAATAATTCATAAACCGTGCAATTTTTCTTAAAGATCTATGGTGAAGTTTATGCTGGCTCCATAGACCCACCATGTTTAGAAAGTGAACCCGATGCTCCACAATGTATGCCTTTTCATTGGGTAACACCGATCACTATGACGGCGTATCTTATATTTTGTAATATTTTACTTTTGTCAATATTAATCGCAACATTTAATAATACTTATATACGCATATCGAAATCATCGGATCAAGTTTGGAAATATCATCGTTACTATATTGTACTTAAATATGAATCAAAACCAATGTTACCACCGCCATTAATATTTATTTCACATATATTTCTTTTACTAAAAATTATTCGACGTTATTGTCGTGGAAAAAAATTTAAAGTTGATCACGGATTAAGTTTGTATTTAATGATTGAAAATTGAGATGAAACTATTTTCTGTTTATTTAGAATTATTTCTCAGCGAGAAAGAAGTTGCGGAAATTCATGATTTCGAAGAAGAACAAATCGATGAATATTTTGCAATGAAAGATCGAGAAAAAAAGAATACAACAGCTGATCAAATAGCACTTACATCGGAACGGTAAATTAATTTACTAATGAACGAACTTCAATTTCTATAGAATTTCCCTCGATAAGAACAGTAGCAAATAGATGCATATAAAATAAATAATTCTTATTTAATTAAAAGATATAAGACAACATTCGTGATTTGAATACAAATCTTTCAAAAATTATTGAATTTACAATACTAAAAAGCCTTTAGCACACTCAATGCTAGATTTCCATGTACACCATATATACACCAAATTGATTGTTAACCTATGGAGTACTTTTTTTGCTAGCTTTTAGTAAATATTTCCATTTGAAATGAATGATTTTATTTATGATGTATCAAGATTTATGACAGAGGTATAGATTTAATATTTTTTTAATTTCTAGTGTTGATACAACAGTGTTACGCATTGATGATATTTATCAACGTGAAAATCAAAATCGTGCCGTTCTTCAAAATCTTGATTGGCGTTTACAGCGTTTAGAAGATCTAAATATGGATACGCACGACTTAATACGGACAGTACTTTCTAATCAATCATTTGACGAATATAATCGATCACACGACCTTCATCATCGAGGGTCATCGATCGATGATGATATTCATGATCGACGACAAGAAAAATGTCGACGACGTTCATCATTAACTGGTTATGAAATCAGTTATTTTAAAAAGCGAAATGTACCTAGATCGTCAACAATGATTATCAACCGAATGCCAAAGTTAAAAGTTGCTTTATCAACACATGATAAATTTTCACCATCAAAAAAATCAAATCAAATTCAAAGACGATCAACAATGCATCGGTTAGATTCATTTGCCAGTAACGATTCTAACATCAATCGAATGCAATCTCATGAATATACTTCGGTAACTGATGGTAAAAAAATGAATTTCTATTTTTCTTTTAAATTTGATGGTTTGCTTTTTTTCTTCTTCTAAAGCTATTGATACAACTCATCATCATCATTATTGGCGACCATCAAGTCCTGTTATCGGCCGTCCTATAACGCATGATGATGAACCAATGGTATTCGTCGCGTCAGCAAAAGGAGAAACAGCTGCCTATGATGCTGAAGAACAAACGCATAATTTAATTGGTGAAATTATACGTAAACGTGTTCAAAAATCATCAATGAATCAGTCAACTAATCAAATGGAATCGTTTTGCGACAGTGATCGAGCATCGCTTCTTTCCTCTGATCTTAATTCAAGCACAACAAATCTCAATTTTGAAACGCTAGATTCAAAACACTAGTCCATACATATTAGTATCTATCTATCTATTCTTGTAGAACACTCTCTGGTATTGTGGGATGTCAGATTTAATATTTTCAAATAAAATTCAGCGCACTTTTTATTTCTTTGTTTTCTTAAACTTTATTCATTGTAATGTACTTATAGAAAAAATTCTACTATATTGAATGATTTTGTTTTTGGTTTCTATCTATTGATTCAAACGATCCTTTATATCCGAGTTAACATAAGCTATAGGAATATTTTTTTATACTATTTTTAACTTGTCGCAATCGAGCACGTCATACTGCTATTCGAAGTTGATTTCATTAATCCTGAACAAAGATATTATCTATTTGTATTAATTCAACATGCCAAACTAAACACCTTAGAATAATTTCTTTCTTTCTGTTCTGAAGATGTGCCGTCTGTTTCTAATTAGAGTTTAGTTTTTTTTCTCTTTACATGTTCTTTTTGTTCCATCGTTATCTTTTACATCATTTTCATTCTTATACAAGTGAACAACACCAAACAATCATTTACAATAGTAATGGCTTCTATTCGACCGAAAATAACAGTTATTCTTGCCTATATTATAATTGGATTAACTTTAAGTGCAATTACACTTGTTGTACTTTCTATTAGTACTAATCATTGGATACATACAATACGAATGCGAGCCGGGCTTTGGAAACTTTGCCATTTACAACCAATAGCATGTTTTCATTCAATATTACGTACGCCAGCTGCTTTATCATTAACAGGACTACTTTTGATTGTCATCGGATTGACAGCAACGACTATATTTTATATTATTGAGGGGCACCACTTGCCACCATCTGTTCGACCTATATCGTTGATCACGGTTTTTTCATTAGGTTTCGGTACATTTTTTCTTGTCATTAGTTCGGTGACATTTTCTCATATTGCTGCTCAATTTTGTTATTCATATTATTTGCTGATTGTTGCTCATTTATTTTCAATGACTGCAGCAATTGTAGCTAGTTATCTAGAGGGACGACGAAATGCATTAGTATCTACGTCGACCACAGTGAGTCGATTGGCTGTACGTAGACCTTGAAGCTCATTTGCTTGTTCTTGTGGTGTGTCTCCTTCGCCTACATTCTTTTTCTTCCCTATTTTCGACCTGCTCGGTTATTTCTTTTTTTCTCTCGTTCCTGTTTCTTAGTTACCAACCAATGCGTCGTGCACGTTGAAGTAAAAATTGTGAATATAACTAGTACACGTATTTTATATGTACCTTATCACTTTATTTTATTTTATACTACGTCATAGCCTAGATAGTTAAACTTACTTTTTTGATAGCTTTCAAATAATCAGTTTACTCTAATCTTACTAAAAACACATTTTTAATAAAAAAACGATCAAAATAAATGCATAGATGTATTTGTTCTTTATCAATATTTATCGTATATTAGATAGCAATTGTATTAAAAAATGTTGCTTTTTCCTTTTTTTTAAAATTATGTAATAGTTATACTTGCATCATATGTAGGCTTGCATGGTTGAAAAACTTGGTCTTTAATTGATATAAAACGTACATTAGAATTCGCTCATATACTTGTATAACATGAAGAATATTTCTTTTTTTTTGTATATTATTCAAGACAATATCATTGTACATGAGTGGAACTGCTCCGTTGTCAATTAAAGAAGAACTCCATAGTAACAGTCCTGCGCTTGACATGTCATCAAAACTATTTAATAAACAAAATAGTGCATTATCAACAACTATTCTAGTACGAAGTGAATTATCATCATCATCATCGTCATTAAATGATTCTGGTCAGCAACTTGTTAATAAACGTGTTGTTAATTCATGTCTCTGGTCAACTGTTATATTTTCAATAAATTTTGTTTCATCAATTCTTGTTATTAATTTAGCTAAATGGTAAACTTTTCTTTTTTATTTAACAATTTCCAACGAAACTTTTCTATTCTTTTATTTTTTTAATTAGGATCTATGTTAAACATCATTTTCCTAATCTAACATTGACAACGATCAATTTTTTTGTGACATTTTTTCTGTTACTGGGTTGTTTGCAAGCAAAATTATTTACTTATGCTAAATTACCAATTTTTAGTATGCTTCCTGTATCAGCATGTTTTGGAGGTTTTATTGCATTCAGCAATCTTTCGCTTCAGTATAATACTGTTGGCACATATCAACTTATTAAATTGCAAGTAACACCAAGTAAGTTTATTCATTGCGTATGACACATTGGCATGGTTGAATAAACATTGCCCTTAAGCAGCAGTGACAACCATAATGAATGAAATATATTACAGTACAGTGGTTATGTATCGGTACATCTGAAAAATATGTCTAAAAACAAAGAATAAAAGGTCTATTTGAAAAAAATCCTTGGAAATAAATATTGATACATTTTAAATTATATGCACAGGTGAAAGTACTGCAAACAATAAATACTTGACATTTTTTTCATGTTTTATTAAGTTTTGTTCATTTGAATACTCAAATTTATGTTTTAAAAAATTGACATCAGCTGAGTAGTAGAAAATTAGAATTTTAGATCGATTTTTAGAAATATATTCACCTGTTACTCTTCATGCGTGTCAATTATGCCTTTATCATTATGTTTCACTATATTGATGCACACTATTCGAGGTTGAATATCAATAACAACTCAAGAAGTAGCTAATTAGAAGTCTGATAAAACACTAGGGTGATGAGTAGAGCACAGGTTGTCAAGGACTCCAAGTTCTCGAATGCTTTTCCACAGGGTTAAACGTAACCTTTATCATCGACCTCTTTCTATCTCAATCAAAATACATTTTATGCAGTTCAAATTTATTTTTAAAAATAAAAGAGATTGCTTTAAAAACTGGTTTCTATCAGACATTGGATACTTAGTACTTTTCGTGCTCAGTACAGTAAAACTTTCAGTACCAGTACACTTTTTGAAGTAAAAGTACATGTACTGTTTACTTAAAAACTGTACTTAGTACATGTACTGAAGTACAATGTACTAAAGTACATTATACTGTAGTACATTTGGATTTAAGTAAATTTACTTGAGCCAAAAGTACAAAGTACAAATTTTCAGTATACAGTATTTATACTAGAGTCCTGCGGGAACAACTTTTATTGTTCCCGTTTCCCGTTCCCGCTCCGACGTTCCCGTTCCCGTAATGCATTTATAACTTATATGGCCATTTCATTGTGTTTGATTAAAAGGCCTGTTTTTGTACCCCATGCTGGATGACCACGACATCAGGTGTTTCATAATGTGTCATGGGATAAATTTAGAATAAATTTACGATTGTATATTCGTCTGATGAATCACATAGCTAGATTTCTCACTTCCAACCAATTTACTTTCTTTCGTTGAGCTTTATATACACCAAATGTTATACATGTCGACAACACAACCACCTAAATCAACGTTATCTAAAGTTGAAATTCAAACATTAGGAACATCAAATGATCTATCAATTTCGTTTGTAAAACCAGCAAATGCTAAAAGTGAAGTTTGGACAGACTATTCAAAAGTTTATTATAAAAATGAAGATCTTGATTATATAATATGTCCACAATGTAGATATGTATGCATTTCAATTCATATAGATCTGATAGAAAAACTTTCGGGAATGACAATTTCTAATGCTGTTCCCGTTTCTCATGTTCCCGTGCAAAAGTCTTCACGGGAAAAAGTCGTTCCGCAGGACTCTAATTTGTACTTGTACTTACTGTACTGGCACTGGTCCAATGTCTGGAATGTTTCTATCGGTATTAATTTTTTTTCATTCCTCTCAAAATACTTAACTGTTAAGGAAAAGTCAAATAAACGTAGATGCATCGTTACCCATACAAAAGAAATGCCAATTGATAATTTTGTAGGAATTATCATAGTTATCTAATAACATACTTAATGGGTTGTCATATTGTAATACAATCAACTTATGAGTGTCACTGTTCGAACTGAAACAAGTCCGCTCATACTATAGCGTATTTATGTCGGCTTGGATTGAGTCACAAAATTTTGATCCATATCGATCATGAATGAATACGATTTAATAGTAAAATTTTTGTGTCTATTTTAGCTGTGATGATAATTAGCTGGCTATTTTTTAAAGCCCATTACTCTTTACCCATCGTTATCTCATTCATTCCGGTTTTTATTGGCACATTAATCAGTACTTATTATGATTTACAATTAAATGTTTTTGGTCTTTTTTGTAAGTATTAAATTCATACATGATTTGTACCGTTTTATCGATATCTTATTTATTTTAGGTGCTTTGATATCTGTAATATTCACTGCTTTTTATCAAATACTAGTAGAATACTATCAAAAAGCATATAATTGTGATTCCTTACAACTGTTATTTTATCAAGCTCCACTTTCTGGATTAATACTTTTATTTTTTCTACCGTTTTTCGAGCCCATCTCTGATTTAAGTAAATTCATGACATATGATATGATGTTTCTGATATTACTTTGTGGTGTGGTCGCATTTTTTGTTAACTTCAGTATTTTTTGGGTGATTGGAAATTTATCTGCTGTTGCATACAATATGATTGGACATTCCAAAACTTTATTAATTATATTTATTGGATCATTTATATTCCATGAACCACTTAATCAACGACAAATATTTGGTTTATGTTTTACAATGCTCGGAGTTTTCCTTTATTCATATTTTAAGTATATTAGGAAACCTAGTAAATAAATACGACAGGATTTTGTCGTTTTTTGAATATCTTTATTGAGTGTCGTGCCTAAGACATTAAATATATATTTCATAGTTTTTTATTTGCAACGTTTCTTTTTGAAAACGTTGCAGTTTGATTCAACCTTCGTGATACATTGTATATGTTAATTGACCAAAGTTTCCTTTTTTTTTTGTTCACTGGTTGTGTGGTTTTGTGTTTTTTTGTTAATCTAAAATAATTTGTTGTGTTGTCAGTTACATAATTGTTTAACAGGAACATGAAGAAAAAAATGGTAAAGATTGTTAAATTTTTTAGATGTCAATATCATCATCTTATGCCATTGGTATTGATGTCGGAACAGGAAGTGTTCGTTGTATGATTTTCGATGATAAATGGACACCGGTTGTTCAATGTCAAAAACCGATTCTTGTGAGATATTGACAAATTAAAGCACGATTTTTTATAAATTCAATTTTTGAATTGTACAGAAATTCTGTCAAAATTTAAAGAATATTACTCGATAGTATTTGAAATTTTTCATATTACGCATATTACAATTTTTGTATTCGAGGAATTAAATGAATTTATTTTCTCTTCGTTACTTGATTGCTTTATTTAATTCGGATAAAAAATTATTTGAATATTTTATATGTAGCCTTGGTTTGAAACTGAGGAGAGCCTACTTTCTCGTCGTTTATAATCTAGGAGAATTCCGAAGTCCTATGAAATCCAAATAGCCTTTTCTAATTAATTTTAAGTCTATTGGGATCTTTGCAATTCTACTGCCTCCTCGTCGATCCTAGCTGTCATGAAATTAAAAAACAATCTTACGTTCAAATTAGTTCTATTTTAATGGCCTGATTTGTTTTGTGTGCTTTAATTTTCATGTGAACAATAAGTTGATTTTTCTATAATGTACTTTTCGTTTCATAGACATATCATTCAGCGTCTGCTCCACTTGAATACGAACAATCATCAACTGATATATGGCAGGCAATATGTTATTGTGTTCGACAATGTCTCGAACTTGGATCATTTACATCTGAACAAGTAGGACTTATTCGTTCGATTGGTTTCGATGCAACATGTTCTCTTGTTGTACTTGATGAAAAATATGAACCTGTTAGTGTTTCTCGTTCGGGTAATGATGAACAAAATATAATTATGTGGCTTGATCATCGAGCACATGCTGAAGCAACGATTATTAATTCAAGTTCGGATGAAGTCCTACAAAATTTTGGTGGTAAAATTAGTCTTGAAATGCAACCAGGAAAATTACTGTGGCTTAAACGTAATTTATCGAAAGAACAATGGACACGTGCAAATCATTTTTTTGATTTACCAGACTATTTACATTTTCGTGCAACGAATCAACTAGATCGATCGCTTTGTTCATCTGTGTGTAAATTATGTTATCGTTCATCAGAAACACAACATGGATGGGACGAAAAATTTTGGGCTAAATTTGATTTAGATGATTTAATGGCAAATAATGGTGAAAAATTGGGTCAACTGGTTCGAAAGCCATTTTCAAAATCAAATACTGATGTTTTAAGTAAAAAAGCAGCTGATGAACTCGGATTACCAGAAGGAATTCACATTGGTACGCCATTAATTGATGCATATGCTGGGGCATTAGGTGGTTTAGCATGTAAATCACCTATAGCCGATGCTCATCTTAGTGAACGATTGATTATTGTCGCAGGGTATGAAAAAACAACTAGTAATAAAAGATGATTTCATTTGTTGTCTCTTTTCTCCTCCTCCTTCTCCTAGTACGTCAAGTTGCTTTATGGCCTGTAGTGAAAATGCAGTTTTTGTTCCTGGCGTATGGGGTCCGCATTATAATGTACTCATTCCTAATCTGTGGCTTAGCGAAGGAGGTCAATCAGCGGCCGGAAAATCCATTGATCATGTTATACAAACTCATCCAGCTTATAATGAATTGAAACAATTAGCCGATGAACAAAATAGAAATACATTTGATGTACTGAATGAAATTTTAAATAATTTACAACAAAAACATAAAATTGATAATGTATCACTATTAAGTAATGATTTACATATGACCATTGATTTTCATGGTAATCGTTCACCATTAGCTGATCCAGGGTTAGGTGCCACAATAGCTGGTCTTAATTTTGATACATCATTGAATAATTTAGCTGTACAATATTTAACTGTAGTACAAGCTGTTGCTTATGATAGTCGACATATAATTGAAACAATGACGAAATCTGGTCATCATTTTCGTGTTATACAAATATGTGGTGGCTTAGCACGATTAGGATTATTAACACAAATAATTGCTGATGTTGTTCAAATGCCTGTTTATGTTTCTGAGCCAACAAATGATTGTGTTCTATTAGGTGCTGCTATATGTGGCCAATTAATAGCTGATAATGAACGTCAAGTAGAAGATTTACTTAATAATATAGCTTGTCCAATTCAAACGTATATGCCGGATTCGAAAATAGCTGATTTTCATAAAGATAAATATGAAATTTATCGTTTATTACAACAAACAGAAATGGATAATCGTAAACGTATGAGTAAATATTCTCAAATATAAAAAGTGAAAAAGAAACGTTGCATTGTTCTTCTTTTTTTGTAATTTTGATTTTATGATCTATTTTCTGTGCAATTATGCCGATGATTTTATTTAAAGCATGATTTTTTTAAAACTTTATATTGATAATTGATAGAAATGAGAACTTTTTTGATTATTGCAGATTCAAAAAAATCTATTATGAATAGAAACAATATTGAAAAAGTATGTAGATTATATTTTATAATTAAATTTTACACGCTTTTATTTTCGTAATTCTAGTTATTCCATGAATGTGATAGAAAAAGAAAAGGATATCTGAATCGAGAAGATATTAAAGTAGCATCTATAAGACTTTATGGAATAAAGTTAGATAAGGTAAGATTGAAATCGTATGACATATAATTATGATATGTCGTCTATTTTTATTTTGTTATAGTATAAAATTGAAAGAATACTTTCAAATATTCCTAACAAGATTCATCCAGGTAGGAAATTTTATAAAATGATAATGCAAATTTCTATTAACAAATCTTGTTTTAGGTTTAACATTGGATCAATTTATTGACTTTGTACATAGTTTTAAACATCAAATTGATCATGAAGATCAAAATCGTGAAACGTTTCTTATTCTTGATCGAACGTGTAAGAAACACTTTTTTTTTCATTGTAAGGAAAAGATACAACAAGCTTTCTTTTTTTAGGTAAGGGATTTCTAAATAAAGAAGATTTTATTCGTGCGTTTGAACGTGCCAATATCAAACTTAGTCCAGAAATGATCGATTCAGCTTTCAAGTATGTTTTACTAAATATTTGATCATTGATTGTAATTAATGATATATTTCTTATGCTAATTCTAGACAACTCGATGTCGATGGTGATGGTCGTGTTAGTTATCGAGATTTTGACTTTATGATGAATTATGTAGCTGATGAATGACGTTTTTTTGTAATGATGTAGAATAGAATGTAATTAACTAATGACTTGTTATGTTTTCAAGTAAACTTGATGTTCGATATAATGCACGAACAATAAAATCAGTGTTAAACCTTAGCAATGATTAGTACACTAGTCGACGATCTTGACTTCGATCTATCCAGGTTCTTGTTTTTCTTGCTTGTCAGGCAAGAATTTTTTCTTCTTAAAAATCAGGCAAGAATCATTTCTTGAGTTAGCAGCAAGAATTTTACCTGATTTTCAAGAATTTTGCTACCGTCTTGGACAAGAATTTGGAAAGAACGATGTCACGATCGTCGACTAGTGTACGGATAGTTCTTATTATAAATGAAAGATCATATAGGACTACAGATGCGATTAGGACTCTGTTTTACTTTATTGGTTTAGAAGAAAACATTTTTTCGAGATTTATGCATCGTACAAAATAGTTCCTATTTTCTATCATTAACTCATACCTAGCTATTCGCATTTTCGGTTGGTAGTTCTACATACAAAATAAATGAGCTTTCGTCTGATAATATAAGAATTTGAGATTAAATAAACATTTATATAGACGCAGAAAACCGAAGTAAACAATGAAATTCAATCTTGATTTGAGAGTGGTCGACTAGGGTGGAATGAGAGCTTGGGCTTATGAGTCTGTATCCAGCTAATCAGTTGATGAGTTCATAATAAAGATTGGTACTAATAGCCCATGATTAGCTTGGCGTTGCTAGCAAGTAGCTGATCTTATTAATTTGATATTTCTAATTGAGCCTATTGGATGTAAATATCTTACTCTCCTTATTTGGTTGAATCAAATTTTTATATACTAAATCTTCCCTTGCCATCTCGCTATTGTGACTACGTATTAAAACAAAATACTCTCCTTCATCAGTGCATCCTTCTAAGAAAATTTTGCTGTTGCTGAATTCTTTGTTACATTCAATTTAGTGCAGATTTCAATCGTAATCGTGTGACTCTAATGTTATACATTGCTTGCTGAGATGAATCTTTACCGACATCAATTTTGCTTTGGCTCTTATTGAAATTTGAGTAAAACTTTAACAGCACAATCAGAAGAAATCCAGACTATTATTACCTAGGTGAAAGAAAATGACCCGTAAACGGCCTGAAACGGCATAAAAATGATGTAAAACGTTAAAAAACGGCGCCGTTTCCCCTCAGTTCGGAAAACGAAGAGAATAGTGTTAAAAGCGATGGCCGTTTTCTAGCAAAAAGAACGGCCCGTAAAACGAGCAGACGGATTACAGCGAAATAGGGTGAAATTTAATGCCGTTTTATGTCGTTTTATAGCCGTTTCAGGCCGTTTCCGATGGCCTTTCAGACGGCAGGATGATCCTCCTGGGTATATTTTAATATCGTAAAATCTTTAATTGTTCGTTGTTAGCTAAGTGTTTTAATTTCTCTGCATATAGTCCTTTCAAAACTAAATTCAATATTTAGTACAATTATTACAGTAAAATGTTAAATGAATCAGCTATTGGTCATTGAAAAACGATTAGTAGATCCCAACCAATACAGAGATTTGCCCACGTTCTGGATCAATCCATGTACAATCTTTTCATCGCTTCGGTTGGATTCATTATAGGCCAACACGCACGTGGCTTCATTCTTCTATCGATTGATTTCTCTCCCCATGTGTCGATTTATTTTTATTCTGTGTATTCGAAATTCATACTATCTTTTAACTATTCTATTATATACTGGTAACATTGCAACACGTAAAAGTTAATTTTATGAATACCATGATAACACATAAAGCAAGATCAAATAAAATAGAGCAATATCGACTTAAAGTTCTCTTTACAAATCATTGTCAAGAACCTCTATAGCATAAAATTAAGGAATATATATACATAAGTACTAATACCAAACACAAAGGAATAGATTCAACTTACTAAGATGATACTATCGACTTCACATTTTTTCAAGTACGGCGATCATACAATTCATTTCGCAACATATTTTTAGATCGTTCTTTTTATGTTGGAAAAGAAACGACAACGTATAGCTATAAGTATGATTTTAAAATTTATCAAAGTGAAATGCCTTGAATTCACACACTTAGTAAAGTATTAAATTCAATAGTTAAGAACTCGGATTCTATATCACGAAATAGAGGAAAACACTATTATTAATCACATGGAGGATCGACTAATTGTGTCGAACAGAGCGTTGGCATTAATGATATTATGATATAAGTGGCACCAAAACTCTATTTAATCTTTTTATAATCAAATCAATCAGCTTTAAAGTAAATTCGGAAGATTTACTAGACGAAAAATTTTCAATTGAAGAATAATTAAACTTGAACGAAATGTTTTACTCGTATCACGATTTACTCATGAACAGCTGAAAATATTCGAATATTGTTTCTTTATTAGTGAACAAAAAAAAACTTTTGCAAGGGACAATTATGAGTATGCCATGAAGTATAAATAAAAATTATGAAAATTACTGTTTACTGATACAATAATGCCTGCTATTTTTGAAGGTAGTTATAGTTGGGAGAAATTAATCATTTTCAGACGATCTGAAGATATTCTCATACAATAACCAGATATTTTTACTGAGTTTTATTTTGAACAGTTAACTGGTATAACAGTCATGTTATGATGGATGCGTTTGAAATCTCTTTCGTCAGAGGGTAAGTAAACTATAAATACATTACTCTCGATGACAAAGATTGGCTTTTTTTAATGCGTTTAGTATTATGTCTGGCTACCTCCTCACAGAACGCATGTATTACAGCCATTTGACTCAAGTTATTTTCAATCCAGCGAGGATTGAACGGAAAACAACGAAGAAACGTTTTTTTATATTCTTAATATAAATCGTATGCTTTAGAGAATATCAAAAGCACCAACATTATTGTACACAAGATAAAGCTGCTTTAAAAAATGGAAGAAATTGATATAGTTGACAATTTTATCAAAATTGGAATCTCCCCGTAAAATTTAACACTCGTAGACTAGTTCAAAATTTCTGCAAAAACATCATATATGCATATAGAGCTCTTCGTCACATAATATTGTACTTATATAGGTTCAAATCATCAAATGCAAAATCAACTATGATGTTTATCAATAAAGTAATAATCATCAAAACCATAACTTGATTAATTTTCCATCGTGCTAAATCGTAAAAAACGCAACGATCTGGTTTGCAATTGAATGATTTAAATGAAGTAACTAATGAATTTCCATCTTCTCTAGCAAAAACACAAATTCTTTCTTTTTGGATAAATTAAAATCAACGACCACGTGATGGTCATGTTGACAATCGAACAGCTTTGACAATGCTCGCAAGGTAGTAACCAGTACTAAAATTTCATTCCATTATTTTTGAAAGAGTAGAATGTCGAGAAGATAGTCTATTTTCATTGTAATATTCAGTGTGAAACGTAAATAAATCTTGCTTTCTAGTTTCTTAATTTTTCTATCATATACTACGAGCTTCTGATTATTTGCATTACACTCTGTAGTCTAACTTTTACTATGGCTCATCTGTTATCCTCAATAAACTCGAAGTAATGATATTGTTATTTTATAATCATAATCTACCTTGACATAAATCGCTCATGGTGATGGGCATTAATTAAAATTAGTGATTGATTGCAAAGTCATATAATCTTGTATAACTATTTGTGTTAGTAAATCCTTCTTGGACAAGATAATAGAATATAGTCTCTGATGAAATAGTTATCATTTCATGATTTAATGATAATCATAGAGTACTAAATGGATTTACGCATGAGGGTTGATTCAGTTCATATACCTATCAAAGAAGAATTTATATAAATAGAATATATTGCTGGAATACTAGAATTCGAAATGAGTCACAAGTCAATCATCAAGGTTGATAGATAAAAAATAGTTTATAAAAAAGTGGAGTACAGTTATCAAATATAATAAAAGTTTATGTCTCTTGCAATAAACGAATTCTTACAGTTTATCATTCTATACTTCAGGTTAAAATGCACCTGACATTATTTCTGAGGAAAATAATTTACTATTATCTGAATTATACGAAACCTCTTATTTAAACGCCGATTGGGAATAAATATCTATATTTAGTGCAGCAAGATGAGTAGAAATATTAACAACTATAGTGATAAAAACGCATCCAGAATAGAAATAGAAGAATGAACTCGAAAATAACGCTCGTTCTAAATGATGATGCTGAGGATGATGATATAAATTTACGGACGGCATCAGCAAAAAGTTCATGCATATGACTTGTGAAATGATACTCGTCAATAAAAATGTAAGATTTTGGATCGCTACAGAGTATCACTATATTATCGATGGATGCATTCCAACATACATCTTCATTGTTGTCAAATGAATACATGATTGGATTGTTGATAATTTTTGAGACGAGCGAGTGAATGTTGAATATACGTAGAGAAACGTATGGGTTGGTAGCTTGCATCGAAGCAATTTCCTTTGAAAGATTATTATTGAATTCAAGTACCATAGCACTGTAATAGGATTCTTGGTTAAATGCATGAATATTCGGCATTAAATGAAGAGGTAGCAAATTGAAAACTAAGATATGTTTAATATTAAACTTCAGTAGATCACTGATTGCATTAGACAAACTTGCAACAACTAACGATGGATGCATTGTTCTATTATAAGCGAAATCGTTACTACCAACCCAAATGATAAAGAGTGTACGGTTCAAATTGCTTGTGATTATATTAGAATCTTTCGCATAGATCGCAATTTGTTGACGAACACCAGGTGTAGGCATCACTGGCGACCATGCGATACTTTGAACCAAACTGTTGTCGGTTGTGGCCGCACCATATGCATAATTCATAATGTTTGTTACACTCAATTTGTCAACCCAAATGAGACCATTTGAAAATCGGCCTTGAAAATATGGAGGACGAGGCCAAATTTGATCTGTCAATTTATAAACATTACCCGTGTCCGAATGTGAGTCACCAAAGATCACTATTGTATCGAAGGGAATTTGTTCGGTATTTATCTGCTGAGACAACGCTGTAATCAGAAAGCCAAAAAGAAGTAAAGCAGTCATATGACGTTATTTTTCTTTTCTGTATTATTAGCTATATGGTACACGCATGACATTTTACTTTCATACTTTCATACTGTCATATATTTATTGAGAAGAGCATGACAAATACTAGAATAATGTACGATTAAGATTACTTATCGTTAGAGTTTATCTACATTGCATATCAACACTTGAATGATATCTTTTGCATATAATAAACTGATCATGGGAATATAGTCGTTTAATCAAGGTTGCAGTCGATACTTTTGAAAAGTATTAAAAAAAATTCGACAAAAGTATACTGGAGAACAAATGTTGAGTTTTCTATTTCTTATTTAAATAACCAATGCAATCAATTGCAGGGTTAAAACAATTGAACTTGTATTAACAAACGCCATGAAAAAGTCTATATTTGTATTAGTGATGGAGTTCAAAATTATGGTGCTATTTGGAAGATAGTAATCATCCGTTATACTATAGATGCGAAAAGCATCATAACTAAATAACAAATACATGAAAATCCATCATTTCAGCTCTCTGTTGTATTGTTAAAGTTAGATGTCAATGAATCCTTGATCAGTCAATGTGTATTATGTTTTCTAAAGCAGAAGCGTTAGCAAAGTCTTTTCAATTTTTTCAATGATTAAGTAACACTAAATAGAAAAGAGAGTTTTTGCATTCGTCTTTATCTTTAACATTAAAAACATAAGACACTAGAGATTTATCATAGTAGATATGACGAATTAGGCAAATAACAGAAAGAAAATAACGTATGAAACACGTCAATGTAGATGAATTCAGTAGAAAAGAGGCACGACATACGACCGTCAGTCAGAACACAAAAGCTTTAATCAAATATAAGCCAGAATGTCGCATGATCATAGTAAAAAGCATGAATATGATAACAGATATTTCAACAGCAATGATCAATATCCAAATGCTTCGCAACCATACGTTGCAGCACCCAATATCAATTCGTAAGTGAGGCTTGTTAAGAGGAAATTTTCTTTGAGTAATAAATAGGATGCCAACCAAATATTTAACAACATCTGATGAGCGCTCGTCCTCTGGACAACTACACCAGATTAATACATCTGCTTCCCATGATCGACGATTAATCCCGATAACATCTGGTTTCAAAGTATTTTTAATTTGTTCAGGCCTACTTTATTTTTTATTTGTCATCGTAATTATTGGACTGGACATTGGTCTCATATTCTCTTCGTATCGAACATGGTATCTTGGCTTTTATCTAAGTGGCCTGCTGATATCTGCAGGCATCAGCACGTTGGTTATATCATGTCAACCAGCATATGCGCTGTTTTATTTTCTGTTGACCTATATTTTTGCATTGATAGGATCTTTCTTGATTTCGATTGCTAGCATTGTTAATCTAGCCCTATCGAAAAAATGCAGTACAATACAGTCTGATAACAAATGCGATGATGTATTGGCATTTTCTATCAAAGTGGCTCTTGTTGTCTTGTTTATTCTTTCGTTCATTCATTCCACTATTCATCTAATGGTTGCTGCAAAGAGAAGCACTACCAGAGTCGAAGTTTTGCAGGCGACAACACATTAATGGTTGTCCGAAAATGAACAATAAAATATGTGAAAAATTACCAGTACATAATAGTAATAGATCTTGGTGATTTTCAACTAAACATTTGAACTTATTCATAGTATGAGAATATTGGAACATCGATGTATTGTCTTAATCTTATTCGCTGATAAATAAAAGCTATAAATTATCTTTTTGTGACTATACTTGTCTATATTTTATTGATTTTAGCTTATTAAACTAGAAATAGATCACCGAAGTTCTTATTTTTGTAAGATACTATGATTCATAGGAGATAGATTCGAATTACTAGATGTCATTAACAGCATCTAACAAGTAACGAATAATTCTCTTTACGAAACTGCTCGAGTCGTATCTGTTCTATAACAGGTGATATCATTTTGCTAGAACCACTATCTTTTTTCTCGATGTTTTTAAATCTCAAAAATTGCCTTTCCTTCAATAAGTTGAACAATATTAGGAGTAGAGAAAATATTTATACACAGGTAACGTGACCTTGGCGTCACTAGCTCTCTACTGAAAGGATGTGATCACATAAAAAGCAGCAATCCAAAAATACCTCGTTGAAGTACGATTTTTCGATACTAAATTACTAGAGTTAAGTTAGACGCGTCTCAACTAGAAGGATGAGCTACGTTCAGAAAACTTTCCATCAGCTAGATAAAAGATGAAGAAAAATTCTCATCCAGGAAAGCTATCATAAAAATACTCCGTTTCAGCAAAATTATAATTCAAGTTAGTCTACAAACCACAAATACTCAATATGAACTCATACTCATATATTACAAACTGAATCGAACCGTATTTTTCTAATTCGAGTTCGGTTCAGTTCGTGTTCGATCTCTGATATATAATTATATGCATATGTTAGTGTGTATGTTCAAAGATCCTAAAACCTAGCAGTTACGTGGTTTCAATAAAGCACACTCCCTCTCAGGATAAGTTAAACTGATTAGCGTAAGACATTTTCGACAAGTATACACCCACAAACTCTCTCTTTCGAAAAAAAACCGCAGCGAAACGCATGTCCAAATCACTCAAACGAGACATACATAAAGTTTACGATAATGTCTGCAAAAAAATACTACCATTGACGATGTTAAGTTGATCGTCAGTAGTCGTAATCATCGAACTCTACGGAACGAATTGATACGATAACGAACGAAACAATCTTTACTAACAAGCACACCTAATTCAAAGTATGCAAAACATAAAAATAAAATTATCACATTCCTTCATATACATAATTCATCATCGTTTCTTTCATAAAACGACAGAGAAAAATAAAAAAGCAAAAAAAATAATTCAAAATAACATGTGGGACGATATTATCCTCAACCGATCTATGTAAACAGTATATATCCATCCCATAGGCGCAAATTCAAATTCGCAACATCATTCACGAACATCTATTGCATATTTCTTTCCGTTTTGTGGAACTCACATATATATTTTCGAAGAAAATGGTGAGTGTAAGTTTAAAAGCGAGATTTTTGTGGCTCCCCACGCCCCTCCCCATTACAGACATTAATGAGTTTAAAATTGTGCTAATTGGGAGCTTGACTAATTAGGCTGATATTTCTTCCTTTTTTTCATTGCAGAGTACATGAAAAAAGCAACGCTTGCCCATTACAGACCATAGAAACTAGTCTCTGCCATTGCTAAATATACGAGCTAACAATTAATACTCCATTACAGACGTAAGCAAATAGGCAATGACCTAATTATAGCTTTTGGAAATCAAGATATATTTTTCAGATGAACTATTGTGAATTATTTTAGTAAGTCGAAAGGATATATGTGAGTTCCACATTTTAGCCACAGAGTGGCTGCGCTAACAAGCTTTCTTTAATCATTCCTCATAAACTAATCAATAATCTTATTAGCTCTAATATAACCTTTCAAACAATCCATTTCTTCTACCTTGTTTTTATTTAATCAATTATATTGTACTTTTTCCCTATCATATATCATTATAGATTTCTGCTTTGTTCTGTTCTACATAAACTAATTCCTCATTCCACCACATATCAATAACCACTATGAAATCAAATAAACATCATGTAGGCTAAGTATCTTTTGAATTGGATTATGTAACAATTTTAATTAGTAACACATATCTGCGAATTGCACTTCCACTATTCCATGCATTGGTTTCTTTTTTCACTCTTTGATCCTCTCTGCTGTTTTCTTGGTGATCTCTGGCTATGGTGGTTACAATTTTGTTCCATTGTTTTTTATATATACTTTATTATTATTGCTTTATTCTTTATAAAATAAAACATAATTATTTACATGATCTATTGAAGTCCTTCATTCAATTATTACGACGGTATCTTCTAGTAGAATGTTTTATTTTTGAACTCTCGCATCATTGATTATTCATCGTTCCCTATTTCGCCATTATTTAGTCTTCGTAATATTCGGAGATAGGAATCTATAGATACGACCCAAAACGGAGTCTCACAATTTATTAATCTTCTTATTTTATTCACTACTACAGAAAGAATAGGTAGGCTATTTGTGAATATAACGTGCATTTTTCATAGATTTCTTCAGTAATATTGAAAGGTGTTCTTAACAAGGAAATGAAGCAATATCTTAAATTGTATCCATATCATACACCAAATCGAGTAGTCGGAAGTGGTAGATCGTCAGAACACTGGCAACTGACTGTGAGCTGGCTCTTATGGTCTGCTTTAGAGAATCTAAGGGGAAAACTGAAAAGTCAGTTGGTTTTACAAAATGGTCGTCACGAAAAACATTATACAGTTTGGTTTTGTACATGGATGTGTATTCAGCAATAGTTCTCAGGCCAGAATCTAACGAGCAATGCTAGGTGATGATTAAATTGGGTTCAGACGAGGGTCAGGCGATTCGTAATGATGACTGTTATTTACCTACTCCTTGACCTACTCTTCTATATATTACTCACACTCTGAAAAGCAAGTGTTTCGATTAGCAGATTGATTTATATTTTATTAAGAGGAAAGATAGTTGAGAATATGAGAGAATAAAGTTAGTTAGTTGGTAATGCCATACTTTTTGTATGCACCTGTGTTTGTGTCATATTTCCTATAAAGAGAAAACAATTGTGAATTAATTCAGTACGATAAAATACTTGTAATGGTAATCTCAAAAACAAAACGTTCGAATGCTGGAGTTAAAATATCAATGACATTCTCTTGATGAAGTATCATTGAAGCAACATATTGACGCAATATACCTGTCTTATTTGCCACGGGCACAAGTACGAGTACGACAAAGATAACGACAAAGATCACTAGTACCAAAAGGAATACCACCAAAACAGTCAAAAAAACAAGAACGATTATAATCAAGACCATAAACACAGTCACCTCGACGATTAGATTGACGTTTGTTAATGAAATGATGGAGACGATCGTCAATCCCAGCTTGATTCACTATGGTCCGTGCCATGCAACTTGAAGCCATCAACACCAAGAAGATGATTAAATAAATCAATTGACTGAACTTTTGCATTGTCGCTTGCTATGGTTCGACGTTTGAAGAGAATTTGGTAGAGTAGTTTCAGTAAGAATGTATATGGCATTGTTTTATAGTAGTGCTGCGGTGTTAAATATACCTCGATCACGCACCTAAGGTCGTGGAGGAAATGCCTCAAAAATCTGAAGTGATTCCCAACTTCATGACTCAAAAAAGATAAGAACGATTGTTTGTATTCTCTCACTTCTTTTTTGTATGTGAAGAAAGTAAGAGGTAATCGATACCTTAACGGCTTCTCGCTGCTAATTAAACATTGGCTCACTTCCACTCTTTTTTTTATTGATTAACCGAAAGCGCCGTGTTTATCGGCATCGTGCTACATCCATTTGACTGAGAGATCCCGCTCGCTTGTCGATCTTATCTGTACTATATCTCCACTTGACTAATTACCGGTGGCAATCGTTGATAAAATAATGATTTATATTAATTTCCCCATGAGTATGAATCATCATGAAGAATTAATGAATATCTATATTATTATATAAATACTGAGCTTTTTCTTTAATAAACTCTACAAATAAACTTCGAGACTACGATTGATCTAACGAAAATGATCAAAATGACAAAAAAGTCTTCAGAATTTTCGGATAATTTCATAATGTGAAATCATATTTTACAAAGTGCAACTAGACTAAACTGACAATCTATTGAATAGATATTTTTAATTATACTGGATGAAATCTATTTTCCAGCTCACAATTCCAGAACAAAAAATTTTAAAAGCACGTATCCTCTCCTTGTTTCCATGTGTCATTGTATTGTCAATTCTATTTGACATTCTATCTCATACAAAGAAAATGTTTTATCCATAGGAAAAACGAAATTCAAAAAAGTAACATTAACAAAAATGATTTCTTTTTATTTTCGATGATAAAGAAATCAAATTTCTATATGAACGAATAATTATTTTAATTTACCAACATTTTTCCAAAAGAATTTATTTCAATTTTTAAGGTAATACAAGTTTTGTAAAGATTAAGATAAGCAGTGTATAAAATGATGATAATAACAAAGTGTAAACTACAGTTATAAGAAGATTAAGTCAGACTAATAAGAGAGGAAAAAAGCTGAAGAAGCTAAGAAGAAAAAAAAAGAACGCTATTTATTTTTCCAACCCTACTTGTATATACAGTTTTTTTTTATAAGATTGTTTTACGAGCTTGTGCAATTTGGCCGAGTAATACTCGTCGATCTTTTCCACCTTTGACGCCATTAAGAACAAAATTCTCACAAAATTGTTGTTCATCCTAATTGAATG